ACTCAATAACTACATAAATTATTATACATATGTAATTATCATATGTGAGCTATATTACTGTTAAGTTTCATTAAAATCTATTCAGTATTTTTTAGGTGAAAGAAAGATCCATACAAACGTAAGATTGAAATTAAAAGCGTAAGTGGTTAATATACAACTTTAAAGCGTTGTAGATCCTAAACAATCATATAAAATGAAAAATGGTGTTAGGAACCTAAATATGATTTTTGATTATCTAGACAGTGATACCCCACTCGACATATTTTGTCAACTTATTTTTTTACTTCGTCACAATATGGCGCCTAATTTTGCCCATATTGAATTTTGATTACTATCATATCTTTAGTAGCACTCCCATGATTGAGACGAATCGATTGATGTATGAATCATCAAAATCGGTCCAGGCGTTTGGTCTCTAGTGTGCCACAAAGGAACAAACATACATATATAGACTGTTAAACACAACCCTGTCTGCGCGTCGCGCTTCGCACTCTTGCATTGCGCAGCCGGGTAAAAAAAGTGTAGATTCATAACGTAGATATATATATGGCGATGGCGTTAAAAACTATTTTTTGAAGAATTTTGTTTATTTTGGTATTGGAATAAAGGTGCGATTTATTTAAAAAGTTTATCTCAGAAAAATCAACATGCAGGAATCACATTTAAGCGCACCTAGCGACATCTATTGTAAAAAAATGCATTTTCTGCGCAATAAAGCTGTTACCTTGACGTCCTAGATAGAGACTTATTATTATAATACGATAAAATAAAATATTACCATGTTTCGTCCAATACATTGAAAGTCAACATGTTTTCGTCTTACGCTACGTGTCCTGACGCGAGTTTAACATTTTTACCCATACTAAAAAAGTGCATAACGCCGCTAAAGAAGTTTTCACTTCAAAAATCTAGTCGCACCTTTATATTAATGGGTAATTCACTCATAATATCTATCAAATAGTTAATTATTCGTTAATCCGTTACTAAAAAAATTAACTTCATCAAACATTAAAACGTTACATTTCGGAAGATTTAACGCAAGTTAACGTTATTCGTTAATCCGTTAACACGTGATAAAAATTGTTTTTTTTATATGGTTCCGTTAGTGATCTGCTTACAAAAACTGTTAGCTTACAAAGTTATTTTGGGTTCTGGAAGTTAATAGGTTAGGTTCAAAAAAGACAGTGTATAAATATATAAAAAATAAAACCGTGTAATTTAATCACAATGTGGATATTCCCCTTCATGAACATTAGTATTTTGAAGTTCTCGTCTGAGAGTGACGCTAGTTTTGGCTTTAAAATATCTTTGCCGGTAGAAAAAAGACGTTCAACTACAGCGCTCGAGGGTATAGCAGTATTATATTTAATAAACAGATTTATAAATATCTGCTCCCCGAGGAATGCCGCAGCATTAAAAGAGTCTTTGGATTTTGTGTCTAGCTACATTTATACGAGATATTGAGCTTTAGCCTTTAATGATTTGTGGCTTTAAGGTTTTTCTTTACACTGAGTGACAGAATTAAAAAAGTTTTCCTCATCATCGTCATTGTTACTCGTGTTGCTGCCTCCGTCAATGAAACTATCCTTGTCCTTTGAATTTTCTGAAGCTTCTTTCGTAACGCCTCCGCTATCTTTTATTCCATGCATTTTTTAACTGCATACACTCTGCTGTTGTAAGTTTCAAACCATATTAACCGAAACTTCGGGTGAAAACTGAACTGTGTTCATTCAGTGAACCCGATTCGGACTCGTAGTCCAAAGCCAACTTAAAAAAGTATTCTTCGGTCCATGCGGTCTCGCTCAGCCGCTCGGTCACACGACGACGCTTCTATACGTTTTGTATGAAAATGAAGTATGTTAGCGTCGGCTTTCCATTAAATAGAAATGTGGTCACATCATGTTTTCTCTTTTATTCCTTATGGTAGGTAGTTCATCTATTATCAGGGACTATATAACAGAAAAGAGCTAAACCAATGACCCGAATCATGCGAAATAAGAATACCTATACAAAAGACTACACAATCAATGTCTCGTCACAAGGAGTGCCCGCTCTTAATTTATTGAAAATCGTTTCAATGTAAGGTTTTATTTGGTCCTTTACGTCATCAAGGTTTAATACTCATACAGCTGTATCGCTTGTGCTAATGTAGGTATGCAGAATTTTTAGGTTAAAAGTCTGTAGCAGGCATATCATACCCAACTACCAATTTTTCACAAGGTGATAAAAGGACATTGCTCGTTCCCCATACATTGAATGCCCTGCAATGGGAAAATGCTAGTTGTGTTCGGAATCATTCATAAACTCTAATTATGCATTTGTTGAGATACGGACTACTTGCGGAACCGTGTGGCCTACTACAGAATGTATTAGATTTTGAGGTTATAATATTATACTTAATCGTAAAAGATGTACACTTTATATATTCTGAATGGATTTAGTGTTTACCTCTATGTAAGCACTTAAATAATATGCATTAAATGAACATAAAATGCAATTAATAATAAAAATAAATGCTTATATTTATATTGATTTATGAGTGTTGGCAGTTGGCACCTATGGTACCTATACCTACCTTTTGTAATAATAGATTTCTTTTCTAATGAAATGTTCAAAGTCTTTCCATTTACCTGTTTCTATATTTTAGTATCGGTAATTAGGCATTTACCTGGGTATCAACATCATTATGATTTTCATAAAAATGAACAGATAGGTATTATATGGGATGGGAGTATAAACTATCTTTTCATAATTTCAGAAATAATCTTTTTATAAGTATTATATAAATACTTGTGATAAGGATTAAGTAAGGTACCTAGTCCTATTCTTATGTTGATAAATACCTTTGGTCGCCTATATTGCATTTATTAAGGTAAACAATCTTGTCACAACTTTTTAACAAAATCACCCATTTAAAAATAAAATAGTGACGAAGCCAATAAACTATTAAAATAAATCGTTAATAATAACGATAGAAGTCTATAAAGAATGAAACCTATTGAATCCAGTTATCAGTTGATTTTTAATGCTGTATTTTCAATAAAGAGGAGTGCCAAGATTGTTTACCAAATAGGACAAGTTAGGATTAACAGACTGTAGTATCTAGTAACAGAACTTTTATTTTTTATTTTTTTAAACAGATTGTCCGTTCACTATGATTAATTGCTAATAAGTTAAAAAATATTAGAAATATAATAGTGAAGGACATTCTTTTGGGCACGCTAGGGCCGATTTCGTCGATGTCCTTTCGAAGGTTTTTTACATTTTAGATGTTCCGTTTGGAAAGAAAAGAAAGGTTGTCTCCGTGCGTGTTTTTCAGAGGACTTGTCTATGTCAACAGATAACTAGGTAGATAAAAATAAAATATGCTTGACTTTGACGGTAACTGTAGGTACTGAATCTTGTATTGATCGAATGTGAGAATAAAACAACCGGAAAATTCTTTTAAAATCCAGGTCACACATGTCCGGTTATTTTACCAAATCGGTATAGGTTATTTGTATGACTAAATTTTCCAACTAAGTAGTAGTAGAAAAAGAATTCCATAGGTACCGCATTGTATGTAAACTCGTTACATATTTGGTACAATAAATGCACATGAATTGTCTGCTTCGCTGTATTATATTTACATAACAATACTAGTCTGTTATCGAATTAACATAATAGATTGCTTTTGTGGGTCATAACAGGATGGATGGACAAGCAAGCGCATCGTAACTGGCAGGTGTATATAATTTTATCTGTCATCAATGGTTTGCTAGTGTCAAGGTATCAAACTATAAGTAATAACAGTTGGAGTATTTTTTTGCATAAAAATGGTCCCACATATACCTATCATGAAACATAGCGAAAGTTATCACTATCGTTTTTATTGCAAAAGTCGATACTTTTATTGCAAATATGCCTGCGTCTATAACTTATTAATAAGAGCGATCTATGCATAATCCCCTGCCAGTTCGACATCCGGTGATGTTTAGTGAAGTGGGGAGTCCAGTCGTGAAAATAGCGGGATGCGGCGGAAAAGTTCTCTAACACCTTCACCATGCCCACCTGTACCCAATATTCTATCCTTCTAGCCCTCCTGGGCTCTCCGGGAACTCTGAGTAGGAACTCACTAGCAAATCAATAGATTAATGTCTTCTGTTTGATGATTAGTTACATACACTAACAGGCGTTCCAATTCGAACGGAAAATCCGCTAAGCTCTACATCTCTTAAGCTATCAAACATTCCTGTAAACTTTAATACGAGCAACTAAGCTTATTTTTGTCAATGATTCACGATGGTTCGTAAAGTATGTAAGTATTAATTTAGTTCTAACCAAAAAGGTCGACAATGTAAAATAATAAGATGAACTATATACACTATAAAGCATTTTAATTAGAATTATATAAATTAAGGTGGTTTACTTCTTTGAAAGTATGTATTTAGTATAAAAAAAAACTGTCTATTGTTTTAAACTTTCATGGTCACTAACATTATAACTATTAACGGGATTGTTACCATGTACCTTGTCGGAAAATCTTTAAAATATCGGAGATTCGTAAAAAACAAGGTAAGTACATGGTAACAATCTCGTTAATAGTTTTAAAAATCTGTCTTATGCAACTTCGAATAGCTACAGTAGGTATTCATTAATACAAAACTTCAAAGCGAAATGAAAGTCTATAAAGGCAGACATCTAATCACGGAATTTATTGTCTTAAACAAGCGGTTAGCGGATAATATTTCCTTTTCCACCCGCAAATGACTATGTAAATTACCAGTTGCATCGGACGGATGATTTCAAAATACCATTTCGAATGACGGAAAGAATTTTGAACATCCACGGGCCAGCCCATGCCCGCATGTGTACCTACCTACCTATTGCGAAACCGAACATATGGGCGTCTAACATGATTATAGAGTTTTCACAGTAGGTAGTTTTGTCGTCGACTCGTCACTCTAACGTGAATTGTAATCTGTAAACCATAATAAACTGCAAGGTCGCGGTGAGTAGTGGGGACAGGCACATGACTGCAGTCATTGGTGAAGTTTCAGTGCCTGTATGACAAACGCCAAAGCCAACGGCGACCGCGTTCAAATTCTATTTGATCATAATGTAAATAAATAACTTTAATGAATACGACAATCTGAACAGAAAGAATCATTAGCATGCGTTACAAAAAGCAAGCACCGTTCAGTAACTTCGCGGTCAAAGTATATTTAATTTTCAATCAGTTCGTTCCTTCGAATTCCGAAGGAAACATGTGTTACCGACTTTTGTAATGACTAAAGAGTAGAGTGGTTATTTGTTCAGCTGTTCATGTAGAGCGATGTATCGGGGTTTCGTAATTTATACATAACCCTTAGCACGAACGGTTCAAGTTGCACTGCTTGTGAAGACTCCTTGCTTGTCGGTCAGAAAAGAGAACTAATAATAGAAAAATATGATGATGAACAAGATGTTTAAAAAATATAACTGTACGTTATGATAATGAATAAAGTAGTGTAGTATATTTTGTATGTATACATTAGGTGAGTGTAGTGAATTGTGTTCAACGTTGGATATGAAGTCGTTTGCAGTGTGTGTTAGCGTTTCGCTGTTCATTTATATTAATGGTAAGCAACATTTTGTTATTAATGCCCTAGACTCCAGGGCATCTATGCCCTAAACTTAAAGCAAGTCTAACTGTATAACTCCACGCCACGAGAATCTAGATGCGTGTGTTATCTATTTGCGAAGATAGCTGCATAAGCCAATACTTGCATTGAAAACGTAAACCAGTTCTCATATTTAATTCAAGTATTGGGTTTCCGCATAGCGAAATTGGACAGCACCTACATATAATAATATGACATTCAAATGTTTTTCAGCAACACAATATTGTGCCAATACTTTCTAAGCTCTTTTTATATTTGGTGCTATACTTTGAATATATAAGTAGGCACCTAAGTACTTAGTCGTTAAGTTAAACAAATCCAATCATTTTTATTTAAAAAAACTTAAATTTTTAACATAACATAATGTAACTGAAATAATAGGTAACACGGGTTTAAGCAACTCTATAAGTAAAATGGAATGACTTTTTCAGTAAAAAAAAAACGAGGAAAATACATGTCATTCAAGTAATTATGTACCTGATGATGACAGAAATATCAGAGGTAGTTATTTAGGTAAATTTCTAATGCGATAACTCTAATTGTTGGGAATTTGTGGCGAGCGTGGCGTGGAGTTATATGAGGAGCTCAAGGACGCAGGTGGTTAGCGCGTTCGGTCTGTCAAAAAGGATGGGTGCTCAAAAGTTTATCATCTCGAGCTTATCCGCGATTCACAAGTCGAGTTAAGCCATCCCGGCTGACTTTGCAGTTATTAGCACCCACCAATCAACACTGGGTCCGCGTGGTAATGGTAATCACCCTGTTCTTCCTGCAAGGTCTGCGCCTCAGCAGTGTTAACCAAAACCAATTAATATCAATCTATGTATCTCAACTAAAATACCTTAATCGAAGTCAAACTGCGTCTCAAACTTAAAATAAATTTGATATTTTTTTTAAATACGAATGATAACCGCCGAATTTTTTTTGTTCCCTCCCAGGCGGGTGAGCGGGTGTGAAATCCCTACCCTACAGCCCGCTGCAAGGTTATGACAGACTATTACACTTAAACTAACAAATCTATCTTAATAGTTATAGTTTTCCTTAAAAGTTCATAAAAATCACCATTATCATGAATTTTTCCAGGTTTTTGAAGCCAATATTTTAGTTTTTATAGGGGGGGACGCCCGCCCTACTCGAACAAAAATTAGCACTTTAAAGTTATTGAACTTTTAACTTTCGCAAACGGATCCCTAAATCGAAAAATAGTCTTTGAAACCCCAAGTAATTTTAAAGGACCTATTCAACAATATTCCACACGATGGGGTAGATGATGAAAAATGTCATTCCCAGGTAGTATAGCTCTCCTACAGGTAGTAGGCGAGCTACACAAAAAAAATATTTTATTAAATTTTATTCTACCATTTTGTCAGCGTGATCGATATACATATCTTCACAATATGACAGTTCTCTAGTGCTAATAGTCTTCAAGCAAAACCGGGGACGCATAGACGGACATGACGATACTATAAGGGTTGCTTAAAAAAACTAAGGACTAAGAAACCCTAAAAAGGGGGTCGAAATTCGAAAAGGCGAATTTACTCTCCATTGGGGGACGGAATGCTCAAGCATACGCCCTCCTCTAACCTCTACTAATAAATAACTAAGTAATTATCGGAAGGTGCTGGTTCGAATCCTGTCTGATGTCTGGACCGCGTGGATTTTTTTCTAGTAAAAGTTCCTTTATTCGGCATTAAATATAAATACAACCCTTAATTTTCACCCTTCTACCACCAACTCCCATTTTTTTTTGGCGGTAAGAAGTTCCTCGTATGCTAGGTGGGTAAGCTAGTCAAAATATAATAAACAGTAACAGTCTCGCAATTCAGTCAGGTTTAAATAAACATTTATAACAACGTTCTAGCGTGATCGTCTGCATCTGGGCTAAGGTAAAACAAGATGGATTTCCCATAGCTAATGAATCATTAATCATGACATAACATAATTCTATTGTTCAAATAATGGCAGATATGCTCTACAAAGTCGTACCTAGGTATAAAGATTTGTGAGCTTATTTAGTATGAAGTTTTTAATGTACTTAATCGAAAATTAGATGTTACTGCAGATGGTATTACAATGATTTTGATTTTAAAAGCCAAAAAAATACAATAGATAACTCTGGTTACTGACATTCAAAATTATCAATAACCAATAACAGCTTTTTTTAAGTAAGTTTTAATAATCTGAGCTAAGCTGCGGACGAAAGGTCGGACGGACAGATAAGGATTTCTTGTTGACTACGTTTACGGAACCCAAAAACATAACATCGGTTAGGATATAGATGGATACTTTTGTAGGTGTTTGTATTGTGGTGTCAACCTGTCACTATTAATGAACAACATACCTATTTGCCATTAGGTAAACTCAAACTGACTCAAACAATGCAAATAGTTGTTGTATACTTATGTATGAAAGATTTTGAAAACTTGAATGGATTCAGAGTATTATTACAACCTTATAAACATTTGTAGGTTGTTGAACATAGTTGGTTAAAAGAATGCAGATAGATAACTTAAGTTAACATGTATTTACAATGTTCATTCACAAAGTAATTAATAAGGTAGGTATCTATTTAAAAGTAGGTACTTAGATAATTAGCCGACCGGACATTAATTACTGCGAAAGGTAGAAAAGTTTAAGCTGTTTTAATGAAGTAATTAAACAGAAGAGTGAGTAGGTAATAACTTGTAAGTACTAAAATAAAATATGTATTCTTAAAAAAATCGATTTATCATATGAGTTAGAAAACATCTAATAATTACCAGATAATATTGTATTTATTCTTATCATTGATGTCTATTTTTCATCAGTTAATGTATAGTTTTTGGGAATGCAGACTTCGCTGGAACCAATCTTGAAAGATACTTTATCGTCAGGGCACTTTATTGGTGCAGTTTTTGCCATCACTCCTGCTTGTATGAAATAAATAAGGCACCAGAAAATCGCTATTAAGAACAGTGCGCGGTACAACCGGGACATCTGAAACAAACAATTTCATTATTTATTATCTTCAATAGCCTATTAATATTTTCATAATATTATAGGGCATAGGTAGGATTTCTATCGATGGTATGCCATCAGCCATGATGAAATAGTGTAAATTTGTGGATGCTAAAGACTGCAAATGAAACCTGAGCACAAGTACGAATTTTAACACATTAAAATCAAACGTACGTGCTGGCGGTCATTGACTCATTTTAGGTTCGTTTAACCTAAATAAATAAAAAAAAAAAATTCTAACCATTTTCCAGACCCCCCCGACGTTACCCCGATACGAACCAATAATGCGAGAAGGTATTCTTATCATCAACATCAAATTTTGTATGGAAGAAGCCAGTTTGTTCCTACGTCCGGTAGAGGCGTTTAGTTTTCATAGAATTTGATGATGCGATACGATTACTGAACTGTCAAAGTTCGTGCTGGGGCCTCTGGAATAACGGCTTACGTGCCATTCCGCAATCCGAAAGTGTAGGATCCACCCTATGAAAGGCTATTGCAAACATTGTTCAACATCCATGATCCAAGACTCCTGCGCCATTGAGCTCCTAGATTCCCAAGCCAAACAACACATTGATAACATTTAATTTTACTTTTATACTGTTTAGGCATAAATTTGATTTATGTATACTGGTAAAATTAATTGTGACCACAGTGCACCTTTGTTGTATTTTTATCGTAATCGTAAATTTTATGTAGTGAGTAAGGTTTCTTGGGATCATTGGTATTTTTTTTTACTTTTACTTCTACTTGTAGTTTTAAGACATACTTCATAGATATAGTGGTATGAATAGGGGTGCATGATATCCATGTCCATTTCCCGTGGTCGCATCACTTAAGACAGCTTAAGCTTACTGTTGCAATACTGATAGTTTCAAGAGACCTCCATCCCCTATATTTAATTATTATCATAACTACTCTACATCTACATCGTTTTTTTTTATTAATTATTGTTAATTGTTAAACCTATAATATTAGCATTGAAATTAACAGCCGTCTGATTGTACATTTTCCTTTCACTTTCAAATAAACAAGTACTACTTTGTTTGTTTGAAAGAAAGAATGACAATAGTAAGCATAATAACAAAAATGAAAAATACATAACAAAAATAATATTGAAAAGAAATTCAAAAAAATATATTGTTAATGAAAGTATCGTAAATTCTACTTAAGTTATTACTTACTGCGTCCGCATTACTTGCACAATTAATATAATATTTTTTGTAGTATGTATGTATGTAAATAAGTAATACAATAAAATATGTAACAATTCACACTATCCAATATCTATATTAGAAAATAATAATTTTGTAAACGTAGCTGAACAGAATCAAATTACAAAATGAAAAACCCGTTTTTGTTAGTGTCACAACACTCAAACAACACTCACTTTCGTTAAAAAGATGCGAAGTCGAAATGACCTTTCTGTTGCCGCCTCGGACCTCTACTGAATCACCAAAGCAACACATTAAGTTTATAAGTTGTTAACTCGTTTTGCACAATATCAACTCTCTAACCCTGAACTTTTAAAAGTTCAGCATTGTTTTATTTCTAACGGTGTTTTTGCAGGTGCCATGGCGCAGTGCGGCGGGACGGCGAGGTTGACTTTTGTGCGATGGTCAGGGATGTCTCCAGAGGGTGCAGCTCCCGTGTTCGTGTATTCAGCGAGTGGGGACGAGGAGTCCTTGGCCGGCGCTTGCCTGGCCCGGTGTAGAGAGTTGCCGGACTGCGCTGCGGTTGCCGTCGCATACAACAAGGGCAACTGCCACGGCGTCGCAGCCATGAGGGATGTCGAGCTGCGACAAGACTACGACGTTTCCTACTTCAAAAAAATATGCTTGGAACGTGTGTAGTAGGCCTCTCTCTTTTATTTTATTTAATTACCGGTTTCGTTCGTTAGAGAAATAAGTTCAATCACTGTTTATATGTTCTCGATTACGCCATTTTAACCGAGCTAACTTACATAATTGACTTAATAAAAACTTCAATATTTCCAATGTTGTGTAATTGAGTGGTGTTTATTAAAACTACGCCGACTCGCCTTGCATGCTCTTTTTTCTACAGTAGCTAGTTGAAATCGATTTAAATGTTCTCTAAATTCTGAAAATGTTTGGTTTGGAAACCCAATTTATGGATTAAAATGAAGAAAAAAGAGATGTTCCCTTGAGTTAAATGAAGTTACTCAATTCCAATCAATTATACAAAACTTTAAGAAGGTATAGGTACAATATCACCGGAAATGTAAAAAGGCGACAAGATTTTTTTTTACCCACATTTCCTGGGAAATACAATGTACCTATCCTTTTGCTGATATTTTTTTTATTTTCAAATTAATTGAGGAAATGTCTATTGTCTAAATAAATTTCGAGATTTCATATTTTTTTAGCAATCATGCACTTGTTATAAAAGTAAGGTCTGCCAAAAACTACTGGACCAATTTAAAAAATCTTTCACCTACCAATAGAATGCTACATCATTCCTGAGTCCCATATGCTATTTTTATCACTTAAATATAAATTTTACGTGCCTCCCGAATCACTGAGGAGCTTGAGATAATAAATTTTTGGTCACCCATCCGATAACCGGTCATTTCTGCTTAATTTTTACAGCGCAAGCGGAACGTGCGAACCACTTGCGCCATCAAACTTCTCGTATTTTTGGATTGGACTATTTAAATAATTTTAAGATAATAAACCCTGTCCTCTAATAAATTTTAATATACATAATCATGAGATTGTCACCAACAAGAGACATTCTATAATTTCTCAAGGTTGACAGCTGCCTCTTAACTTGCTGAAAGTTGTATCTAGTGTTGCATAGGTATTATTCCTATCATTCTATAAAATGATCTCTTTTTGTGTATGCCTTAAATTAGTATTGTCACGTGTTACAAAAGTAGGTACATATAGAGCTAAATATACGAACTTTTTCACGGCTTTTTACGATGCTATTCCTGGATGAATGAATAAATGAACCGAACTAATTATCACAGTGTACCTACTTAAACAATTTCGAAAAACTATAAATAGAATTCTTTATAAAAGTATTCTAGAAACATCGCTGAGCTTTGCTTGATGTTACGGAAAGCGTAGATACTACCAGTATTACGCAAATAACTTGCGATCGCCAAAGCAGAAATTGTGTGGTGTGGAATTTATGTATTGTTTGATTAAAAATATTTTTAGTCGCATTTTGAAGTTTATATTTTCGTGAAACGATTCTGTAGCAACCTGTTGCAAATCCAAGCTGTTGTACTTGTAAGTAAGATTAATAGGCCCGCTAGATTTTAACGAACGGGCGTTCACCTAGATAGCACCAGAGGGTGTTTGTTTGATTCCAACAAACGAAAGTGCGAATCTTCTTCTGTATTATTTACGAGTATTTATTATAGAGACTGAAGAATCTCCATATCACAATTTACATATCTCCAATGTTAGTAACAACGTTTTTAGGTTTAGTGTTACTAAACAAAGAAATTTTATTGAAATATGTTTAAATAAAAAACACATTATTCATGGGTGTAAAGTATGTATGATAACCCAACGCTTTAACATGGGACGCCAATGTTCTCGGGATGCCGCAGGATATGTATTGATTTCCTAATTTTCATTTTTAAAGTAATTAGGTAGAAACTTTGAAACTTTTATTTAATAGAAGGAATTAACTCCATAATAAAATATATGCGAGTAAGGTCTTGTTATTAATTACTTGCATTTATATCGGACGCTGCAAGAAAATATTATCATTCCTAATTTTTAAAACAAGAAAATATAGTTTATTTATTAACTGATATACTGGAGATACTTACTTATATGGCAAGATCAAATCATTATAAATAGATATTTTAAAATAAAACCCTGTATCAGACAAAAGAAAAGAAAATGTACTTACTTACGTACGTACATAAGTTTGTTAAATAGCATTTTTTCTCAAAGAATCATTGAAGTATGGATAAAATTAATAAAGTTTCTGATTTTCCTAGTGAGTGAAGGATGCACAGAAAGTTGGTGGGCCTTGGAGAGTACGCCGGGCTATAATTTACACGCGGAAGAAGCCAGAGTAAGGGTTATGGCCAACGTTACTGTGCGCGAATGCTACTCCGCCGTGCTAGCAGGCGAAACAGGTCAACATTATAGGTAATGCTTACATTACTATGAAATAGTCATACTCTATTCATGATGCATTTTATAATTTTATTGTTCTAGGGGGGGCCCGCGATTTTGTCTGCGTAGTTTGATTGGTATTCTAAAAAAACTTCCAGCCCCCTTTGACACCCTCAGGAAACTCAAAATATGAATTCTGAAAGAAGCACTATCTTATGTGCTTTCCCTCACTCATACTATCTTGATACCAATTTTCATATAATTTGCTTAAGCGGTTTAAGCGTGAAGAGTTAACAGACATATATGGACAAATACTTTCGCAAAAAAATATTTTATGGCCGCTGAATGATTAGCGGCCATATAGTATCGATAAAGCTTAGAAAAAATATTGGTCTCCCTGCGGTCTACCGAAGAGAGACCTATCAGTTATCTAAGCAATAAAATTTAGAAGTAGGTACAACTACAAACTAGATATGGTATGGTTCTGCCATTGTGATTGCTTTTAAAATCCTACAATAACACAATTTTACGACGTGAAAGTTAAGTATGTGAATAGTGAATGTTTAATATAGGTGAGTGAAGAACACGGTTCACACCTTTTTCAAACAATTTGCTACTAAGCCTATTGTGCACTTTATAAGTAAACACTTAAACTTTCGTTAATTGCGAGAATATCTTTTCGTTGTATCGTAGACAGATTTATCTACTTATTTCAATAAGTTCTCAGGTATTCATGGACAGTTTTATCTGAACAATAGCTTATTGCAGTTAATACTTTAGTACTCATGATTAATGTACTTTGTCTCTCAAAAAGTACACAAAAAAATCACCGTTATATCTATCAAATGATGATGATGACCAGGTAGTTAAAGGGGATAATAACTACAGTTCCTAGTCAATATGATTAAAGACATTTAAAATCAAACAATGTTTTAATTATTTAAACTGCATTATAACCCCAGCGACGGGTCTTGTAATTGAAATTAAAATGTGTATATAATATTATCATGAATTGATTATCCAATTTCATTATCTTGGTTTTCATTTGGTTTTATAAAACCAGCAGAGTTGTTATAACAACTCGTGTTCCTCCTTGTGTTTTAGAAGTCGTTGAGTTGTATTTTTGTCTAAAGTTGCTTATTAAGCGCTGCGCGCTAATATACTGTGATCTACAGCTTTGTTTAATTTAACCAATTGAACAATCAGTGACTTCAACTATGTGGTAGGCATTTCTCTTTCTTTGCATATTAAAAGTAAATAGTACTTATACATAGTCATATATGAATAAATGCGTAACGCGTTTATGTCTTTTCTTTAACATCAACTTTATGCAAACATTGTAATAAGATGTTAGTTTTCTGGATATTTTTTTTATTCATCATCATCAGCCTATTAATGTCCCCACTGCTGGAGCACTGGCCTTCCCTATGGATGGAATAGGGAGATTTGGGTCATGACCCACCACGCAGGCCCAGTGCGGATTGGCGGGTGCTAACGACTGCAGATTCAGCCGCGACCAACGGCTTCTTCTTCTTCTTCTTGTTGCTACGGGCGTTTCCGCAACTCGGCGTCCTTATGGCGCCTGTTTTGCGTGAGGAGGGTGTATGGCCGGGATCATTCCAGCCAGCCCAGCTCCGCCAGGAAGCCCCCCAGGGCCTTCACGTTGGTGACTGCCTCTTGAAGGTTTCCCGGTGAGCCGAGGTATTTCGCCCGGTATTCGGCCACTCCGTTGCATTCCAGCAGAACGTGAGTAGCTGTTTCTTCTGCCTCCATGCATCCTCTGCATAGGGGGCTGTCCGTGACACCTATGTTGAAAAGATGTCTGTTAAAATGTGCATGTCCAGTAATAGTACCTGTTACCATGCGCAATGTAGGTTTGCTTAGCTGTAGGAGAGTTTTGGAGAAGGCAGCGTTCACCCGTGGCAAAGCGAGCTTGGTCTGCCTGCACGTCTCCAGTTCGAGCCAATGTTGCTGGTGTAGTGCGGCAGTGTGCTCGTGAATTTTATTAACGAGACAGCTTACCGGTATCGGGACGATTGGTTCGGGGCCTGTTGGGGTCGTATCGGATCCCTTCTGGGCCAGCTCATCCGCAGCGTCGTTTCCGCGTGATCCACTGTGTCCCTTGATCCATTGGATGGTAATAGAGTTGCTCGTCCCTACCGTGTTTAAGGTTTGGTGGCATTCTTGTAGTAAGCTCGATCTGACTAAACAGGCATCTAGAGCTTGTAGGACTGATTTGCTGTCAGACAGTATTCGTATTTCCTGTCCTGTTACCTTCCTTGAGAGGATCGCTCTTGCCGCCAGTGTGATGCCCATACACTCAGCTTGGAAAACTGTGTGGTACGGGCTTAAGGGGAAAGCGATGTGTATATTAAGGTCCTCAGAGAAAACACCCGCGCCCGTGCCCGATGAGGTTTTAGAGCCGTCGGTGTAGATCATGAGAGCCTTGTGTGTTACCTTTGGATCGTTGTCATCCAGTAGATGTATTCGGTACTTTTTGTCAAATATGAAGGCGGGTATTATTTTGTCACATGCCGCATCTATGAGCGGAGTGTTTACCCATTCCTTCAGTATACCGTTGAGATGCCTTGCTCTTTCGAACCTTACCAGTCCAAACTTTTGTAGTCTCAACGCTGTTTTAGCCGCTTCCTGTCTTATGTAGATATGGAGCGGTGTGATGTTTAAAATAACTTCCAGTGCTGCGGTTGGCGCCGTACTCCTGCACCCGGTCACCGCGCTGCATATCTGCCGCTGAAAGCTTTGTAGTTTGTTGACACAGGTAGTCTGGATAGATCTCGGCCACCATATGATGGCGCCATAAGTTACCATTGGTCGTATGACTGTGTAATATAACCATAGGAACAGTTTTGGTGCAAGGCCCCAACGCTTCCCTAACATTTGACGGCATTGCCAAAGTGTTACGCTGGCTGTCTTGATTTTGTGTTCCACATGGTTACTCCTGGCCATCGTCCTGGCAGACGACGTCCTCAAGCCCTAGCCCGTCGAGCTCCAGGAGACAGTCCTCACTAAGCGGCGAGGACGCCACCTGCGAGGGTCCCGGAACTTCGACAGCCGGTGATGAGGCACGTGGAATGGCGGTGTCCGTAGGGCCAGCGCTGGATGTGGATGGTAATGGCGCTGGTGTGACGTTCGTTGCAGTTTGAGCCCCGAGTGGTGCTGAGGGGTTGGACGTCGGCAGAGTGTCGACGTACTTCCCCTTGGCGTCCCTGAACTTCAGGTACACCGACCCAAACATAAAGCTGAGTCGGCGCCCCCTAGCCAGGATCGCAGGCACAACGTCCTCAGGGATCGAAACCATAACGAATGTGGCCCCGATGGTAGGCTGTTGTTGGAGGCCGTTAAGCAGCCAACGTTCGGGTTGCAGCTCCGGATTCCCGATCTGTAGGCATTTACCTAGCAACGGTGATCGTGCTTCCAGAGCTTGGGCAGCACAAAACCACACCTGACTCTCTTGGGGACTTTGTCGTCTCGGAGGACAACAAGCTCTCCCAGTTCCGAGTCATGTAGGTCTCGTACCACCCGTTGGAACCAATCGAACGTTGCGGTATTGGTGCACGTGAAGCGAAGGCACCCGTCCGCGTAGAGGGGTTTCGCGCAAAAGGCTAGACCCTCCCTCAAACAGGCCGTGCTCATCGCTGCCTGTAAAAAGGCTTCCAGAGCTTCTCCTCAATTTGCTCCGCCGTCGGTCTCGAGATAAACCCGGTCTTCGACGTAATGGCGCACCTGATGAGAGCCGAGGAGGCCGCTGCAGCGGCGTAGGATTTTGGGGCGGTCTCGGTCGCCATCGTCTTAGGCCGTTTGGATTCGCCTCGAGGAGACACTGTCTCATCGAGCCTAGCCCGCTTGGCCCCAGACTTCGTTTTCGCGGGTCCTTTCCCCTTCGGCTTTGGGCGGTCCAGCTTCCGACTCGGGCCCGGCATCACCTGTGGTTGCTTGGGCAGCTAGCTGCCTTTTGCTCCCCCTGGCGTTCCAGAGCCCTTGTCTTCCGACTGGACAATACGGTCGCTAGAAGAGGCCGGCATACGGGAGGCCCGTTTGAGCTGCTGTCTCCTTCGCGTCCGCTTCCTCTGCTTCTCCAAACGCCTAGAGGTCTGACCGGATGGTGCCGGGGTCTGAGTTTCCTCTACCTTCCTTGCTCCTTTCCTGGTTACGACCGTCCAGTTCTACTCTAGCAGATGTAGGGTGTCCTCAATTCGAGGTGTGGTGGTGCTTTCCTCAAGCATGCATTCCGATTTCTCGGTCTGCATGCGAGTAGCAGTACCCTCTGGTTTCCCATCGGGTGTTGGCGGAACGTTGAACCTGTTGGTGTCCATAGTTCGTGTGTGTTAACTTCATCCAGTCAGCTTTCCACCCTCCTTGGAGCCCGCACATTTGGGAGTGCCCATAGTGGTGCACTAGGATTACCGACTGGATATAGGAGCAGAGATTTGTTGTCAGGTGCGACATCGGAAGCTCGAAGTGTGTGACTGGGTTACCGGTTCTGAGTACCCCAGTTGTTCCACACACCCTTGCCTCGTCAGCATGACCCCTCCACTCCTCGCTGCGGCCCTCTGACGGGACGCGTGACCGTTTCCTCTCTGGCGCTACCCAAAGAGGCTACCGTTTCGGTTGAAATCCGGACCAAAGAGGGCGTGTTGTGTCGCGAAGGTACTACCGCCGACCTCGCTTCACTCAACCCTCCAGGACTCCTTCATCCCCCCTTACGGCGCTCAACTGCGCAGGCCATGGCGCAGGAGAGGCTAATAGTCTACCGGGCCGCCTCCCATTTTCCCGGTAGAGCCGAAGGCCTTTGTTAGGGTCGGCCTTAAGGAGTGACAGGATTCAGGATGAGGGAGGGGTTAACGATTAATTGGAGTTGGAGAGAAGGGAGTACGGGAAGTGTTTCCCGTGATGTTGGAGTGCATCAGTGGGATAGCATCACTAAATTCAGCTACGAGGATCCCAGGGTAGGTGTTAGTGTACGTTGCCTGTTAGCAGATCCAAGTATTACCGAGGTGAACGACGTGGACGTAAGAGTGACATTTGACGGTAGACGTGAATTGCCCAACAACGTACACTTGGGCTCACATCAGCCGCCCCTCCCCCCAAACGGCTTAAAGTGCCTTCCGAAGCACGGGGGAACTCGAGATAGAATATTTTCGGTCACCCATCCAATGACCGACCACTGCGAAAGTAGCTTAACTTCAACGATCGCAGCCGAACGCGCTAACCACCTCCTCATTAGATTTTTTTTTTATTATAATGTCTTAATTATATTTTGTATTTGACAGGTCAGCTCAGTGGGTGGGGCCCCAGGCTTCAATCAACGCAGAACTGGTGAAGATGTCAGAGGAGGACGTTGGCAACTGTATACTTAGCTCGGAGGACAAGTTTACTGAGCCCGAGTCATATCGCGTCTCCAACTACTACACATTCTACATAGAAAACCAGTGCAGGCATGACTGTAAGTGTGTAGTGAGTAGGAAGAAAGGCAGGAGTATGATTAAAACTGTGACGTGAAAACCAGCCAAGTCAGTCAGTCTAGTCCGACTTGGCCGGTCTTCACGCCATCGTTTTCCTTATTTAATCTATACATATAATAAAATGGTAGGAAAGTGAAAACTGTACCTTTAATTTATTTTTAAAGATTACATGGGGTGTGATCTACAATCGATAACCGAAGCCAAAAATATAGTTTTTAGAATTTTTGTCTGTTTGTCTGTATGTATGTCCGGGATAAACTCAAAAAGTACTGCATGGATTCACTTCAAATTTGGCACGAATATTATTAAGAAGTCGTATCAACATATTATAGGCTACATATTATCACTATCACCTACGGGGAACGAGCAGTGAACAGGGGTCAAATGACTAACTCCACGCGTACGAAGTCGCGGGCGGCCGCTAGTAGTTAGTAAATTGTAGTAATATAAGTTTGGAAAGGTATATCTAGTTTAAATGTCAAATTCAAAGATATTGCAAAAGGAGTTGAATTTAGACAAATAAGTGAAAATTATAATTCGAAACCCTCATTGATACCTACAGCGATTTGGCTGTTTATTGAAACCTTGATTATATACTTAAATTAAATATGAAGTTTTTTTTTATATTTACATCAAATTATAATTCCATTATAAGGAAACCCGTGTCTATATAGAAGAATTTCAACGTGATACCGTGGCAAATGGTTTCGCAACTGCTAATTATGAATGTAATTTTCTGGGTAATATAATGTGACCTACCGGCTATGATAAGATTATTAGCTTGTATTTTTATTTTGCTATTAGTTAAAATGGACTGACTCAAAAGACCTACTTGTTTTATTGTTATTAGTATTTAACTTATATGAGGACAACGTGAGAATGATAAATATGTCACATCTAGGGTTACCAACTTCGGTTCTATCAAATATAGTATTTTCGAAGCTGTTACCTCTAAAAATATAGTAGATGGCAAAAAAATGGAAAACAACATAGTAGGTATATGGTTAAAATATTTACTTTATTTTTAAAATGAGTATATTTTAATAATTCAGTTTTAATTTTTAAGAAAGCTTTTACTGGTAATGGCTGCTTACAGGAAAATATTGTAGTTTCGCCAATTATACATATAATAAAATGGTAGGAAAGTCAACTCTGCTGTACATTGAATGTTTTTTTTTTTAAATACTTGGGGTGTGATCTAAAATCGATACCAAAGCCAAAAATATAGTTTTTAGAATTTTTATCTGTTTGTCTGTATATATGTCCGGGATAAACTCAAAAAGTACTGCATGGATTTACTTCAAATTTGACACGAATATTATTAAAAAGTCGGGTCAACATAAAGGCTACATATTATCACGCTATCACCTACGGGGAACGAGCAGTGAACTTTTATTTCTAAGTAACTCAACGCGTACCAAGTCGCGGGCGGCCACTAGTGTTTTTATAAATATAGTATTTGGTCCCCTAATATAGTAGGATACTATATTATATAGTAGGGTTGGCAACCCTAGTCACATCACTGCATTATACCTAAACACTTACATAGTATTCTTAATGACGACACTTATTTCTGTGGACGGCACATTCTAGAATATCGTCGGGTACTAAGCTGCATTTTTTTCCGCATTTAGTTATATATGCGTTCTATTTATACTTATATTTATTTTCTACACCATTTATTGGATTAGGGACGTACGTATCTACGTACCTACTGGAAAAAATGTGTTTTTTTAATTTCAGATCCAAGGAAAATTGATCGATGTTCCTATGAGGAATATTATAATCAGACACTGAAACATGTCGAACTTACTACCAAGAATCGTACTAAAGATGAGGTAAGACAATTACAATAATTACCCTTTTTTTTCTATCAAATATTACAAATAACACGCAACCCAAGATACCTAAGCAAATCGCTTCTTTTTCTTTTTTAACAATATTAGATGTTTTTAGGTTTCCGTACGTCAAAAGGAAAAACCGAAACCCTTATAGGATCACCTTGTTGTCCGTTCGCCTGTCTGTCAAGACCCTTTTTCTCAGGAACGCGTGGAGTAAGTTAATCAAATGCTCAGGTCTACTGACCCTTGGAGCTGTGAAAAAATCAAATTTCTTAGCCAACGCAATCAAAAGATATAGCCGTTTATGCTGCTAATTTCCGCAAATTTTCAAAACTCGCAAGGGGATCAAAACCTACGAGGTACTTCCTGTGAACTCAGAATTTTGAAATTTGCTACGAAGCAACGTCTTATAGCACAGATAAGGGAAAATTTGCGAAAACTGTAAATATTTAGCTACGTCATTTTTTTAAATTATTATATACATATATACACTCGGTGCGCGAGTCCGACTCGCACTTACCAGGTTTTTTTGCAGTACACTTCTACAGCAACACTTTAGGTACTATTGTTGTATAAGCTGTGAAATTCAAATATTTTTCTGATAAGTATATTAAAGAATAAATTTTGAATTCAACTATTTTATGATTATATATTATATTTCTGGGTCATGCTGGTCTAGTAGGTACTTAATTGTGGGTGCAACTGTTTCTGTTGCAAACCGGATCTCCGGCTCTTCTTGCAAATCAAATAAAAAATCAGAACTGGTCACTGGGGTTATGAGTGACGTTGCGTTACGTCCAGTTCCCTTCAAATTTTGTACATGAAAGAACTGCTCCAGTAAAGTGGAGAGTTTGTTTTTAAAATTACCCTATTCGAATAACAGTGAAGTTCCTTTGCGAAAGTAGAGAATGACTGCCTAAGTAAAATTTATTCAAAAGTAAATAAATTATACTGTTGATGATGTTAGTGATGTATCTATGAAATGCTTCAATCATAAAATACTGTTGAGGAGAATATTGTACATATTTCAAAAGTGGTTCACATTGGCGTGACATTTTCAATAGTGTGCACTATAGTGTGTGTAATCTAAAGGAAAAAAAAATAGTGTGCACGGACCCCACATCTGAAGTGAAACTTCTTTTCTTCAATAACTTCTTTAATGCATGCATACACACTACATTAAACACACACGTACACACTCATTTACACAAATTTAGTTATCATGCTCCATTTATAAATTTGATTTATATAGGTATTTATATTTATCGAAAAATTTATTTGAATCTTTGTTGGTATTTATTTTATATTATTGTTAATTTGTAAATTCTCCCCTACGTTATCATTTTAATTTTTAAATTGAATACAAAGTGAGTTTCTGTTTTGGCTGAAGTGCCGTTTAAAAATTTATATGAGATTATATTGTGTAAAATGCTATAGGGGAATGGAACAGCGCACGTAACGCTCATAAATATGTATACTAGCTTCGTACCGCCATAAAAATAGGGGCAGGTGGTATAAGAGAAAATTTAGGGTTGCATGTATTTTTTAAAACCACATTATAAAAAAATAAATATTGCCCAAAAAAAATTGGAGGGGGGGGGGGGGACGTAGTTGTACGTTACAATACCCAATAGTTTGAATTTTGGCGCGAAGGCTCATTGTATGTTTCAGAACACTGCGTTACAGGTGCACAACCTTTATCACTTAGGGATATGAAAAATAGATAGTAGCCGTTTCTCAGACCCACGGAATATGCATATAAAATTTCATAAAAATCGGTCAGGCCATTTCGGAGGAGTATGGTAACTAACATTGTGACCACGAGAACTTTATATATAAGATACTGTCGCGTTTGACGCTCGTGACGCTCGAAGCGTTTCAGCCTTCACCGAGTTACCCTCCAACTTTCTCATTACTTACTCGTTTGTTGTAGTGTAAAGCATTGTGTGAAGTGGAGCAGCGTTTCGTGTGTCGCGGCTTTACGTGGACAGAGAGGCCTGGGGCATCAGCGCGCGGCCTGTGCGACCTGCACAGCGAGGACCTTGTCACCACAGGGTCGTGGCTGCTGCGTCGCACCTCGCCTGCCACCTTCTACCGGCGGGTCATCTGCCTCAATAGTAAGCTCTTACACACTTAAATAATTAGGGTCAAGTGGAGCAGCGTTTCGTGTGTCGCGAGTTAACGTGGACAGAGACGCCCGGGGCGTCTGCACGCGGCCTGTGTAACCTGCACAGCGAGGACCTCGTCACCACAGGTTCGTGGCTGCTGCGCCGCACCTCGCCTGCCACCTTCTACCGGCGGGTCATCTGCCTCAACTGTAAGATCTTTCATACTTTAATAATAAAATGTATGAGCTGTGTAGTAGGGGAGAATTTTGGGCCCCACGAGTATGGATGTATTCGAAAGTCGTGAGGAACTTTTCCAGTTTTAAAATCATATGTAAGAAACAATGACCTCTATGCACAGGGACTGATCACGTTGTACGATAATTTTGCATAATAAAATAGCACTTCCACAAAATGTGTATTTCTATTTTCGCTGTAAATAATAATAAAATTTAAGGTTTTCCATACAAGAATAGTAAGTATTTAGGAGTTTTATGCTTAACTCTGCAATAACCACTAGGTATTTTAAGTAATGTTGGCATCTAGTTGAACTACTACTGTTCAGGGTGTCGATTATTCTGCTAAGCTAATGTAAAAATCGTGTCTCAATAGTGTTTAAATGGTGTAGCTTTTTGACACAGTTGTTGTTGCTAAAACATAAAATAACAAAATCAAGTGAATAAGCGAATAAATTTCCGATTTTGTGCGCTCTGCACAAGTATGTATATTTAAGTTATTAAAATCCCCTTATGTTTCAATTAGTCACGGTGGACTGCGAAGGTCCGAACCTAGTGGTGACGTACCGACCGCGCGGCGTATTCCGTGGCAGGGTGTACGTGCCGGGGCGCGGCGAGCGGTGCGGTGCCCGCGCCTCTGGACGCGCCGTCAGACTGACCCTACCACTGTACGGCGATTGTGACGTCAACTTCGCGTATGCGATAACGAAGACGCCAACAGGCACCATGAACAGGTTTTTATAAAATAGTGATACACTTAATGGTATTTTTACATCGGTTTTCAAGGTGTTGTCGCCTTGTCAGCGCACAGAGTTCGAATCCCGGTGGGACATAATCATAATCAATCAAAATCATTTATTCAGTTTAGGCTGTTACTAGCACTCATGAATGTCCAGAAGCTACGCCATCGGTTCGTAAATCTACGGCGGCAGACCTTGTACTGAGAAGAACCGGCAAGAAACTTAGCAAGGACTGTTTTATTCTCCCTGTTTTATTATTTACAGAGTCGTCAAGTTGAAAAATTACTTCAGTGTCATACAATATGAATACAAATAGTGTTATTTATATTAGGTGGAACTAGACATTTACATTTTAAATATCAAAGTAGTTAGGGCAGACTCATCTCCGCTGGTAGCACCCGTTCACGAGCATGACGCATGAACCAGCCATCGCTTCGTTCAACCATATTTTAGGGAACGTAACGACCCGCCTCATACGACACCACCGAAGAGACTTTTAAGAGAGCATGACTACCTATAACCACCTATATTAACCACAACATAATTACGTAAGTAATTTATCTATAGGACACTGCAAACAATTACGAAGCAAAAACAATGGAGAAATCATGACCACGCCGTTTTGTCATTCAAATGTTCCTAAATAGTCTGATATTCTTCCTTAAGTAATCAACTTTAAATACAGCTTTTAAATTCAATAGGAGTATCGTCAACACATGATTCATAATCTATACTTATAATAAATCTGTAGAGAGGTCAATTCTGTACATGAAATATATTTTCAAAATAACTATCAGGGGGTGATAAGTGATCGATACTGATGCCAAAAATGCAATCAGTAAAATTTTTGTCTGTCTGTCTGTCTGTGTGTATGTTCCTTATAGAAACAAAAACTACTCGACGGATTTTAACGAAACTTGGTACAATTATTCTTCATACTCCTGGGCAGGTTATAGTATACTTTTCATCACGCTACAATCAATAGGAGCAGAGTAGTGAAGGGAAATGTTAGGAAAACGGGAGAAGTTACTCCATTTTTTAAGCTTCCGTCGCGTGTGGAGCCTTAATGGTTAAAGTTACATAGAAATCATGTATGACGGAAATATTCTACATAAAATTGTCTAAAAAATATCCCGCAACAGCATATGTCTATCTTTTATGGTTGACTCACAATAACACGTGTAACTCCTGATAGCTTAGCAGTTCGGAGCATTCTGATTATATTTGTTTACTCTTACGTTTATACTACTCTCACTCATCCCTAATTTAAAAAAGTTAACATTATTACCTATTCAATAAAAAAAGAATCATAGAAATCGGTATAGAAACACCAAACTTATACATGAAATAAGCCATCGCGCCGTCGCACGTGAATACTGAATCATGCTTTAAGGATTATTTTTGTGTAACGGCTGCCGCGCTCGACACGGGTCGTGGCGGCGCGGTAGGGTATAAAAAGGCGGGAGGTCCGAAAGCGAGCTTCTGTCCGATACGGGCGGACCCCACTAGGAGGCCGCACCGTCCTTCTCGCGCATATGCTCTAGTATCTGACTAAAGCAGCGCTGCGTCGCTCCCCCCCCTGGGGGACGATCGCTTCCGATGAAGCCTTAGAGGCCTTCCCGGCCAGAGGCAGCCCCTACGGGTGTTTTTAGTCAGTACGAGTCTGACATAACCTTGCAGCCGGCTGTAGGGTATCCATGAGGATTTCTCACCCGCTCCCCCGCCTGGGAGGAATCAAAAAAAAAAAAAAAAAAGAAAGCGAGCTTCCCCGCCCCCCCGATCCTGAGAGACCTTCAGTCGCTCAGTCCCAAACCGATACGGATGCACATCAGGGTGCATCCGTCCTCTAAGCGCACTATGCAGTAGTATTTACTAAGGCAGCGCTGCATCATCCCCTTCTCAGGGGTTGATCGCATCAGATGAAGCCTGTAAGGCCCCTAAGGCCATAGGCACCCCCAACGGGTGTGTTTTAGTCAGTAAGAGTCTGACATAACTCTACAGCCGGCTGTAGGGTATCCATGAGGATTTCACACCCGCTCCCCCGCCTGGGAGGAAACAAAAAAAAAAGAAAGCGAGCTTCATTCAATATTTGGCTGTTGATGCGTTCAGAGCGTTCGACCTTATTGACAGACAATAATTGATATTGAGAAACCGTGCTTATCTTAGAATAAAAACCAAACATTTGTAAACAAAATTAGCAAATAAATCATGTAAAACGTGTAGAAAATGAGTACTGGAAAACGGAAATATGAGAATTTTAGTTTGGTTATAAATACAGGTAATAAAAATGACCGTTATTATCTATATATGTATATAAAAGTCAAAGGTGACTGACTGACATAGTGATTTATCAACACACAGCCCAAACTACTGGACGGATCGGGCTGAAATTTGGCATGCAGGTAGATGTTATGACGTAGGCATCCGCTAAGAAAGGATTTTGATCAATTCTACCCCCAAGGGGATAAAATAGGGAATGAAAGTTTGTATGAAACTTTGTCAATTTTAAACCGATCGGGCTGAGACTTTGCATGCAGGTATAAGAAGAATCATAGATGAATGTCATTGTGTATAATACAAGCCTGACAACAAAAACTGTAGTCTATACTTCAGCTCTACACCGAAGCGAAGCGAGGGCGGACCGCTAGTAATAAATATATACAGTAAAACCCGTTTATGACGATTTCACAGAAACTCAACCAAAAACGCGTATTATGCGGGTGTGCGGGATAGGGAAATTTCGAATGTAGATATAGAGGTATTAAATGTACAATATTTATAGAATTATGTATGTCATAAAAAAATATTATTATGTTATTTAAATTAATCACTTATTTTAGTTTGCCAAAAAGATTTTCAACATAATTTAACTTTTGCAGTGCGTCTTCGCTTTGATTTAAAGAAGTTACATAGCGTCTTAAATCATTAACTGCTGATAATGCCTGGGCGTGTTACAAAATCGGAATTGACTCATCTTCTTCTTGACAATTATCACTTAGGGCCTCTTCTTGTGTGTTATTCACATTCTCATTGAATTTTGTGCTGCCGCAAGAGGTAATATGTGTGGTACGTGTTGGCGAGAGAAATCGTATTAAGCGTGATCGTATTAAATGCGTTCTACTATATATTATTTAGAAATAGAGATACTTGTATGATGAATACGAGCATTTGTACCAAAGTTATAGCTGTTTATATATATTTCTAGAAAAATACACGTACATATGTATAGTAATTTATTTGTAACCGTTACCCTAGTATCCCGTATCACACGCTTTACAGTGCTCACTTTGGGGCTTGGCTTGGCTTATTGGTGTGAGTGTTAGAGAGCATTGCCGTAGTCTCCCTTTAGGCGAAATGCTACCTTTACCTATAATATTATTAACAATCTTCAGTTACTTGCGGTGTTGCTTGGGCAAGAGCTTCAATGTTCACGTGATGTCTCTGGCATCAAAAGGATAGGATCATTGTAGGATAGGCTGTACAGAGCGCCGTCGCGCCTTGTTCAACGAATCTATAATAACATTTCTACATAGTTTCAACTGAAGACTTCGGGATTTCTCCACATTCCACAATAAGCTCCCCAGGCTAAAGCTGCATAAAGGTGGGGCAGATTTATGATTAGCTCTTACCCCGAGAAACTAATCAACTGTGTGTGTATGTGTGTAGAAACGGTATCCTCTAAGTCCTACTCATATTATATATGTGTAAGTTTATAAATACTTATGTTTATTCGTATGATGATTGAACGGATTTGGATGAGATTTGGCACACACTATGTTAGTAAGTAAGTTGAGATAAAAATTTCCTGTTGGATTTTCAAAAAAATTAAGTCAACGCGAATGAAATCGCGGGTTGCAGCTAATAATAAAATAGACATAATTTGACATTGCTTCCACAGGACCATGGCGTACGTAATAGTTATGATTCAGAACAACCCCATCATCCAAACGGCGGGTGACCGCTGGGTGCGCGTCGGCTGTTCCCCGGGGGCAAGAACTTCTACACACGCGGTGGATGCTACGGTTAACGTCAGAGATACAAGGTTAACTGCTTTGAAATTATCCACTATTGGGCTCGATTGTGGCATGATTCCCTAAACCTAATTTAAAAATTATACGTTCTTATATCATGATAATTGAGAATGAAAAGGAAATACTGTTGTCAAATTTAGTTTTAGGATAAAGCCAAAACAAATGTTGCCATTCATTAGGCAACATTTGTTTTATAAACTGTTTATGAAGTTGATCACCTTGTTCATTAACAAGTTTACTAGAAACACTGTTAATGAACACATATCAACTGTTGCTAGGATGTCGCCCGAGGAGGTAGTGTTGCTCTGTCCTACTTACGTAGTAGTTCATGAGAGTACGCAACCGAAAAAGCTCTATGATATTGGTCGTTAGGTCACACTATTAGCATGTTTAAATAAACTATAAACCTTAGGAGGCTTTTCTTTATAAACTAAATGTTTTGTTTTGCTCTCTACTCAGAGTGGAGAATACGACAACGGCAACATGTATCTGAAACAACATCAACAATTTATCATCGGTGTTTATAAACTGTTTCTAAACTGTATACAGAGATGTTGCAACATATAATACGCGCATTTATAAAATTAGGTCAGAATTTTAAAAGGCCCCATGTCTACTTTTATACTACATACTTCTAAGTTGTTGGCGCAGTGGTAAGCGGCGTCAAAAAAATTGGAACTTTCGCAACAACCACTAATTAAAGATAAACCCCCTCATATGAGTGTATGTACCAAATACACACACATACTACATAAACTCTCATTCAAACACACTCTCTTTTAATTTACCAATGACAATTAATACTATTATACTTTGTTTAACTGTATACTGACATTTATCACATTTGGTAACCATTTTTGGCACTCCGAGGATGATGTAACACAGGTACATAGATCTTACCTAACGTGGGCATCAATTTCACACAAACATTGATGTAAATAGATATTTAAAAATTGTTATTGATGCAAGTGTTTGTGAGAAAATAAACGACTTTATTACAATAAACAACTTTATAATTAATTATGAAGAGGTACCTAATCCAACTACCTTTATAGGCCAGGGCGGATGCCATTGTAAATCGTAAAAAAGGGATTAAATTTCGAAACAGGATGAAACCCATTCCTATATTTTTTTTTCTTTTTTAATGCGTTCTCTTTCTTTTTGGCCCTAAAAATTTTCGGCCATGGAGTAGTACCTAACCGTGTATTATTAAATTTTAGGTGTCTTTTTTTATTCGAAAGGCAAGTAATCGGTCACTGTAGTCTATGAACTCTTGCGGCTGTACCTGTAAAAACCATAGAGCAACACGGCCGAATGGTAAAAACTTACGCATTTTTTAAAGAACGCCAAGATATATTCCTATAGGAAAACCTCAACAGGGACCTCCCTGTACAGTTTTATCGCAAACGAGATAGGCCAGGGCGAATGCTTTTGAAAATGGTAAAAAGATCAATTCGCTCGTATTATCTCGTATTATTTTTCCGCTTTTCAATGAGTTCTCTTATTTTTTAAATTGGTTTTATCCTGTTCCGTTCTCAAATATTATCGGCCCTGGCCTAAAAGGTAATTCGTCTGAAATTAGCCACTAACTCTGCTCCAAATTTAAGAATAAATGTGTTTTTTTCTGCAGCATAAAATAAAAATCTTATGGTAGTGTGGATTTCAAAAAAAAAACATTAAAATTGTCAAAAACATATTCAAAAATAAATCTAAATTCGAAAATAACCTACTGCGGTGATACGATAATTAAACTTTGTGTGATAAAAATATGAATTTTACCTTATCCCTGTATTATTGGCGATCTGCGGCACCGAACTTCGCATTTCAGATTTTCACATTGCAAGTGACTTTTTTTCCTCTGTCCTACAGTAAACCTTCTCAGGTCAGCGAATTGTCGAACGGGGCAGCACCAGCGTCTGCCAGTGCGGTGTACAACGCGAATACGGCACCTTTGACGATGTACGTGGTGCGTGCCGTAGATGACAGTCCCAACGCAGCCGCTGCCGTGTCATTGGGAGAACCGCTAGAACTACGTATAGAGACCACAGGTAGTATAAAAAGAAAGTTTGTATGAAATAATCACATTTTTTATGGGTCTGCTCTTGATAACTAGCCCGAGAGCAGAGATGGGATCTCGTTGATCGTCATTTGGGCCGCCGCTAGAAATGCACATCCAGACCTCGGGTATTATAAATATTAAAAATCACCCTTTTTCTTGCTTTATGGAGAAGAAGATTGGGTCGTGACCCATCACGCGGGCCGAATCCGGTCACATTTTATTTCATATAAGAAGTTTTTGGTCACCCAACCAATGACCGACCATTGCGAAACTAACTTCCGCGATCGCAGGCCGAACGCGCTACCACCACCGGTGCCATCGAGCTCCTCCTCGGAAGGCGGAATGAGTTCATGTAGCTCACTCCCCAGAGTACAGACTGTTATACAACAGGCAGGGCGGGTAACCTTTCGGTAGGGAGCCAAAGTGTGAAGCTTTTGAAGTAATTTAAAAATGGGCGCTAACTATTATTATAATTATGATCATTAAGGTGAATTGATTTCATGTGGGATGTGGGTACTGGGTTTATTATTAGGGTTTCATATACACACTCTTTTGAGATTATCACCATCGACCAACATTGAGGTCCTCAGACCTGCTTTGGGTCTGCGAACATTGTTGAAAAGCAGCTTGAGGGAAAAGTAAATGGATTAGGTTATGGGAAAACGCAGAAGTGACACTCTACAGCATCACCAGCGTCTATGCCTATAAACTGCTTAAAGATTCTAAGTTAAGGTGGCTTACCATCAGCAGGACCTTAAGCTTTAAGCCACCCTTTCTACTTAAAAGGGTATAGAGTTTAATTCCGTTTGATTATATTGCAGATAATAACGAAATTGAAGCTTATCACCTTGTGGCTTCATCACGACTCGGCGACAGCTCCGTGCTTCTATTAGATAGCCGTGGTTGTCCTACAGGGCAGGTACAATTGTCCTTTAAATAGTCTAGTTTATAAAACATCTTAGTACCTATATTGTTAATTTAACACCAACAACTCGTGCCACAGGTTGACTTTCCATCCTTCAGCAGAACTAAGTTGGGTGGGACTCAGAGACTATCTGCACGTTTCAAAGCATTCCGCTTTCCAACATCACATGTAGTCCGGTTCGCTCTAATGGTCAGATTTTGCGAAGGGCAATGTGCACCGGTAAGTCAATAATCAAATAATCTATATATATAAAACTCAAAGGTGACTGACTGACTGACATAGTGCCCAACGCACAGCCCAAACCACTGGACGGATCGGGCTGAAATTTGGCATTCAGGTAGATGTTATGACGTAGGCATCCGCTAAGAAAGAATTTTGATCAATTCTACCCCCAAGGGAATAGGGAATGAAAGTTTGTATGAAACTGTCAATTTTAAACCGATAGGGCTGAGACTTTGCATGCAGGTATAAAAAGAATCATAGATAAATGTCATTGTGTATAATACAAGCCTGAGAACAAAAACTGCAGTCTACACTTTAGCTCTACACCGAAGCGAAGCGAGGGCGGGCCGCTAGTCCTTATTAAAATAACTTGAAATGTTTAGCAGTAATGTTTTTATTGTCATAACTATAATAACTTTTATTTGAGTTTCTTGCTGGTTCTTCTCGATACAAGGTCTCTCGCCGTAGTAGATTTGCGAACTGATGGCGTAGCTTCTAGACATTTATGGGTGCATATTTTAACAGCCTAAACTAAATAAACTTTTTTTGGTTGACATGTAGTTAACTATACATTTAATGTAGGTTAACTGCGTGAACCACCAAGGTAGATCAGCAAGAGATACTAACGATACGTCATATCAATTGGATAGTAATGGCATTGAGGCGACAGTCAAAGAGGAGAGCTGGCATGACAGTAGACTGGGCAATGTTCCTAATGGCGTGGTTGCACAAGGAGGTGCAGCTCTTTGCGGTGCTTCTGATGGCCAAGTGCCACTCGAAGTGGAAATGGTAGTCGGCTCCGGAGATGTGCTCTCAGCTGACACTTTGATCCACGCAGATCACCAGGCCAATATACGTAAGTTTCAAAATTTCCTTTTCTAAAATTGAAGGCAAACAAGTACATAGCCCGTCTGATGATAAGCTGTAAACGTACATAACCTATAGATGTTTGAATTATGATTGATTTTACTGAGGTCTTGAGTATACTACTGCTGATGTTTGCTTGTAGGTAGGAAATTTTTAATTCATTTACTCATCACCACTCTATTATTGAAGAAAAGCCAAAGCTTATATAATATACTGTTTTGTATTAATTGGATGAATGATTGATATATTTGTCACCGGATGCTATTTTTTTATTACTTATTTATAAAAGTAGGTAGCATACTACCTTACTTAGTGTAAAGAATTGTTTCATAAAAAAGTGGATTAATAATATTACATCTGAGCCGTCGCCGTCGTCGCGTCGCGTCTTCGAGAGTTGACTGCTACTGATTCTTCTGTACTATTGCGATTCTGCAATAGGAAGGGCTACCAATGGGGTACACATCTCGGTACTAAGGGTGATGATTCGGAAAAGACCACCATTGCAGTAACCTGCCGAAGCCTTTAAGGGTGGGATTGTCTTTCTTTGGTCGACGCTTTCATTTCACGTACCTACATTTCCATTCCCGCTGAATGGTTCGAATTTAACTTTTTAGCGCTCCTTGTATATGGCCTCTAGGGTGGCCGCTACACTCTCCGGTTTTGTAAATTTGTATTAAAAAAAACATATGACAATATAACATAGTGAAAAGATTATTAATATATGAAAGAGGGGAGACGAACTTCTTAGCAATCCATGGATTCACCGTGCGGGTGCCGGGTCCATCGTTTGGGAGAGAGAGAAACTTTGAGCAGTTCCCGAAATTTGCGACCCAGGTGTAGGTTTAAGGAGGCCCTCTTTAAGATGCGCATCACGCTCACCCTCACTGCTCGAGTTTTCCGCCCCTCCTAGCCAAATTTGATGGGAGCCTGTTAGTGCAGCCTTAGTTACTCGTTCTAAAATTGAACTTACTGAAGTTTTACTCTTAGGCACTACGTATGTAATTTTAAAATGATCGTAAATCTGTTTGTTGATCAACATAATCTTTAGAAAGCCTATAGTTTGCTTGCATAACGAAATTTTTGTATGAATTTTGATTTGAGCTAAGTATCCAGGATAAAGAACATTATAATATGTAGATACATTCGCCTAGCTTTGTATAATTCAATTTGATACAATATACTGCATTGGCAGTTGGGCGTCCGTTTATGTAATTGTGTTGTGTCATTACATTACAGAAATGAACTGCTTCGTTGAACGTAACCGCCTCGTACACGCACTAACAAGACTATTATAACGCTTAAGGGTGCGGCCAGAGTGCACTCAGATTCAGATTCAGATTCAGATTTCGAAAACAAGCGCGAGAAATAAACAGTGTAGTCGAAGGGTACGGCCAGATTGCACTCCTGATTCAGATTCAGATTCAGACTCAGAAAACAAAGCGCGAGAAAAAGCAAGCAACCTGCTTAGACTACACTGTTTATTTCTCGCGCTTGTTTTCGAAATCTGAATCTGAGTCTGAATCTGAGTGCACTCTGGCCGCACCCTAAGACGTGTTTATGGGCATTAGTCATTTTTAATCTTTGTTTTTTGACGTGACAACGTCTTAAATTAGGTTGCGGCTGGGAGTCACTTATGAAAAAGTGTAACGCTCGGTAACGTTACGATGAGTCTCTCGTGTTAAGTTTAAGTTTACATGTACAATGTTTTAGTAAACAAAATATATTTCTATAGTTAAAATTTGTGCAATTCTTATTTTCATTCAATTCCTTGTTCCTATTGTGCAATTTAATTATATTCATATCAATAAATATTCTACCGAGAAAAAGACGTTGTCACGTAAAATCGTCGCCCGTAAAACCGACTTTACAGGCAACCATTTTTTATGTAGATACATATGTAAGTTTATAACTCAAAGGCGGTTGGACCGATACAGAATTTTTTTTTTGTTGAAAGGTTATACTTGCCAGTTGGTGCCATTGTCATCAGCCAGCTTATTAGCTAAGTGTTTTACATTTACAGTGTGTAACTAAAGAGAAAATTGCATACCCATCAATGTTTTTTAGGAGAAGTACCTAAGTGGCTTTAAAATAACGCAGTAGTAGATCAGTAAATAGCTCGGTGATTATCACTTCCATCTGTCAAACACCCTTAGCGATAGGCCAGGATCTGGAGAAACTCGAGGGAACTCTTCAAAAAATTATAGGCACATCGCCAGAAATTTAGATATTTTTGATAGTAAGTAACTCCAGGGTCCAATCTAGGGAAGATGCATATATAATATTTATGAAAATTTTATGATTAAAATGTTAAAAAAATATAAAAGAAATGCTACTGCAACGTTTTTATTTTACATAATGTTGTTTTTTAACAATTATTACGAATTAAAAATACTTGAAACGGAACGTATTTTAAAACACCAATCAGCGTTTAGTGACGTCTCTCCTGTTATGACAACTTCTTTGAGGTATGGTTGTTAAAGTAAATATTATTTTATGGGAATATTTATTGCGTTTTTTTACATTTATTAAAAATGGAAGTTGCGTTTATCAAAGCAGACTCCAGGAATTTACCAAGAGTTATCGTTGACATGGTTATAACTTTTTTTGTCCAAAGTGCAGACTTTTTAAGTGTAGAAATGAAAGGGACTAAATTACTACGGTATGCAAAAATCGTAGTTGTTAAACTTCGTATTTTATTTAGCGGCTTCTACAAATTTTACGGCGATAATGCAATCGGCTATGTCCAAATTAAAAGAGATGGAAAATTATGTACAGTAAAAGGTCGAGTTCTCCAGAGCATAAAGTACGTAAAGAAGGTTATCGTGTTACAGTTATTTTAAATGAAACGCAAAGCTTGGTTCAGTCCTGCCAATGTGAAGACTGTGCCACACATTTTAAACTTTATCTAATTTTCGACGTCATTCTCCAACTGTAAAATTAAAAATATGTTATAGACAGGTTTTGTAAGTATTAGGTAGGTTACTAAGTAAGTATTATTCGCATTATTTACTAATGCGTTTTTACGTACAAGCAGATTAATTAAGCATATAACAAGTATATTCGCCGACTTACGTCAAAGTGATCTTCTCAGCATCGAATAATGCTCTTTGGAGAATAATTGTCATTTCTCTTCGCAGCTTGAAACCACTTTTTTCAGTTTTGGGTCAGAAATTCCAGTCAAAAACAATTTATTTGGGAACTTTGTTGAAGTAGATTGGCACAAAACATGAGTCAACACGGCTTTTTTCGGAATATTAGTGGTATTGTTATGATCACATGATGTTGATGGATAGTCCATTAAAAATTTTTCAAAAAAATATTTCGAAAGTCGATAAAATATGCAAAAGTATGAAAATTTAAAGCCAGCAACGAACAATTACGACCAGTGACAGACAGGAGTGACGTCATCGCAACCATAGGTTCGTTTTCGCGCGAAAATTTAAATTGTCAATTTAAAACCGCATTTTTTCCGATAAATCACAATGTTTTAATTTTTTAATATATCTGTGTTTTATTCTACATGGAATTCTTTAAAATGAAAACAAAAATAAAAATATTGCATCTTCCCTATTCATAAAAACCGGTTCACATGTTCTTCTAAGCTTTGTTTATGACTATTTATCTGTGTGCAGCTGAGGATATAACTGGCAATGACGAAGCCATGGTGTGCGTTCACGAATTGCTGCTGGTAGCGCTCGCGCTCGCGTGGCTGGCTGTACAAGTGCTGCTCTTGGTCGGATGCTGCGTACTCGTCAAGAGGTAAGACATTACTATGAAACCTGTAGCCACTATTCAAGTTTCTTAAAAATATGTAGGTGCATTAATCAACTTATTAATATTACTAGCGGCCGCTCGCGACTTCGTACGCGTGGAGTTAGTTAGAAATAAAGGTTCACTGCTCGTTCCCCGTAGGTGATAGCGTGATAAAATATAGCCTATATGTTTGACCGACTTCTTAATAATATTCGTGCCAAGTAAAAGTAAATCCTTGCAGTACTTTTTGAGTTTATCCCGGACATACATACAGACAAACAGACATAAATTCTGCTAACTATATTTTGGCTTCGATATCGATGATAGATCACTTCCAAGTATTCTTTTAAAAAAATATTCAATGTACAGTTTTGACTTTCCTACCATTTTATTATATGTATAGATTGGATTTTATATTGCATCATTGCATTTTTTGTTTTTTTTTATGGATGGTGGCATGACCCGCCTGTTGGTAAGCGGGCACCATAGCCTATACTTAGACGCTTGCGGTAGCAAAGCTTCATTTTAAATTAAACGTCATTTTTTATTTATGTAAATTGTGAGATAGGTAGTTATGTAAAAACATATTTTTTATATCCATTATATTTTACACTGAATGCTGCGCCTACAATGAAAATTCATTTTAACACTCAGGTACAGGAAATTGGCTGAGTTGAGTTTACAAAAGGACTACCAATCGTTTGACAACGTCGGCTTCGACAACGTATCGACCCATCGCCGCGTGCACTGGCCGGATCAGAACATCGACATACTGCACGCGAATTGATTGTTGACAACTGCTATCTGCTTAGTGCCTGCCCAGCACCCCTAGCACGAACCAATGTCGAATTCGTTACGTTTGCGAGTGGAAATCGTCATCGAGAAATTTTGTACGGAAACTTGATCAGTGCAGCGCCACAACGGACGTAACGAGTATTAAAAATCAGTAGCACGATCTTCTTGACATTTGAGGCGTATCGAGATCGAATTCAACTATTCGAATTCGATAACAGTTCGTGCTTAGGGTATTGATACACGCGCGATTCATACAAACGCGGTTTCGTACTTCTCCGCGCGATCATGAAGCTGAAGAAGATTATTGTATTCAAAACATGGGTGAAGGCATATGAAAACGCGCGTAAATTGCGTCATTTAGACGGTTTCGGACAGTAGCAGTGGCGTAGCGTGACGAGGGTTCATGCGTGCCATTCCAGGCGCCACTTTTAGGGAGAGAGAAACGACAAATTGTTCTATTTTTAAAGAAAAAGCACCTCACCGGGCTGGGAATGAACATTAAAAATGTTGTATCAAACGTGCAAATAAGTGCTTTCGCTTTATTTCACTTGAATCAAGTATACAATAATTCGAAAAATTACTCTGGAATTTAGTCCTTTGAAGGAATCCGGGGAACCATGCAGCAAGAAAAGTGGTGAAAAGCTTTTTCTAGGGATGGACAAAATAAATATTTTCCCTAGTTTTAAAGATTACCTTTAGTATAGGTAAAGTATTTCTATTTAGAATTTACAAAAGAAATAATATTTTTTTAATTTTATGTCTGTCTGAAACCTGGACCAAATAAAAATATTTTCTAGTAAATTTTTCTATAGATTTACAAAATATTTTGTGAGTTTAACATTCTTAAATCTAAAGATCAGTACCCCTAGCACGAACCAATATCGAATTCGTATCGTTTGCGAGTCCGAAATGTCATTGTCAAATGTGTACTGATTTATAGTTCTCGTTACGTACTTTGTGCCGCTGCTGTTCCAGTTTCCATACAAAATTTGACATAACATTTCGTTTTGCAAACTATTTGAATTCGATATTAGTTCGTGCTAGGGATACAGTACCCTTAGCACGAACTAATATCGAATTCGATCAGCTTGCTGGTGCGAACTGTCATTGTCAAATTTTGTATAGAAACCAGAACAGCAACGCCACAAAGGACGTAACGAGAACTAAAAATCAATACACATTTGTCATTGACATTTCGCACTCGCAAACTATTCGACTTCGATAATTGTTTGTGCTAGAGGTACAGTACCCTTAGCATGAACCAATCGAATTCGAATAGTTTGCGCGTCCGAAGTGCAGCAGTGCCACAATGGACGTAACGAGAACTAAAAATCAGTACATATTTGACTATGACTTCCGCACTCGTAAACAATTTGAATTCAATTTTGTATGGAAACTTGAACAGCAGCGCCACAACGGACGTTACGAAAACTAAAAATCAGTACACTTTTGACAGTGACATTTCGCACTCGCAAACTATTCGAATTCGATATTAATTTTTTTAGAGGTAGGTCTGACAAATGACTTTACCCCACCTGATGTGAAGTGACGGTGAAGTCCAGACGTGAAGATGGCTGGTACAGCAGTTATACCTGCCACTCCAGCCATCCTTACCTTGTCGGCCTGCATGTTGCTTCTTCAAGTCTCTTTGAAAGGATCCCAGGTTCGTGGTTCGTGCTAAGGGTACTGATATCTGCGTAATAGATCGTAACGTAGGGATACTGGAGTAGGTTATACTTAGTAATAACTGTAAATTTTAAATTTAAGCGAGGTATTCAGTTTGCTACCTTATTTGAAGTAAATGAGTTCTTACTGTTACAAAACAATTACCTACCTACCTATTTTTCACAAGCAGCGAATCCTTATAAATAAATATATTCATCATTGTTTTTGTTACATATTATTTGTTTTCTTAAGTAAATTATAAATAAATATAATAAATAAAAAAACTTTAGTGATTCATTATTTATAATATCACAAAAAACCTTTTTGCATTTAGTTCGTCCAGTCTTTTCTATTTGATTTGTGAAAGTATAAAAGCATTATTAATCAGTCTCCTGACTGAGACTGTCTAAATATTAGTTTATCTATATTTTCTTGAAGATCGACGAATTTATCGACGTTTACATTGCGGCAGCTAGTTCAATTGCTGCGGTCGAGTTAGGTTGGATCGGGTTAGGTTAGAGTCGTGGCTACTGCGTCGCGTTGCTGGAAGCGTAGACGGCGGGCGGAGCGGGCGCGGGCGGCGGCGCCGTCGCCGGCTGGCGGGAACGCGGCGCTGCCTGCCGCACGCTCTGCCTGTTCGACGCAGCGTTGTAATGGTACCCGTCGAATTTGTCTCCCGTGTTCGCCGCAGGATACGTCGCTGTACCCATATACATGACCTGTGTGTGACAATAGATTATTTCGTCAAAATGTAAATAAGCATCGTAAAGTATGATGAAGAGGATGAATTTTATAGTCCTCTTATTTCTTATGACATAGTGTCGCATTTGCTTTAACGCTCTGCCAATAGTTTTTAGCTTTAATCTATGAAATTTTATGTGCTTGTAAAGTGAACGAACATAGAGGTAAATATAACAATATCTTATTAACGTTGGTCCTCTTTGTAAATTTAATTTTAGAAAAATAAAGGTACCTACCCGGTTGTTATGTAAAGACGTAAGCAATAATGCCAATACCTTTATGGAATAATAAAAAAAACTTGAAACACACCGCCCCATAGATCCGGGCATGTTATCATAATCGCATTGCTCTTAGCTTGGCATATAAGTAGGTATTTAATTAAATAATTCGCAGTCACCTGTGGCTTGTACCCGTCCGGGCCGGCTTCGTACTCGACCAGCTGCGTCCGGCCATCTGGCAACAGCACGTGGTACGATCCGGTGGCGCGGTCGTCCTTTCTCTTCTCGTTGTGCCCGAAGTCCAGATTTACCGCGTTGTCTGACACATCATACGAGAAGTCGTAGTTGGCAGGCAACTGTAGATAAACCATTAGGCTTATTAAATCTCTATTTCGTGAGGTGCTACGGGCAAACCGGGCGGGTGTTTGATTCCTAATATGGAATTCACGTCGTTACCGACAAGGAGAAGTTACGTTCTGGAGGAAAGCCATTGAGCCAGCCTTATGGAACTGGGTGAGAGGGGGGGAGGAGTCCCACATAACCTTTTTACTTTACGATTTTTGATCGGTTGCCGATAATTTCTTCGATAAGTAAGCAAGACCAAACACTCTTTCGTTATTGTTCTGAACCTTCATACCTAAATATTGTGATTTATTGAAAATTTAACTAAAAACTTATTCGGGGCCAAAGGGCAACCTGATGTAAATTTGTTTTTTTTTACGGAAAGTTTTCCTTACAAACTCAAAAAAGTAGCCAAGATAAAAATTATTATATATTTTTTTCTATCAAAAAACCTCGACCCTTATAATTCACACCCTTATAATAATCGCTATATCCCAATATAGCGATTATTATAAAAGTTGAAGAAATCACATCTACGAAATAAGCGACACATTTCCACACCATCTGTGAGAGCGTTATTTTCTGTGGTAAGTCTACTCCACGAACTGTTATGACGGAATTTTGAGGTACAATACTTTTTTAGCTACATGCTGATTGGATATTGGTAATTGACCTTAACTGTAGTACTGATTACTTTTAAGCTCTGTCAGATTTTTGTAATTTGTCCACTATTTTATGTCTATTATGACCGGACTATGATTATTACACTCGAAAATTATGATTGAATTATTATCAAGCGCTGGTGAAAACGACAGACGGTATTAAAAAGAATCGGATTTAATGGAAATATTTACCGTGGGCTCTGGTGCTGGTTTTTTGCCTCCGCCACCACTGCCTATCTTTGGTGGAAGATATTCTTGTGCGGATACATTCGTGCACACTGTCATCCAAGTCAATAAAGTTAACTGAAAAAAAACAATATTCATCAAAATTAAGGTATTTTTATATGATGCAAGTAATTTTTTAATTCGTACTGATGTACTAAAGTACTGTATAAGTTGAATGGAATTAGCAGACGGAAAAAATCTTAGATAGGTACTAATAAGTTAGAGCAGTATTTTTAAGATGGAAATCACAAATCTTGGAACTTCTAATCGCCACCTTACAGAAGTTCATAATATATTTTACTAAACATTAATTTGGGTAACTTTTGGTGGTGTTGTGTTTCTATCGATGGTTATTGTTCCAGGGCTCCATCGAGTAGGGGATTGAATTCAGACCGCAAATTCTATCTAAGGTGAGGATGAATGAAGTAGCACATTCTTTTTTCTTATCTGGACTTCGTTCCACCATTTGATTTAATAATTTGCTACGGCTCGCATAAAGAAAACAAAAAGTACTCACGCTAAGATAAGTCCACATTTCAGCGTTGAACTGCCTGCCTTCTAAAGGATCTTCAAGGGTTATGGGACATTACCGAAATCTGCGGTGCTTATAAACGCACCGCGGGTGCCTATAATCGCAGCGGCAGGGTCGCGGTTGTGGCTTCACGCCCCCTAGCGTTGCATTATTTGGACTCACGACGCGACAACAGGTGGCGAAATAAAAACGACAACCACGTAATAGCTCAAATTACCAACCCTTATAATAACAGGCTTCTAACGCACTTGTTGTCTACTAACGAAGGTGTTGAAAACCTAGTGTTCCAGTTAGATTTTGAGTAAATAATAGTAACACTTCCTCCTAAGAGAAGGTGACGATTCGGGCACAAAATCTTCGGAGTGTCCAAATCCACATATTTGAACTTTAACATTATTTTCACTGATAATTCGGTCGGGCCCATAAAAATATAGCTGTTTTGTACCGTCAGAAAAAAAACTTCCTACGACATTACAAAAATAATATCTAAGTATTACAAATGCAATTAAAGACTTAGTGCCTGTGTTCGAAATATACAACGAGGAAATAAATATTCTTATTAAAATTAAACCTAGTTAAGTGTTTTAAACACGATCTAAGTACTTGTTGAATTTTATGTGCCTAATCAAGTTCACAATCGGCCAGATTCTAATAGTCAATAATCTTTGAAGAAATCCTCTAGCGTTGGAAAGATGGGTTAGGTCGTTTGTTTGTTTGATGCTGCATCTATTGTTTAAAGGAAATCTTTGACCAACAAATGTCCACAGACAGAGGCGGCCTGCGGCCGCGGCCAGCCTTATTAGTCGCTCATGTTTGAACACTCGCTTACATTGCATGCGAATACAACTGGCCGCCAATCCCGACTGTCTTTTCGGAAATCCCATAAATGGGTTGTGCTTGTGCAAAACCGAATCCCGATCCCAATCCTTGTGCAGACCCGATCAAATGCCCTTGCAATTTAAGAAGGCTGTTATCAAGTTGCTCAAGTAAGAGTGAGTCATCAGCTGTTCGATCATCGCGAAAAACGTCTTGTCGGTACTGACCAGATCAGTTAGTCCTCCTCATCCCGGCTCCCGGCATCCCGGATCTTTACGGTTATTCTACTTATACTTTACTTTCTAATTTTCGATTGAGCAGAAGTTTTGGATGCATAAGTAAATCGGTAAATGACAATACCATATTATGATCTTAGATAGTACCTATCTATTATAGAGTCTGAAGTGACCGTGGGAATAGGAACTAACAAAGCGACGCAATCGCATCGAATTTGGACTGATTTGACTCATCTTGACGTGGTTCTATTTATTTGGTAATAAAAGAGAACTTCAAAATAAAAAAAAATCGTTAAACTACATTTGCATAGCAGAGCTAACTATAAAGTTAAAAAAATAAAATTAAGTTCCTACGTCAGACCTGATCAACAATTCAACGAGAGCATCGGTGGTTCAGTGGTAGATAGTTTGCCTGCTACGCGGGCGGCCCAGGTTCGATTGCAAGCCGAGGAAAGACCGTTTTATTAATGATTTCAAAAGTTTCACTTGCATCAGGGTTTTCTAAAACCACACCATTCTTATAAAGATTGTTTTCTTGAAAAACCAGAACAAATTGAGAAAATACAACGGTTCCAAGTATTTTTTTCATTTTGTTTTCAACTTGGTAAAAAAAGAAATAATCTGTCCCCTAGCAAAAAATATATGTATGTTCTGCTAATGATGATGACCAGTAGTGCTATTTTTCAAGGGTGTCGCCAAGTGGGGCCGCTAGAGACAAAAATGTAGCAAAATAAAAAGTAACCAAAGTCCTCAATCCACTTGCTTGCCTGACCAAAAACTGATGGTATATGCTCTAAGGATGCATGCGTTACAAAATAAAATATGACTTTCTTCACTTCACATCTAGTGAGATGTAATATTATTTTCGATCCTATCTAATAACTACCTTAGATTCTCCTCTCCCTAATCATGCTTTCTGTCAATTCTTCTCTTTCAACCCTGCATCCCCCTACACTCCCCTTTCTTTCTGCCCTGGCAGTATTTATCCTTACTTCTTTGGGCTGCGAGTTTATCTAACTAACTCTCGTTACTATGAATAATAAAACTACCGAAACACAAATCGACACGTCCTATGCATTATTTGCTAACTGAAAATATCAAAATAGGAGCCGTTTGAAAGTTAAAACAGCTCTAACTCCATCTATCGTGCAGCAGTTATAGATTTAAAAATTGCATGCAGATCTAATCGTTTTTTCAATTATAAAGTGTATTGGACTTTTTTATCCTTCTAGATTTTGAAATATAGTACTTAAAGATTTGTGCTTCAAAGCTGAATGGCTAATATTTCGTTCATATGCCAGATGCATCGCTATACACGGGAGAATATAACTAGCACACACAATGAACTGCCTCATAAAATGTTACGCATTGGAAATTGAAATACAATTGTATGTAAGTGTATATTTTATATTACGAAAATTATGTTAATAAAACATCAAAAATTGTAGTTTTATGTAATTTATGTTATAAATAAACTATGGCTTACAAATATTCAAAAAGATATTCGAATAATTTCTAAAAGGGAAAACTGTTTTATTTATCGTGTTTTGAAATGTCTAAGTTAACAAGACAACTACATCACATTTCTTAAATCGAGACCCGAATTTATTATATACTGCTCGTCAAATGCTTTATCATGCCACTTTAAGGTGACCGCAGATTATAGAAAACAGAAAGCACGGGCGCGGGCAAAGAATTCCACTTGCGAAATAATAGTAAAACAAAAAATTAGTCACCACATTTCTTTGATCGTGTACAGTAGTTTGGCCACAGCAAGTCGGTGAGAACGCCAACGTAGGCCAGCGCGTATGATGGGCAGGGCAAGGTGGGATATAGGAGAATAACTCCTCAGACAACTCAGTATAGGTTCATAAATAAACATAAATGATTTCAAAGAAAAATTATTCATCATTAACAAAATTATGTGTAACTTATTATGTCATCAAATCATTGCTTAAAATTAAGTTTTAATCTTATCTTCTACATTTGGCTTGTTCTTCGAATTTTTCTTTGACGAAGAAACTTTGCTTGTCTATGGAATCACTTTGCAAGGAACATTTTAAATGGTCGCACATACATTTTGTCTATAAAGTCGTGACATGAATGTTTGAGGAACTAACATTATTCATGTGTCTGGCAACACCAAACTTATGTACATCAGCTGTCATCGAGTTTCAGTTGTGGAACAGTTTTCCTTTTGTATTTTTTATTGTTTGGATTAAACTGTAATAAATTAAGACGAAACTACGCAGAAGGGTATAAAAATGAGTAAAGTAAATCGGAGTGGCACGCGGGAAGTGATTTTTAAAGTTATCCAGCGTTGTTTCGAAGACTACCAAGCTGGACGAATTTTGTGGGATTTGGATGATGTTTATGGGCGAACAGCATCTATGACGGGTATGTAATCGTGTAACTATTTCTTTGTAATCTGCCTGAAGTTATAAATTTACTCAATGTACGATTTTGAGACCAAAAAAGGCATTGTTTACATTGCACATTTTTAGGTTAGATTGACATTGTAAATAGGTAATATTGTAGTACGACCATTTCTTTTGATACGTTATTATGGTTCAACTCGGCCAGGTTTTCTACCAATTTTGAATTAATTTATAATTAATAATTAACAGAGAGTCGGATAGTCAACGAAGAATGATGGAAAGTTTGAAACTCCTGGGAAAACAGGCAAGGCTGACCAAAGAAAAAATGGTCACATAAAGAACCATGGCCAGATGCTTTTAGTGAAGATACCTATCACTAATTTTACTAATAAAAATTGCCGACGGTCGGCCGTTTGCCGCTTGAGAGGCTCTAACTGCACATTTACAAATAGTTTCTCTAAATAAACTTTTTATATACTATAAAATGATTTTTAGTATTCTTTTCTTAACAAGTGTGTTAAAAAACGTCGTATGATGATACTTGTGTGTATTGATGATTACCTAACGGCTCTAGTCTCAATGGCACCTCAGCGGTAATCACCAACATTACACACTTTAATACTATAAATTACTATTTTATCTATAATAATTTTATTCTGATTCAATAAAATATGCTTGGCTAAACTTTTTATAAGTATAGGTATCTACTATATATAAAACACAAACAAAATACAACTGTATAGTGTGTCTTATTAATTACCTATTTTACTTGAATGAACTGCTAGTATCAAAATCATTTTGGTCCGACTGTATAGGGTTGCTACATGCATACTAGTGGCGCCTTCATTTAATGTCACGACTTTATAGACAAACTGTATATTGACCGCATGTAAAGATACCACACTCGATTGCAAAGCTTCTGCTTAACAATTGAGAAGCAAACTTTATCTTTATTATATTATTGCGAAATTGTAAATGACGCTTCGCTATTTTATTAACTAAATGGAGGTCTTCTTTATCTTGCAACTTATTTAGTTTTTCTACAAAACTCAAATAAATTTTATTTTCTTCGTCATCTCGAAAACCCTTTTTACTTCCGAAATTATTTCTGATTATTTTACACATATGAACAGGATCAAGAAAACAATCACCATCTTTATTTGAAGGAGGATGATTGAAGGTACAGTTTGTCAATAAAGTTATGAAAAGAATGTATGAGGAACTAATGGTTTTGCTGGTATTGGCAACACTAAATTGCTGTCAAATGGTGTAGTTCAGGTGTCATGTAAAGGTTAAGTTTATTGTGATTTTGTGTTAAAAGTGTTAAAGCTGGCATTTTGCTGCGGATTGTGCTCAAAAATTAAGAAAATATTCGGAACTAACACCTTAAGCGTAGTTGTCAATGTGACTGACACAGTGAAGGTTCGGGTACGCCGAAGTTGGTGTAGTATTTATTGCCGCATTTCACCAGTACGCCGGCGGTATCTAGTCAAGCGTAGCAAGACCAATCATTTACCTATGATTGAAACATAATGATCACTAAAGAGATTTTTTACATTTAAGATAATACGTATCATAATTTGAATATTCGTTTGATTTGCAAGCCCTTTTTAAACTTTCCTTAAACCGCATTTCTCCAAAGCTCAATCAATCAACGATAATTCTACTTAGAAGGCGCAAAGTACCACTTTCTATGCTCGCTGCAGCAAAACCTGAGAAGATGGCAGATCCCGAACCGCCCGTACTGCCTGACCTCTCGCATAAAGATCTACCAATATTGCATAGAGAATTGTGGTCGTAAATCACGAAAACGAAACAATCGTATTACTCTTCAAGTGGCAGTTACCTAGTTATGCGTAGGACGTATCGAAAAATAACCAATTTGAAAAAAAGATTATAAAAAATACAATGGTTTTATAAAACCTTGATGCTAATAAAACTTTTTAAAGTTTTTACACCGCCTAAATTTTTTTTCGGTTTGTGGACTGACAGGATCCATTCTTTTTTCCATACAACTCTGCCCAACTTTGGGCTTCAAGTATTATTATGCATTTATGTGTAGAAAAATACGCAGAATTTAACAAAAATATAAATGGAGTTTATTATGCACTTGTACCACATAAAAATGGCGTTTAAACATTTAAAATAATGGCGGCACAGAAAATATATTATGGTAAAGTGCATCAATTTTATTTCCTTTATTTAAAGCTATGGAAATAACGAGATTTGAGATACAACCCATAGACTAGTATCAAGTGAACGGAACCAGAAGTTTGACAGTCTGAATGATTGATGGAACTGTTTTTCATGCATCTTTGTCTAACCTGTAGAGTGAACCTATGAATGAAAGAACAGTTGCCGCAGTTGACATAAGTTTGACAATGCTGAGAATCGGTGTAAATTTATAGCCATTAATGAATGATTGGCCTCGCTTAAGCGGGACCGGAGTAGAGTGGTATTTTCATAAATTGAAAAGAATTCGTAGTGTTAAGACCTGTAGGCCTATTCACTAATTGCTTTTGACGGATGGAAGTAATAATCACCGAGCGATTTAGTGATCCAGAACTGCTTTATTATAACGCCACTAAGATATTTGTTCTGAAAAGCATCGATGGATATCGATAGTGAAAAAAAAAATTGCTAATACGCCACTTTAGTGCTGCTAAAAAATTAACATGAAATAATAGTGACATTAAGTCAATTTTTAAGTATGAAAAAGCCAACTCGATACATTTCATGTCAAACACTCCAAGAAACAATAGAATGCGTCACACCAACATTCTAATGTAAAAAAAAAATATTAAAACTTTAGACTAGGCTGTATGGGCATTGTTCCCTTTGCCATCCCTGAAAAGGAAGAATCTTGAAAAAAGAGTGATGACAGCTGGCAGGACCTTTCATTCGATCGGCGACGTCAAAAAATGACAGTCAATGATAAAGTTATTGCTCAGTCGATTTTATGACGAAAACCGGTGTAATTTTGAAGGATTGAATTAGATATTATAAATACAGTTAAACAGTGACATAAATTAAATCTGTCAAAATGAACTTTTTAGTCAGAAATCGGAGTAGTATACTACTTCGCACTTTTTCTACTTCAGTTGTAAGACAGTGTGCTGTTCCACCCAAAAAGTCTAGTAAGCAGTTCGCGCCCATCACCTGGAAATCAGTGGCACTAACTGCAGTGGTAGGTGGTGGACTTACAGGCTTTATGTTATATGTACGGAAAGAAAAGCAGGATGCACTAGAAAGAGAAAGAAAAAGACAACTAGGAAAAGCAAAGATAGGTGGCGGATTTGAATTAGTTGATCCCCAGGTAATTCTCAAATAAAGCTCAAGTATTGTAACAACTTTTGAATATGCTTACAGATATTTTTTAATACAAGACAGTAGCTTAAAATGTTGATTTTCACTAATACTTTCAGGGCAACCTAGTTAAGAGTACAGACTTTTTGGGGAAGTGGCTTCTCATTTACTTCGGCTTCACACATTGTCCAGATATTTGCCCAGATGAACTAGAAAAACTAGCAGAAGTTGTTAACTTACATGGTAAAAACTGTATTCATAGTCTTTTAAAATATTCTAGCAAACATTGCAACACCATTATATTATATACATTGTTTTCTAAGAAACTTGAATTGTCACTTATAATTATACAAGTTTTTTTTTAAAACATAAATTATGTCTTTAGGGGTCCATATTTGTACACACAATCTTAAACGATAAAGTATTGAGTTATTATTAATATTTAGAATTAACCAGTTAATACAGGTTTCTTAATTTATATTTCATTTCAGAAAGTTCTCCCTCAGCACCACCTCTGCAACCATTATTTATTTCTGTAGATCCTCAAAGAGATACTCCGGAAATTGTTGGAAAGTAAGTATAAAGAATATAGTTCAATTTAATTGAATTAATAGTCAGTTACTGAAATGTTAAATCATTGGCTGCTCAAATTTGAATTTCAGCACAATAGTTAAGTGCATTCCAATTGGCAACATTTGTTTACAAACTGTTTACGAAGTTCATATTTTTTTATAAGCATAGCCAGAATACAATTGCATAAAGCCAAATACATAGTACATTATACTTGCTCAAATAAGTTCATCATCTGGCCTTTCACCCTTGTCAGTTGTTACTAGGATGTCATCCAAGGAGGTAGTGTTGCTCTATGCCTCTTGCTTACTTTGAAACACTTGTATACTTCACTTATTTGATTTTATAGTAGGTAAAACTGTTATATTCCTATATGTTTTAAGGTACTGTAAAGAATTTTCTCCACGGTTACTGGGTCTAACAGGAACTAAGGAACAGGTTCAGAATGCTTGCAGATCATATAGAGTATATTTTAGTGCAGGGCCACAAGATGTTGACAATGACTATATTGTAAGTATGACTTGCTTTAAGTATAATCTTTTTTTTGCTTGTATTACAGAATGACAACCAAGTGTTGATCTTTACTTGAGTACAGTTAGAAAGGGCTATGTGCAGCACATAGCGACATCCCTTTCTTACTGTACTCAAGTAAAGATCAACACTAGTTGTCATTCTGTAATACAAGCCTTATATTGCCTCAAATTTGTAATTGGCTAAATAATTTGGATACTTTAAAATAACCTCATTTTCAGGTGGACCATACAATAATTATTTATTTAGTGAATCCTGATGGTGAATTTGTTGATTATTATGGTCAAAATAGGAATGCAAAAGAGATTCACAATTCAATGCTGGTTAACATTCAGAAGTATGCTGCTACACAAAAAAGCTCATGGTTTTAGAATTAATGCATTTATTAAATAAATAAATAATTTATTAATAGTTCCAAAGTATTTTCTGTAAAATAATAATGTAATAAATACTGTTGCATAAATTTCATGTGCTTTTTAATATTTTTACACAAACATTTCACGATTGATCCATTAAAAGTAAGATAGTTTGTTATTCAGACTACTATACATTTGTAATTGATGCTGTTTGATCAAGCTGATACAGTTTAACAGTGGATCCATCAAGTAGAGAATTAGTGTTTAATATGTTGACTTCACTATCATTCACAGTCACTATTTTAACATTGTTTTCAAAATTTGCACATTGTGTGACAGGTTCAGTGCTTAAATAGATATCATCACCTTGGTTTTGACTAGTATCAACAACTATGACTTCTTCATCTTTTACAACAAATTCTTCTGAAACTTCTAATGGCATATCATGTACTACTTCTAAAGGTATATTGTTTTGGTGTAGATCACTGTTTTGTGTTGCTTCATTATTAATAGTTGAACTTGCATCAATTTTGAGATCTGATTTCATATTTGATGATATAATATACTGCATTGGTTCAATTTGCGGCATAATAAAATACTGTCGCATCTTTTTCTCCTGTTTTAATTTTGATTGGTGTTTTTTCAAATGTTTAACTAGTTGTGATTTTGTCGGAAATGTTAATGTGCAAGTAGCACACTCAAATGGTTTCTCCCCTGAAAGAAAAAAAAAATGATTTAATGGGTTCACTTTTATAAATATTGCAAAATTTAGCACTTGTGCAGACTCTTAAGTCTAGCTTATCGTACCAGTGTGTATTCGGCAATGATCTCTCAGCCGCGTTGCGTTCACAAACTTTTTGGAGCAGACACTACAGGTGTGCGGTCGTTCACCCGTATGTTTTCGCATGTGCGCGCTTAGATCCATACGCGCAAATCTGTCAATCATATATTTCTATTTAATAAATTAGAATTTAAGAACCTGTTTAGTGAAGACACAATAATGGATTAAAGGAGCACAACCACTTGGTATAGGGGGTTGGTACAGATACAAAGTTCTTCGGAATAAAATATATACCATTGTAAAGCTTATTGTTAATGTATATTGCCAGTCTTTCGATTTGAATGTAATAAAAGTAAAAAACTATTTTCAAGTGTAAAAAGGGTTTTTCTGGTGTAATCTAAATAAATAATAAACGTAATTTTATAACTGATATGGAACAACTAAATGTCTACTGTCGTAAATATTCAATAATAGCAAGCGCGCTACTATGTTGACACATATACCTACAATCAACATAAGGATTGATGAACAGATGGAGAGTGAAGCTGTTTATATTCTTAATAAATCATCAGAAGTTATTACAAAAATATGCTGACGGCAATGACGGATAATATATAGACAAGTTATTCGCCAACATTATTGCATTTTAAAATGGCACAAGTAGTCCCCGCCCCAACTTTCCTTGGCAACAGCCGCCAATATAGTGCTTTAAAGTAGTCTAGTATTCATAAAGCGGATTATATCATCAATTATCAATAATATCAAAAAATTATATTTGTACAAGATCAGTACCAAAATGGTTGTTCTTCTTTGATATTGACACAAACAGCTTTATTACGGGATACTATATGGTGTAGTTGTACTTTTTCATTGTCGCTGTCTTGACTGTACACAGATATACATCTAAATAAATAACGCAAGTATAATTACTTCGCGTGCTAAAACATGCCAAAAGGGAGAGCAAAGCCTAAGCCTATCCTATAAGACCGCTTTATTTGCTTGTGGCTGTTGTCAATGTGAAAAAAATTAATGATTCCATTAAAAGTAATTAGTTCTCTAAAGTAAACTAAGGAAAAACGCTATGAAAGCAATGACAGCCCCATTTCTAGTATGACGCTGTTTTCCCTTGTCTTTTCAAAGCGAATTATGTGATAAGGAAATCGCTCCACTAACTCAGTTCCGTGAACATAGTATAGCAATAAAACATCAAGTCCACCATGCTATTTGACCCTTTAAGATAAATTCAAATAAACTTTTACTAGAAAATATTCATTTGGCATAATCTAATCCGTTTCTGCTTACATTGGCGCTAGGCTATTGGTGTGTGTAAGAAATTTTTATTTTACTAGGCGCAAGTGTTAGGCTGAATTTTAGATTAATACATCTGTTTGCTTAATGCTTAAAATATACAGGGTGTAAAAAATCCTATGACAAAGACTAAAACTGCGCATTCAGTACACCCAAACAAGTAATATTACAAAATATTACACATGGGAATCATTTGTATTTTTAAGTTAAAAAAATACAAAAAAGTTTTTTACATCCTGTATATTAACTTTGAGGTAAATCAATACTGCTGTTGAATTTAAATACCTACCTCTTTCCGCACAGTTTGCAGCTGTACGGTTTTTCTCCAGTGTGCGTGCGAACGTGTATTTTCAGTGAGGATCCTGAGGTAAACTTTTTATCGCACTTGTCACAAGAATACGGCCTCTCACCTGAAAAATACCTTTCGATTAAATTATAATATATGACTAAGCTCTAATAAAATAAAAGACCAACTGGAAGTTAGACACGTTTGGTTCAATTCGAAACGACCTCTGTGGCCGAGTGGTATATACGCCGGGTTTGAAGGTGTCGCCTACTTAAGTGGTCCCGGGTTCAAATCTCAGTGAGAGGTAAAGGGTTGGTACGATACCTTAGTCATGGATGTGTCTATATATTTCTAGATTAATATACTTATATAGGGTGAAATTGAATGTTTCAATGAAACTTCGTGAGATTGTTGGGTTAGGTTAGGTTAGGTTAGGTTATAATAAAATAAAAGACCAACTGGAAGTTAGACACGTTTGGTTCAATTCGAAACGACCTCTGTGGCCGAGTGGTATATACGCCGGGTTTGAAGGTGTCGCCTACTTAAGTGGTCCCGGGTTCAAATCTCAGTGAGAGGTAAAGGGTTGGTACGATACCTTAGTCATGGATGTGTCTATATATTTCTAGATTAATATACTTATATAGGGTGAAATTGAATGTTTCAATGAAACTTCGTGAGATTGTTGGGTTACGTGTATAGAGTATGCCTGATTTTTTTAAATTGTTTTTTTTGTTTTTTATTTATTTATTTGGTTATTTTTTTGTCATTTCTTCCTTATGAGTAATTATTCGGTATAACTTACGAGCTAAGTGAAGGAAGGAACTCTTCGTGTCTGATTTGCCCACGTCATGAAATTCCGAACACATTTAATCACAGCCACAGTCACACACATATAATAATATGTTGTTTTGCGGCAAGCACGGGCGGGCGGCGCGCCGCACGCTGGTAAGAAACGTGCAGCGCTAGCGCCGGTTGCGGCGTCTTTGATGATGTGAATTCCGCCCACCTCCCCTCTTCCCCGCGTGCGGTGCTTTGCTTTGATTGCATGCAAAGTGCAGTCGCAAGTATATCAATCGCGCGTAGGCATGCGCATCTTTTGACTTAGTGACATACACTGTGATAATTTCATTATGCCTAGGTATACGAACCAAGATTATTTAGAGATGGTGTACTGCTATCGCGAGTGTGACGAAGTAGGTTTGGTGTACGAATGAGTCCCCAAACCATAGAAGTTGCATTTTGTGCCTTGAGTAGTGATAGGGACACTTTAAAAAAGGTGGAAAGATACGTCCGCAAAATGTGACTACCTTTGTTTGCAGCAAAATGGTGGTTAAGAGCAACAATTTTGCAGATAATAATTTAAGTCTCTTTTTATTGCTAGTGTAAATACTTTTTGATTTGAAACAGCAAATTAGTGTACTACCAGTGTGATTGATTTGATAAAAAGTTCTAGTGAAAAAAATGAATATGTTCCTCGTTCCTCGTTGTACCTACCTACATCGCCGGTCTCGTAAGTACTGTCTAATATGTACCTAGTTATAAATTTCTTTCTGACCCATGTATTAAACTGCAATAGGTATTTGTTTTTGTAACAAAATTATTATTAACTTTTTAGGTATTTTTCTCTGCTAATGAGAAGATAACACTTCTTCTTTAATTAAATAAATTTGTTATTGTAATATGGCATCTAAGGCCCGTATGAATAGAACGCTCTCAACTCTGAGAGCGATCTTGAGATGCTGTTTTGTATGAACACAGTATCTCAAGGTCGTAGTCTCAGAATTGAGAGCGATCTATTCCGTATTAATTGCCTTTGACGATTTTACTGTACTGTACAGTAGATACGACGCGCCGCGTCAGCTGTGCGCGGTCGCCACTATTTTATTCGTTTATTTTAGTAGTGCTTATTTATTTGTTATATTTCACATACTATGAATACGTGTTTAAAAATAATTATTACTCAAAAAGAGGAAAGGACATAAAAATGCACAATTAAAAAAACTAAAAAACGAAAAAAATAATTTTAAAAAATCCGGAAAAAATGAGGTACATGTCATCTCTATACACGTAACCCAACAATCTCACGAAGTTTCATTAAAACATTAAATTTCACCCTATATATGTATCAGTATTAGACATTCGATCCGTTTCCCTAGTACATAACACAAACCCCCTTAACAGTGCTCACTTTGGACGTAGCTAATTGGTAGTGTCCGTGATGCTAGCGTACCCACGATCAATATACGGTTTTTCGTTATGCCATTAAATAGTGCCAAATTAGTGTAAAAATAATAAAAATAGTGCCTCTTTAATTTAAGAAATAAATACCATTTTTACTGTGTACCAGTGGCGTAGCATAGGTCACTAGCACCCGGTGCGGATTCCAAATTTGCCGCCCTCTTATTTTTGCAATCCATTATAAAAAAATTGAGGCATGGTAAAAAGAGTACTTTTATTGAATAACACTAACCTAAGAGTGAAATTAACATTTTTTGACATAGAGTAGAAGGTAGACTATCACAATATCATTTAGAAAAATTACAGAGAAAACGTAATACAATAATGGAGAAATCGCCTACTTCACGAACGCTCTTTCGCGCACGAGTATCATTACTGATTACAACGAAATAAGTTTCCTAAATAATAGTTATTGAGAAACCTTGCGCTTGCATCACCCATGCATAGAACCTGCATAGGTACCTGGGTATTTGGTACCAACAACAAAAAAATGACGAAAAAAAACTGAAAGAAATTAACTTTTTTTTATATTTTAATTTTTTTCTCTATCTGCCACCTCCGCAGCGCCGCCCCCGGCAAAGTGCCGCCCGGTGCGGACCGCGGAAAATGTGTCCCTGTCAAGAAGTGCTGAAGTGAACGCCACTCAAGCAATTCTTGGTTCACAGTCAAGCGCGGACCGTCAAAAAGTCAAGATACCGCAGAGCTCCGTGAGAAAAATGCGAATAAAATACTTAAAGTTTGTAGTGTCGTTCTTTCAACAGGTAATAAGTGTTTGTTATTACCGCATTTGAAGCAAATAAACTGATTAAATAGGAAATATTTGTGATATTCAAATGCATGGTCGGTTATGTAGCCGTGTCTTTTCCTCGCGCTCCGGACCTCCGTTGCTCATAGCGCGTTCAGAATGAGGATCCGTAACGATTTTAGTTGAGAATGCAGATTTATAGAGCTATGAATTCCATAAAATACAGTGGTTAAATTTTTGTTCTACGACAAATATTGACGAAGTAATGACCAAATTACTAAACGAATAATTTGTTCGTGATGTTGTATCTAGGGTAATCAATATTACTGAATGGAGCCATTAATTTTCAATGTTATTTTTTGTACCTGTATGTGTCCTCATATGAAGACGCAGGTTGGAGCTCTGTATGAAGGCTTTACCGCAAGTCGAGCATACGTATGGCTTCTCGCCGGTGTGAGTCCGGTGGTGTGTGTTACGCGTCGAATCATGACGAAACCTTAAATGGAAAAAATCGACTTAATTCTATATCCTTTAAATGGTATAAGTATTCAGAACAAGGCGCACTCTCGATATTTAATTTATGATTTGAGACGATATAAATCGAACTATCAAAAATATGGAACGATCCCTGTTTGATCTAACTTTGAAAAAGTTACACTTTTCCCCGTAATTAATAAACAAGGAATAAGCTTTGATTGACGACCTCCGTGGCCGAGTGGTATACGCCGGGATTCAAGGTGACGCCTACTCGAGAGCTCCCGGGTTCGAATCCTGGTGAGGGCAATATTTGTGTGATGAATGTATTTGTACTCCAGTCAGCCACGGATGTTTAATATTTATTTCTATATAAATAAATAAATTTAAGAATAATTAAAACAAAAAATATACTATAACAATGAACCTAAAACTAAAAACCTTAAAAAATAAAATATAATAACTAAAATACATTATTAAAAGGAGTCCCTTTAGGCAAGGTTCCGAAGATACTGGCAGCGTTCCCCCTTTGGATAGCTAGACTAATTCTTTGTCCGAGGTAGCTGCCAGCTCTTCGGTCTCCTGTGATGAATAAATAATATAAAATAAAAAATATAAATATACTTATATATGTATCAGTATAATGTATTCAATGCCTTACCCTAGTATACCATAATACAAGCATACAGTGCTTACTTTGGGGCTACGGCTAGGCTAATTGGTGTGAGTGTTGAAAATATTTATTTATTAGTTACGCCGTGTTTTGTTCATATCACTAAAATTTCATTTGTAATCCAATGAACAGAGAGAAAACATTGAGTTACAAATAAATCCAAGTTTATTCTTAGTCTATTTATAAGAGAGTTTGTGTAGGCAGTCGTGTTTCGTCATGTCGTTTGACCAACTGACCAATAGTGTGAAGCGCGCATTTTGAAGTTATACTTCTTTAGGCGCGTTATGAAAAAATGATGATAGTGAAATTTTAAGATGCGCGCGCATCACTGTAACACAAAATATTAACAGCATGAAGTTGGTCGCTTTAGCGACCAACTTCATGCTGTTACTTTTGTGTTTACCGCACATTAAGAAAATCTACCAACAAAATAGAAATAGAATCTCTATTTAGTGGGTGCTAACGACTGCATTGTGAAGGCCTATCAAAAGTATTTATTAATCTGGAACAACGGAACCAAAGCACGATTCAGGAGACTACAGCGCCATCTCTTGACCATTGGTGTAGTAGAACCAAAAACCACATCTTTATTTTTTGTAATAAAGTAACAGTTATAGGTATTCATATTTATAATATTTATCCACATGTTTCTAGTTTGTATATTCGGAATACGTGTTTGAGTTTCATACAAGTGCAAATCACATATGTTCTAATAAATTATATTCAGTAGAGATTTTAATTGAATATTTTGATTATTTATTTATTTTTTCAAATTAAAACTGAACTTTATTGACTGTGTCCTTTTCCAGACTTTTTATTAATTTATTGTAATTAATTATTTGCATGCAATTACAAACTAATTTTAAACGATGCGAAAGAAGGATAACTTCTCACGCGCCTACATAAGTACACGCACCCATTTTTATATATTAACTAGCTGTCCCAGCGAACTTTGTACCGCCATAAAAAAATAGGGGTTGGCGGTAGAAGGGTGAAAATTTAGGGTTGTATGTATTTTTGTATGATGTATCATAAAAAAAACAAAATAAAATATCCCAAAAAAGAATTAAGGGTGGACCACCCTTAACATTTAGGGGGATAAAAATAGATGTTGTCCGATTCTCAGACCTATTGAATATGCATATAAAATATCACGAAAATCGGCCGAGCCGGAGTTTCGGAGTAGTTCAATTACGCACACCGTGACAAGAGAATTTTATATATAAGATTTATCAATCGATTCCTTACTAACAAATCGATGAAGATCATTGTCGACGGATAGTGTGATGTGCATCAAGTTCCTCATATGATAAAGACTAATTATCTGTCGATTAAAAGTCAAACGTGCGCGGTTGTTCTCATTGAGTCATTTTAGGTTTGTTTAACCAAATACAAAAATACAAATCTAACCATTTTCCAGAAGAGGTAACCCCGACCTAGTTTGTTCTAATGAATGGTAGGGGCGCTGCTTAGTTTCCGATCAGTCTGGTGCTGCGAAGATGGCCAACCCGCATGCCCAGCGTGGCCATTCATTGGACATAAATTCTTGAAAGTGGTTAGAGTTCTACCCGATGGAAAGTAGTCACTGCTGCCCATGGACAGCAGCACCAGGGGTATACTACGCATACGATGCCGATGGTGTAATATTGAATGGAGGAAAGAAAACCTTCCTTTTCAAGAGATGGCCCACATTGTACTATGGAAAATTTACATCGCGCTTACGAATACAGAGCCCGACAAAAATCTGTCTGGCCGCAGCCCCCGAACTAAGATAACCCAGCTCGAAGGAAGATCTTCCTATTTGGCTTTACTACACCTACAATGGGAAAAGCAATATAGCAACACGGAGTAGCATTAGCTACATAATACTATTCAAATAATTCTGCCATTTTTGCGGCGGAAACACGTAGACAAAATGCAGGTGGCAGGGGTCACTGACCTCTGGTCGCAGTAGCGGCGGATGTACGGCTTGCGATCGGAGTACACGAGGCGGTGCGAGGCGAACGGGCGCCTCTCTGGTGGAGGGGCACACTAGGGCCGCACATTGTACTAAACGGCAGGGGTCACTGACCTCTGGTCGCAGTAGCTGCAGGCGTGCGGCTTGCGATCGGAGTGCACAAGGCGGTGTGAGGCGAACAGGCGCCTCTCTGTGAAGGGGCACACTAGGGCCGCACAAAGTACTAGAAGGCAGGGCTCACTGACCTCTGGTCGCAGTAGCGGCAGGCGTACGGCTTGCGATCGGAGTGCACGTGGCGGTGCAAGGCGAGCAGGCGCCTCTCTGGTGGAGGGGCACACTAGGGCCGCATATAGTACTAGACGACAGAGGTCACTGACCTCTGGTAGCAGTAGCGGCAGGCGTACGGCTTGCGATCGGAGTGCACGAGGCGGTGCGAGGCGAGCAGGCGCCTCTGGTGGAGTGGCACACTAGGGCCGCACATAGTACTAAAGGGCAGGGGTCACTGACCTCTGGTCGCAGTAGCTGCAGGCGTACGGCTTGCGATCGGAGTGCACGAGGCGGTGCGAGGCGAGCAGGCACCTCTCTGGTGGAGGGGCACACTAGGGCCGCACATAGTACTAGAAGGCAGGGGTCACTGACCTCTGGTCGCAGTAGCTGCAGGCGTATGGCTTGCGATCGGAGTGTACGAGGCGGTGCGAGGCGAGCAGGCGCGCGGACGGGAATGTTCGCCCGCAGAGCTGGCACGCGAACGGCCGCTCGCTGGAGTGAGAGCTCATGTGCGCCGTCAGCTGGTGCCGCACGCTGTACCTGAGCACAGGCGCGATAAATATAATGGCCGACTCACGTTATTCTAGTCCAGTAATCCAGCAAACCATCCAGTCCGAAACTGCACGCCCCCTAACATGAGCACCGCAATATGATATATCACATCATCAACCTATTAATGTATTTATTTGTGTGAGATTTATTTTTGATGATCATTTACATATTTCCCTTTAAATAAAAACAAAAGTGCTAAAGGATTTAGAGTAGTTTTTAAAATTTGAGCAGCATGACATTGCCATAAGGACGACGTTCAACCGAGACTTACTTTCAGACTGAGTTAGAGTGGGTAGCCCTATCAAGGGCGGTGTAATAATTGCTAACTTAGCTAGGGGACACGCCCACCCTTTCGATAGAGCCCTTAATATTGGGTAGTCTAATAGGCGCATAACTACTATGTCTTATAGTTAAAATATTTATGCACAGCAGATATTGGTTAAGCAACAACCATTATGTACCTTCATAATCTCTTCTCAACATAACCACTGAACTGATCAGATGAAAGTTGGGATGGTGATAGTTTCTAGTCATAGGAAAGAACATAGTGTAGTGTTTATCCCAGAAATCATCCATTAAAGTGGTGAATAGGGGGTGAAAGTTTGCATGCGAAACCAATTAAAGCCATGCAGAATAATTCAGTCACTGACTAGTCATCTACAGGTGTGTTAGTTTCTTCTGAGCTCCATTTTACCTAGATTTAAACCAATGTTGAAATCTACTATGAACCATATTCCAAATACAATGGAAGTTACGTAGTGATATAATCAGAATAAGTCTGAATTCCGAATTTTACGGAACAGTTACCTCTTGTTGCATATTGTGCAAACATGTTTCTTCTCCACAGTTTCACCAGTATGTACGCGATTGTGTCGTCGCAAAGAATAAAGTTCAGTAAAAGTCTTCTCGCACACTGAACACTTGTACCGTTTCGATTCCATGTGCCGATGTATATGCCGCCGAAGCTTTGCTCTAGCTGAAAATTATTAAAATCAAAAACTCATCATGGAAGAAATTCTTTAGATATTAAAATAAGCAAACTTGAGCTGCTTTGTAATGTAGTTATGTCATGGAAAAGTTTAATTTAAAATATTCGTTTTTATGCAAATAGAATTTAAATTGGTCACAAAAATATTTATAGATTTTTTTTATATACAAATATTCTTGATTAAATTAATCTCTGACCAGACACTTTACGCCCAGGGCATTAATCTATGACGACTGCGCCCAGAACCGTCAATAAACATTAATTTTAATTGAGGTCTCTAGGTGCTTGCGGCCATAAAGCGCAAAATGGAATTGCTTGTGTTTACTACTTACTTCTGAAATCTTTGGAGCACTTCTTACATTTCCACGTGGGACCTATCATATTGTGAACAGACAAATGTAACTGTTGGTCATGTTCCGAACTGAAAACCTCTTTGCACTCCCCACATGGATAAGAGACTGTTTCCATGCTTTGTACTTCTTTTTCTACAATCACATTGCCTTTTCTTGTTTTCTGAAATTAATGATAACTATATTTTCTCTGATATGCTGATTATTTTATAAGTTTTGCTATGAGTGTTTGCTATACAGGCCAGCAAGGTGAAGACGGCCGGTGCATCTGTTAAAACTACAGCACTGGCTGTGTTATCGTTAGTTCAAGTAAAGATACCGATGATTGTCGATACTGTCTCTAATAAATATCAATATTAAATCGACGGAAGTTGATTTCACCCAGACCCCAGTTTTTTTTTTCATTGTGTGTTTATCTGCAATTAGTAATTTACTATAAGCAGATGTCATGAAAGTTGCTGTCATGTCGAGCGTATCCTCCATTGAGGATATCTTCTCGTAATTAATTATATGCTGGAAAAAGCTTATGGTAATATGTCCCTTCTCTTCAGACGTTTCACATAGTCGCGAGTAGTGAGTCTGGTTGCAAGTGTATTTGGGTGATTTTCGAACCGATTTCGATATTTATTAGTTATTCATGGATCTCGGAATTGGTGATAAACCATGGCACATTTGCTATTTTTCTAAGGACTATATTTTGCATCCTCTGGAGTATATTAATGTTAGATTTGCTTGAACTCCCCCAAAGTTCGATACCATATATCCAGGATGGTTTTAGTATTGATTTGTATATTAGGAGTTTGTTGTCCATTGATAGTTTGCTATTCCGGCCTAGCATCCAGTAGATGTTCTTATGTTTTAAGTTTAGTTCCTCTCTTTTCATTATGATGTGTTTATTCTACCTGGAATAATGTCGACGGTCCAGGTGTAGTCCAAGATATCTTACGCTATCTTGTTGTGGCAGTGTAATATTCTCCAGTCTAACGGATGGGCAGTTTTCTCGTCGGAGTGTAAATGTAACATGCACCGATTTTGTTGCACTGGCTTTAATTTTCCATTTTTGGAGTCATTTTGTGATGTCGTTAAGTCCCTTTTGGAGATTTACCGAAGCCTCGTGAGGATTGCTATTACTAGCTAATATCGCTGTATCATCGGCATACGTTGCGGTCATGATTCCATCCACTCGTGGTAGGTCTGCTGTATAAATCATGTAAAAGACCGGTCCCAGAACAGAGCCCTGAGGTACACCTGCTTTAATCTCGTAAAACTTAGACTTTGAATCTGATTCTTTCACTTGGAAGATTCGATCTCTAAGATAGGATTCCAGAAGTGGGAAGCAACCATGGGAAGACATGTTTTTAGCTTGCTCAGAAGGCCCGCATGCCAGACCCTATCAAAAGCCTGTTCAATATCAATATTCTTTTTCCTCTGAGGTCTTTCTTATTTTTTCCACTACTCTATGGTATCTATCTGTTCAATAGTAGAGTGTTGCTTTCTAAATCCAAATTGATGGTCTGGTATTGCTTTGCTATTTTCTAACTCTGGCATTATTCTGCGTAGGAGCAATTTTTCACCGACCTTTGACAAGACAGGCAACAGGCTGATCGGTCTTTATGACTACCTCATCAGTTGGCTTCCCAGTCTTGTGTATCATGAGGATTTGGGATACCTTCCAAAGATTCGGGAAATATTGGACTCTCAGTATTCCATTGTACAACATTGTCAAGAATACAATTGCTTTTCTTGGAAGTTATTTAGGATGTTATGAAGGAACAAGTATTTCTTCTGTGATGAGGTCATATCCAGGTGCCTTTTTGTTCTTAAGTTGCCCTATAGTTTTCCAAACTTCGAGAACCGTGACTGGGGTAGGTGGAAGCGACATTTGCAGAGTTTGATTAAGAATTAAATCTACTTGTTTCTCTGCCTCTGCGTCACCTGTTGTTCGGCCTGAAAACTTTTGCTAGATGTTCTGCAAATAGGTCTGCCTTTTCTTGTGATGTACGCGCCCAGTCACCGTTATTTCTGATAGGTGGTTTTGGTATTTGTGGTCTGTCATACAGCTTTGTGAATTTCCACAGTGAGTAATTAGTGGCCAAGGTTGGTGTAAGGGACTCTAGTTGTTCCTCAAGTGTATCATTGTGCCAGTTTTGTAGCATTGTTTTTAGGTGTAGGGCCTGTTTATTGAAGTTCGTTTTATCCACCGGTAGTCTGCTCTGTTGCCAGATCCGGCGCAATCTGCGTCTCTCTAGGACAGCCTTTTTTATTTCGAGAGGGTAGTTACCGATGTGCTTGTTGACATTCAGTGAAGGTGTACTTCTCCAACAGGCTTCCTGGATGAGGTTGGTAATATACTTGGTCGCAGTCTCAATATCATCCGGAGTTTTAAGGGCAATTTTAAGTTCGATCAGTCAGTCTTTTTGTTATACATTTTATCAGGATGATCGTATTCAATGACCTTTGTGCTTAGCGTTAGCAAAACTGGCGTATGATCTGATGAGCTGTCATAGCAAGATTCGCACTTCTGATAAAGGGAGGAGATTCCTTTCGTTATGAAAAAGTCCAATAAGTCTGGCATCTTATTCGGGTCTGACGGCCAGTACGTAGGTTCACCTGTTGACGTTGTTGTTAGCATGTTGGAATCCACACTTAACTTCAGTTGTCTACCTTTGGTTGTAGTTAATCTTGATCCCCAGTGTGTGTGTTTGGAGTTCCAGTCTCCACCTGCTATGAATCGGTTACCAAGTGTCTTGAAGAATTCTGTGTACATTTCTTGGGTTATTTTGTATTTAGGGGGACTATACACTGATGTGATATTTATGGGGATCTTATTAGTTTCTATTGCTATGCTTGTAGCCTAGATATGCGGAGTTCTATATTCAGGCATTAGGTGGTGCTTGAGTGACTTTCTTATATGTGATATATGATATATAGATATATGATTGCTGAACCAGCGTGACCAGTCCCATCTGGGTGCAGGGTGACATAGCAATCATAGTTTCTAAACTTCAGGTTCATTGCAGAGGTGTAGTGAGGTTCAGATATCAGCAGCACGTCAAGATTTTGTTGAATCATTAGCAATTCTGATTCATATTTGTTTGGAGTCAAACCATTTATGTTCCAGGTTGCCATTTGTGTTGAGTTCATTTTATTAGTTTATCTAACAGGCGTGTTATGAGCATCATAGTACTCATTTGTTGAAGGATATTGTCAAACTTTTCATTCTGCTTTATTAACAATTGTTCTAAACTCGAAAAATTTGGTAAATTATTGGTGTCCTCTGAAATGTCAGTTTTGTTTTGTGTGACTTGAGCATACGTTTTTCTTTCTGCTGATTTTTTTGCTGTCTCTTTAGGATCCATTGAAATCTCCGTTTCGTTTGTTCTTGAAGTTGGGGGTATTAGTGCAGGTAGGCTTCTTTGAGTGTTTGTTGGTTTTGATCGCCTTTTCAGAATTTCCCTGTACACTTCACAACCTTTATAATTTGCCGGGTGTGGACCATTGCACAAAGCACATTGAGCTGGAGTGGCACGGTCTATTTTCTGGCATTCAGATGTTTTCTGTGATTGTCCACATTTTACACAACGGTATGGGCGCATACAGTAATTTTTCGAATGGCCGTATTGTTGGCATCTTTGACATTGAACTATAGATGAACGCTTTCCGGGATCCTCTATGATGACAGACTGATTGTTTGCTCCTGGTGTTGTGTTAACGAAAAACGTTGATGTTGGTTTCTTTTCGGGTCCGAACTTTGCGTTGATGATTTCTCCTGCAACTGTGTTTCCTGTGGTTTCAATCGCATCCACGATTGACGATATTGGTGTAGATGGGTGTAGATTCCGTATTACCACTCTGTAGCACCTCTGGTCTTTCTGGTTAAAGGTGTGTCCTATCAATCGATTTTCTCGTTCTACTTTTATGATATTTTTTATATGAATCGATGTCTTTACAGCTAATTCTTAATTGATTCCTGTTAACAATTTTGAAAGTAAACTGATCTTTTTCGGCTAGAGTTTTTAGAATTTCCGAGAGTTTGTTGATATCTTCAACACCATAGAGTATTATAGGGGGAGGTTTGGGAATCTCTTTCGGCACGGAATGTTTTTCAGTCAGATCAATTGATAGTCCTGTAAATCTATTTGAAGTATTGATTGTTTCAGGTGACAGGCTGTCAGACATCTTTTTTCCCTTGGGATTTCTGTTTTCAACGGCGGAACGGATCGGCGTTGTTGCTCGTTTAGCACCACCCAGGGGATACGTGTAGGGTGGGCCTAGGAAAAGGTGGTAAATCCTACGGACGCGAGCAACTCCATCCCCCAGTTAACTCTGTAAAAGAGTGAACCTGATAACAATTGCTTGGGTAGGTAAGGTATATGCAAAAGTAATGGTTATATCTATGAAAGTAATGTTATGATTAACTATATTAGATACCCTAGATACAACAACACAACACGTACAAAATCGTGGCCGAAACCTGTCCAAAAGGTATATTGGAGGAGAGGACGGAGCTACGTAAGATGATTGCAAAGTCAAAGACATTATAAGGCATTATTTAAACATTGAAAGTCAATTTTAATGCATAGTGTAATTTAAAACGCATGCGTCAAAGAGTTATGACAGTTCGAAATGCAAGCTCGTAAAATTTTACGACTTTTTGCTATATGCGGAAGAATATAGACATTATTTCTTTGACTCTACGCGCAATTTCGAATAAGCTGTTAGCAATTCAGCAGGTACGGACCGTGAGGAAAAGAAACAGCTATATTACCGACCATGCATTTGAATATCAAAAATATTTTCCATTACAGTTTATAGTAAGTATTAGATCAAAATTTTCTTCAAATGTGTTAAATTAAGAAACATTGATTAGATACCTGTCTAAAAATGACAATTTCCCTACAAAAGTATTATTTTCCACATTTCTTCACCGAGCTCTGCTGCATCTTTACTTTTCAACAGTCTGCATATGACTGTAAACCAAGAATTGCTTGAATGGTGTTCAAGCACTTCTTCATTGGGATACATTTTGAGCGCACATGGTGTATGAAATTAATATTGTTTGTTATGATCTTCAATCAACAATTCTATAGATAATGGGTCACCTGAGGCGTGAGATCTAATTTTAAATTAGTATTGTTAATACGTAATGAAGTAACTTGATGGCCAATGACTGGTAGAAATATTTTATTTTGTGGGTCATAAGGTTGATTTCACATTTTCCTTTTTTCACCTTTATCGTTTTTTTCCAAGTATCAGATATAAATTATAAAAGGAACAAGAGTTCGTTTTATAAGATATAAGGTTGTATGTGCGAAATAACATTGTTATTTACCTTATTCCTTTGTGAGATAGTTGTTATTAGGTTCAACTTAAAGCTGTTTTAAAACATTTATCTTTGTTTACTGGGAATCGAATGTAGCTGAATAAGTTCAAACACATGAGGACAGTTTTTAACTTTGATTTTGTATGCAACCCGTTATCTATAAATAATTGTTGATCAAAGGTTATGATAGATAAGATTTACCTTTAGACAATCATTTAAAAGATGTGTGTTTGTTTGATTCTCATTGTATTTAAGATTTCCTTTTTTCCTTGTTTTAGATTTTGTTGATATTTCATTAAGGATGACCAGTGAATCTAAAAGTAATGAGATAATTATTTTCTAACCTGCCTTAAAAATATTCTAGAATGGTTTCATTTGGCATAAGTACCCTCAAAATCAGGTTTCGCCTCATCCCTGAAAAAATTAATAATAAAATTATTTTATCATAACTTATTATTTATCTTTCAATGGAAACTCATTTATTTTGTTTTAATAGTTTTTACATCGACGAAGTGGAGGGAGTGCTTTGACCAAGATTCCTCCCAGATGTCATTTTAACTAACCTTTATAGAGGATGGCTGAAAGGCCACTGTTTTGGTGCATCAGTCAATTTCATGAATGAACTCCACTTACTTGCACTTAGTATAAAAGATAGCACTGGTGTCCAATTCATCTTAATGTATGTTCAATGTTCTACTGCACCACCATTGATATATGTTGACCACACAAACAACATAAGAAAAATAGTACTTTTCTAGCAATATGTCATAGTGTCATTATATGTTGGTATTACCATAACAAATAAATGATAGAAGAAAAGCTCAGTATAATCTACATATGAAGTGAAGGTATAACTTACCCTTCTTCATCACACTGTACAATACAAAGTGTCTCACTGTCACTTTCAATATCATTAAAATCTTCATGATATTGGATTTCTAAATCTGGAATAAATTATTGATATTATTTTTTAAATGATCAGATAAATACAAGGTATGATCATAAATGTTTTATTTATTTTCAATAATTATGTATCACTAAATGAAAATAGAGAAGTTTCATGATGTTGATAATGCTATTTAACTTAATAGATTTGAAATAATAGATCGAAATTAATCAACCAGTGTTTTTTTTAAATCCGTCAATAAATGATTGGGAAACACATTAGTTAAGTTAACATAGTTTAGCACGGAACAATTTGGGCCTCTGACTCGCCTTTGAAGTCATTTTACCTATAGACAAGATTGTCGCAACAGAGCGCTTGCGCTGCTTGTAGATATTTTATGTACAGCTGGTTGTTGATTATTTATAAGTAGTGTTATTTTTATTTTAACATAACGGAAGAATATTTTGTAAAGAATAAAGTGACAATTTAACCAAAATTTATAATTTACACAGAAAAATGCTTATCAGGCCTTTTAACTGTCGTGCTATTACACATAGGGACAATACAATATTTGTAGGCATATTTTTTTAGCCTCAACCATTATTATAATAGACGCCAATGAATTTCTACATTCTAAGTGTATACGCGCCGCATCAACTATGTGAAGTGATGGCACATGCTGGCCTGCCGCATGAAACGAAATTATTGTTACAGGTGCTACTTTAAAGTCCCATAACGTCATTGTAGAGATGTCATTTGTAGAGATATTTTAATGATTCCTTCAAATTTTTGTTTCATTTTCCTTTACAATTGATATATTAAAAAAAATTGAAACTTCTTCATTGTATCTAATTACACATATATAATTAGTTTGGTAGAATGATGGATGGGTGGATGGAATGGGCTGAAGCTGACATGGTATCAATGGTTGGTAGTGTAGATCTTCATGACTTAACTACACTAACACATAACATTAACATAATTGGAGGGTTATGGTGATCATCAAAAATAACATTATTATTAGGTATTCCATTCCTCACCTTCCAAAACTTCTCCTTTAGCATCACAAATACTGCCATAATTTTGATCGGACTCCAAATTGGGTTGCCTAAAATAAAACTTATTTTTAAATGGCACTCTAGGAAATTTATAGATAATTAATGTATCACATATTTTACCTAATTTGTGGAATACTCCCTTCAGTGACTATAAATTGTTCTTTCAATAAGCGATGTAAAATATAATTTGACTTCTCACATTTCATCTTAAAATTGTAACATTTAAGAAGTTCTGTGTGACATTTTTTGCATATTTGAGTTGGTATACCATCAACATGAAATTCCTGAAAATATATGAACAATTGGAAAGACATGTTTATGTTTAAAGACAAAACAATTTGTGGAAGGTAACAAGTGCCATAGGTTGTAAGAGTATGCAAAATTATTATTTTTTACTACTCACAGTAATAGAAGCAATTGTTTTTAATATATCCAGAAGACATTTTTCACTGTATCCCTGTGCATTTGACAATATTGGTACAGTCTTTTTGGCAGGTGATAAACAAGTTCTGCATGATTTCTCCAAATTGCTATTCCCAGCATTTCCATACAATTCAGAAACTTTTTTCTGTATCCCTAAATCAATTTCTCTAATCAATTCATTTTCACCAGGCTCCATCGTTATACCTACAATCATTTAATTTAAACTTTTGATCCCCTTTTAATAATAGCTATTGTTGCTAATAATACTATTTTGTAAATGATGTACCTATGCTTTAAATAAAGATCACCAATAATCTATAAAAACTAAACATACAAACACAAGACAAAACTCTTGAGTACTTTAGGCTAGTTGAAAATATATCTATATTATTTTGTTCGTTAAATCGATATTTTTTGCCGATATATTTTGATTCGATATATCGATACATCGATACAAAATAACCAATATCGAAATTCGTATCAAAAGCGATATTTTTTTAATTATTAGCGGCATATCACGATCTAACTAAATTCGTATCGGGAAAATCGTAATTGGATCTCAAATTGATGATATTCAACATATCTATGATCTGTGCTGTATTTAGTATTGTCAATGATTTGTAAATCTGTTTCGCTGGTGAATTGGTTGTGCTGAATTCCATTATATTCTGTGGAAGTGTGTGTCTGTCTAGTCTTGTTTACTAAAGATGGCACCTGAGAGGCCCTGCAATCATTTTCATCATTCGAAAATAGGGTCTATTTTTAGGGAGATAATTTTCGTTCTATTATTATTCCGCGTGTCATCTTTCGTGAGATACTGTACTGTCATGTAGTGTAGCGGCAATTTGGTAATTTGATAATTCTTTCTTTTATAACAGTTTGTATTGTTATTAGTATTGTGCTAGGCTGACCTAAATATATTTTTGGGAAAATTGGTCCGATATATCGATGTTTTTTTCGCGACATATAGAAGCCGATATTGATATTTATAAAAAAATCGAAAAATTTTTTCAACTTTCTACATCCCTAGAGTACGGATACCCATTTTTGTACGTTCTCTCTTTTTAGGGAAGGCAAAGGGAACAATGCCCATACAGCCTAGTCTACAGTTTTCTTTGTTCTTTTTTTTACCTTAGAATGCGGGTGAGACGCCTTCTAATATTTTTTGAAGTGTTTAGCACGAGAAGTCAGCTTTCTCGATAAGCTTCTGTGAGGTAGTCAACACTACGATAAAGTTCTCACGTCCACTTGACCGAATAGCGTGTATTTTTAAAATTGAAATAATTCTTCAGTTGTGCAGACGGTTGTAACACAAAATCACACCAATTTTATTTCACAATATCCACTATGAACGAATTAAAGAATAATTAACGCTAACCGCACTCGATGAAATCCTGCCAAAACCTCACACAATTGCTTTTTATATATTGGCAATGGATACATTGCCCTTATCTCTAGCTTATTAGTCAGAACATACAACATGTTATATTAGTTAATTATTTACATTTTACAATTTTTCTGACGTGTACGTGCATACACGTACACTGCGTGTGACGTATTTCATAATAACTGATACATTAACTTTTAATATCGCACCAGCGCAGCGTCGCGTTGCCGTCCCGCCCGCCCCCTTTCTGAATGAACCTTAAAAATCAAGAGGCCCTAACATCACCTGTTAAAAATGATAATAAAATTTGCGACTGCGTGCGAGTACAGTCGTAAAAAATATTGCATTGTTCAGTAGAAATAGCGATGCACATAATTACAACAACAAAATAAAATATTGTACAAAATTCCTTTAAAAATAGGAAGCTGCATAATTTACCCATCCTTCCTAGGTATATACCCTTCTAAATTTTACAAAAAAAGTAAGTTTGATTTGTTACGAAATAAAATTATTTTATTAAATAATTCTTTATGTTCCTGAAAATAATGTTTACAGTTATTAATATTCAAGACTCTAATGTTAAAGAGTCAAAAATATATTTATCCGGTTTCCATTTATGTACTGAATTCGACATCTTTTCGTGGTAATCTGATAACCTGATATAGGTGCCGATTCTGACACGGTTCTCTAAACTTAAAACTAAATTTAACATGAGGCTCTCCTTTTCATTCTGTATAGAGAATGACAAGGATACACTGTTGTCAAAATTAAGTTTAGCTTTAGAGAATCATGCAAGAATCGACACCATAATATGTATAAGCAATTTTATGCTTAGTTTAGGCGTCACTCTCTACAAAGTTCTAATAGCTATATATAAAACTACCTTAAGTTTATTAAGCAATAAGTGTTCAAAATGATTTTGTAAACGGAGGAGAGACAAATAAATTGATAAAAATACTGAGTCTATTTTCACCCACCAATCCGCGCTGGGACTGTTATCACCCACCAATCCGCACTGGGTCCGTTATCATCCACCAATTCGCACTGGGTTCGTTATCAACTTATCACCCACCAATCCGCACTGGGTCCGTTATCACACACCAATCCGCGCTGGGTCTGTTATCATCCACCAATCCGCACTGAGTCCGTTATCACCCACCAATGCGCGACGGGTCCGTTATCACCCACCAAGCACTAGATTCGTGTATTTTGTGACGGGTATTGTTGATTGTTTACCGATGAGTCACCTGACACTAATCGTAACGCGAAATCGTAACACATTCGCCAGTTTAGCCCCCAAGTCAAGCGTGTCTAAAGAAGTTTTACTTCTAAAAAGTTAACTACCCTGGTCGATACACTTCCGATGATAATGCGCGGCAGACGTTTGGGGTAAGTTAATTCATTTAACTGTGTCGCGCATAACCACACATAAAGTAACTTTTATCACTTTACACCAATTATGTAACTCCCGTTTCGCAATATGTCCGTAAAAACGACCAGTGAGTGTTAATACCAACTTGGTTGTTAAAAGCTGTGGGCCTGAGCCACCTTAATTATTTTGTGTATCTAGAGGACCTCACTAAACCTAGTGAGCTATGATATCTCTAATGGTATAAAATTCCAAGTAGGTAAATCAACGCTGAAATGAAGAAAAAAGTGGTCTCAGACCATGAAATATACACAGTCAGGTCATAAGTATTGACACACAGTAAAAACTTTTCTTTTAGAATGCTGGCCACAAAAAAGTTGATTGAATTCGAATTTTGAATTGATCATGAAAATAAAAATGTATACTTTTTAGAATTTTACTCATTTTTAAATATGGAGTGGACGCTTAAAGAAGACCGTGTTGCAGTTATTGCGTTGCATCGTTGCGGTTACGCGCCAATTAAAATTTTTGAAATACTGTAAAATTTGAATATAACCAATAGATTCGTATAACGTACCATCAAACGATACAATGAAGACTCTAGTGTAGATGACAGGTCAAGAAGTGGTCGCCCTCGGTCAGTTAGGACTCCAGCAGTGATAAAAGCTGTGAAGGCGCAAATTCAAAGAAATCCCAAACGTAAGCAGATACTGTTGGCCCTTCAGATGGGGTTAAGCAGAACCACGGTGAAAAGGGTGTTAAATGAAGACTTAGGGCTTCGGGCATATCGAAGAAAAACAACATCGTTTGAATGTTCGTCTAATGGACCTGAGACTGAAGAGATGCCGCGCTTAGTTGAAGCGGTACGCGGGAAAAAATATTGGGAAAATCTTTTTTCGGATGAAAAAATTTATACCGTAGAAGAGAGCTACAACAAACAAAATGATAAGGTGTACGCACACAGTAGTGAAGAAGCGAGCAACCGTATTCCGCGTGTCCAACGAGGTCATTTTACATCCTCGCTCATGGTATGGTTGTGAGTTTCTTATTGGGGCTTAAGAGAGGTACATTTTTCTGAGAAAGGTGTAAAAACGAATGCAGTTGTGTATCAAAATACAGTCCTGACGAACCTTGTGGAACCTGTTTCTCCTACCATGTTCAATAACAGGCACTGGGTATTTCAACAAGATTCGGCGCCAGCTCATAGAGCGAAGAGCACACAAGACTGGCTGGCGGCGCGTGAAATCGACTTCATCCGGCACGAAGACTGGCCCTCCTCCAGTCCAGATTTGAGTCCGTTAGATTACAAGATATGGCAACACTTGGAGGAAAAGGCGTGCTCAAAGCTTCATCCCAATTTGGAGTCACCCAATACATCCTTGATTAAGGCAGCCGCCGATATTGACATGGACCTCGTTCGTGCTGCGATAGAGGACTGGCGGCGCAGATTGAAGGCCTGTAGTAAAAATCATGGAGGTCATTTTGAATAAACTTTATTGTCATAAGAATCTATGTTTTGTTAAGTTCATTTTGGTATTGTTACTTTGGTTACTTAATGAATAAACTTGTTTCAATTATTTTATATTAAACATGTGACAGAATTTATGACCTGACTAGGTATACTATGACTCGGCGAAATTCGTACTGCCCAAAAGTAATAATTTGCAATAAAATAATATTGCGACTATAAATTAAGATTTAAGCTATCTTATCTTTCAAATTGGTTTAAACTGCACACGGTGTGCAAATTTGATTAGAATCCGTTAAGTACTTTAGGAGTCCATCCCGGACAAACAACGTGACGCGTAATTTATTAAAAAAGAAAAATATTTTTTACGTTAGTTGTGGGTTTATTCGAATATAATAGTAATAGTGATAGTGATAGTGATGTAGAAAAGTTAATATGTAGTGTAGAATAGTAATAGTGATGGATAAGAACTGTTTTTTTAATTTATAAGATAAATGAAAACAGAGGTTGCAGCGACAAGGTAAAACAATATTTTAATATCAAAGAAAAACAAATATAAAAAAAAATGGGTAACATAAATCATAGACAAAAATATATAAACAACAGATGAACGAACGCGAAATATATTTGGTATATTTATATTATTACTTACTAGTGGCCCGCCCTCGCTTCGCTTCGGTGTAGAGCTGTAGTGTAGACTATAGTTTTTGTTCTCAGGCTTGTATTATACACAATGACATTATTCATATACCTAATTACAATATGCACGCGCCGCCAAGCCCGCCGCCCGGTAGCGTCGGAACCGCTATGTCCCTGCATTTTAAATCTGTAATATCTTCGAAAATACTCATATAAATTACATGCGTTAAATTGACAAATTGGTCTATATTAAATGCACAATGTATTTAAGGTATTTATTTGGATAAGGATGAATGTTATATTACTGAAAATCTCTTCGTAAATAATTAATCTATTATTTCTCGTAAAAAGTATAAGATAAAAAATGGTTAATGTGGGTTATCCCTAAGAGATAGAAATATACCATCGCGGACTTTTTTGTAGACCTTTAGAAGGTGTATAATACTGTAGTACATTAATTTGAGCTATCTCGTAGGGTTCAGCCAGCGTTTGCAATGTAAGCGCAAAAAATGTGTTTATTTACGACCTTACATTAAAAACCTCTAAAATTATCAGTGTTCCTCTACTACATTATGCATGTATTAAACATATAAACCTTCCTCTTAATACACTCTATCTATTAAAGCCGCATCAAAATCCGTGGCGTAGTTTTAAAGATCTAAGCATACTTATGGACATAGGGGCAGACAGAGGGAAGTGACTTTGCTTTATACTATGTAGTGACTATACTTTTTTTATTTTGGGATTACAACACTATTTTGGCCCTTAGGGATTAAAACGCTATGTTGGTCCCTGTAAATAGAGAAAAAACTAGCTCTTCGAATGGATACGATAAAAAATATTTATATAACCCACCAATCCGCACTGGGTCCGCCTTGCGAGTCATAGCTCAATCTCTCTATGCCATAAAAAAACTATCCTACTCACTGGGCACTCCGCACTAGGCCCAATGCGGAATGAGCCTAGTGAGGACCGAAAAGGAACTTTGTGCCAATAAAAAAATTAAGGATGCGGATCATAGGGATAGAAAAAGATACCATAGGCACCGTTCTGGTACTGATAATGTACATCCACACCCCGCTGGGTGGTCTCGTCTGTGGACCATAAAACATTATGTTCTCGGTTTTAGAGACCGCTACGTCGAGTCTCAGCGCCCGGATTCTGGACTCAGCATAAAAGCCCCCGTCGTGGCCAACCGACTGGTCGTCTCGGTTCAAGCCTTTAAGATTCAAGCTTCCCGCCCGAGCAGGAATAAGATTATCATGTGTGTAGCAGATTACTCTTATTCGGGGCATAAGGACTCCACGAAGAGCCCAGTCATGGTCCATGTTCCACAGGAGTTGCCCTAGGACCGACCCCTGTGGAACCCCGCAGACCATCTCCCTTGCTGCTAAGGATCCATCCGCCTTCGTTTATAGTATCACCCTTCCTGACGAGATACGCAGGGAGACAGTGGAATCTCAGGGCTACCCTGATTACTTCGTAGGGAAACTTTTGGTGCTAATCGGTGCTATTTGGTAGAATTGCTAGTGGACCTGTGTTAGGAAACATTTATTTATTAATGTTACTTATACAGTGCCCTTAGCCCCGCACTCACTACTGACCTTACCAATTATTATCTAAATAGGCGCCTAAATCTTATTAATTCATCTCACTTTAGCTATAATTAACTTCTTAATGTATCGTAAGTCGTTTCTGATAGTATTTGTGTACCTAATGTAGGAATGTAAATTATTTATCTCGGAGACTGTTGTGAGTGTTAGTAGGTACTAAATTTCATATTATATTATTTTCGTCACCCAAAAGTTTGTTTTTTCTTTTCAACGTTTACTAACATTGTTATCGAAAGATTATGGACGTAACTTAAAAACGACCGCACAAAGAGAGATATCAATTAAATTAAGCTCGATTTAAGTTGGTGCTGACACTTTGCAATCATAATAAAACACGTTAGTTAATGTAGCTTTAAATTTAAATGAAGTCTTTAAGTGCGCCCTCAAGAACTTATTAAAAACTAAAATGTTTTTGCATACCTAGTTTATGTTTTGATCCGTAGGCAATGGAAATAGATAAGTACTTACATGGATAGAGTTCAAAAGTGTTATCATCATTTAATGATGATTAACAGTGTTTCTGTAACATGTTTCTATCTAGGGTGGCCAAGTAATTATTATTAAGCTATCTAACTATCTAACATAAATGTAATGAACATTGAAGTAGGAAAATCAATGCCTCTTTTATATAATTTAGAACCATATTAAACATATCAGCACATGGCTTATACACCCCAATAAATGTAGAGCTATGATTCGATTAGAATAGCTAAGTACTTTAATAACAACGCAAAAAGTGTTAATACTCCTTGAGACATTCTTCATAAACATGAATTTTCCCCGTCTAACCAATAAAAAATATTAGAAGGTTAAAGAAGTTTCTGTATTATTTAAATATCATGGTGTACCATTAGCTATTTAGGTCCATTAGGTAAGTACATTACATTAGCAGTTGCTTAAAAACATGTTCAAACTGAAAGAATGATGTAAATAGTCGGGCAAGCAAGATGTCCATTTATCATAATTATTTTGTTTAAGACGTATATTGCCCCGGTGATAAGGGTGACCCTAAGACTGATAATGACGATGAAGACGGCAGTGAGCACAGCTCGATTGTCGGCTCCGCAGTGTTCTGGCGCATATTTATTCACACACCCGAAGAGCTGGTACGTCCCTTTGCTACCTGACGCGTCTTGAAGGCTGCATCAATATGTTTATTGGCATTACTTCTAGTGGAGATAACGTCAATTCTCATTACGATTATCTGATTTGAACTGCGAAGAGGTAAGGTTTTATCTATTGATTGCACTTATGAAAGGTCAAATAAGAATAATATTTTTTAAAGTTTTATAGTTATCGTTACTGTAATCTAAAAATATTAGTAATTATTCTTATGTAACTCGTATCGATGGTTGTGTGTTAAACACTTTTGATTGATGATTTTTTAGCAACTACTTTTTTTTCAAAAACCTGCAGAACCTCTTTATAAAATCAATAAAAACCTACTTTAGAAATTATCAAAGCTTTGAAAGAATTTTCTTTTTTTCCAGGCATCTCCAATTGAAAACTTGCTATCTGTTTGTTAAGTATGGCTTTAGACTTTGTAGCCGGATGCATTGGAGGTAAGACATCATTAATGTATGGGGTTCTTTTTTGCAATTGTATATTAATCATACCAATCGATGGGTTAATGTTTTGATCCTTAAAATAATGGTGGCATACTTTGTGATAAGAAGAATAACATTATTAAATAAAGTATATATTTTTTAATAATTGATCCATTTATCTAGGTACTAGCTTTTAGGTAATATTTACAGAGAATATATTGTATCACATTCCAGGTTGCGTCGGTATTGTGGTCGGTCACCCATTAGACACTTTGAAGGTTCACGTGCAATCTGGGAGAGGCAGTGCATTCGAATGCACAAAAGCACTATTAAAAGGTGGAACATTAGCAACTGCTTACCGAGGAGTGGGAGCTCCTCTAGGTGGAATAGCTGTAGTGAACGCCATCGTTTTTGGAACCTACGGAAACACGAGGAGAGCTTTACCTGATTCTGATTCTTTATTAGCTCATGCAACCGCCGGTTGCGTAGCTGGTTTCGTACAAAGTTTTATTTGTGGTCCATTGGAATTAGTAAAGACTCGCTTACAACTGGCAAAACCTGGAGATGGTATGCCCACAGGAACATGGGCGGGAGCACGACACATTGTGAGAACCGGTGGCTTAAAAGCACTCTACCGAGGACTCGGTATTACGATAGCTCGCGATAGCCCCGGACTAGCCGTCTACTTCCTGTCATATGAAATGCTCACGCGTGGTGACAAATCACCGGACAGAGTGTTTGTAGCTGGGGGAATCGCAGGAATTTTATCGTGGGTGATGTTTTATCCATTAGACGTAGTGAAGTCGAGGATACAGGGAGACGTCATCGGCCGGTACTCGGGAGTTTGGGATTGTTTCGTGAAGTCAGTTCGCTCGGATGGCTGGAGGTGTATGAGCAGAGGACTGGGAGCTGTCGCTGTGCGCGCGTTCCTGTGTAACAGCGCGTGTTTCACAACCGTGGCGTGGACGGAGCGCACTTGGCACAACTATGCTGAGAGACCTATACACCTCGTCCAAGCCGCGACTATGGCGGACGCAGTTTATCGGGATATTCCCGAACGCTACTATGACATGTGAATAATTTAAAAAAATCAATCTGTGTGACATACTTAATAAAATTGCATTTATAGGTAGGTAGTTATGAATGTCAACATTTTATTTGATGTTATAAATAAGTAGATCTTTGTGATTAGTTCATTACTTATACAATAAAGGTGCTCGAGAACAGCTATGATAGTTTTCATTTTGAAATACCTTTTAGGTTTATTAACATGCAATACCGTTAATAATGTGTTGTATTTTTAATTAGTGTAGAAATATTGTAACTTATTTGTTAAGCAACAAGAAATCTCAAATAAAACACCCAGTTATCAATTCTTATTAAGGCATTATAATAATAGTCAGAAAAATTTCATACACTTTTCAAAAATATTGCAATACAGGAATTATTAACATTATGAAAATATCACAACATATAAATATGCCAAAATTGCTACAATATTATTGTACATACTTTAAAAATAAAGAACGGTTACGTTATAATTTTACATCAATTAATAACTTCACTATAAGTACTGTTTCTTAGATATGAGATACGTTAAGTAAATCTTCTTTGTCTGGAAAGTTTCAGAATGCCTAGAACAAAATCAAAGATATCATTCGTAGTTGTAGAGCTAAGAGTTCTGAGATAAGCAAGTAAGTAGTCAAAACGATGAGTGCTTATCGGTAACCAACATAACCTACCCTGTGATTGGTAGTGTAATCTACTCATTTTAACTGTTATGTACAAAACTAATTGTATCTTAATAAAAACAAAATTGTATCATTAAGTAAACTCTTTGGAAGCATAAGGCATCACTTAGAATATGCAATTTTATTGAGATCGAGAATTTGATTGAAAGTCTGTTGAGACGGTTCAAATTGCATGCGATTAAGCAGTTGATCAACTAAAATTGCCTCGTGTAAATATGGTATTACTGGAGTATGTGCTGTTGTTATTGAAACTGGACGTAAGTGACCTTATAAGTAAGCGTAAGTTACAATCTTGTAAAAAATTGTTTTTAATAATATATGAGAGAAATTTGAGCATTATTTTGACAACTTTCTTCGAATCTAAAAAAATTTTTATTAGATATATATCACCTTTTTTTACAATAATAAAAATATGTAGGTACAATTTCGTTTAATGATACAATTTAAATAGAATCACACTTGCGTTTTGCTAACCTGCCTGTTCCCAACGCCGTGGAGTCCTGCTGTTCATCGTCAGAAACCTACTAACGGTAGTGTAATTTCAGTGTAGTCTTCCATAAGATATAGTAAGTAAGTAAGTATTTTAATTATCATTATTACTCCTTAAACAATAAGAAGTGGCCTAAGTTATGGTATGGTTTAACGACCAGCGTCCATAATAAATAAACCTCCAGTAAAGGTAAAAATAATATGGTTCCATTTCTTAGCAAGTGATTAAAATCCAAATAAATAAAAAAACTAGACAAAGCTCTATAAAGGCCTACAATTATGTCTTACTGTGGTTATATTACCTATTGAAAGTAGACGAGGATGCAAGAACGGGCTCAATCTTGCTCCATAGGTTGCGGGGGCGGCGGCGGCGGAGGGGGCACGGGAATGTTGTTCGCCACCTGGTTGTCTACCAGGCCAAGTCGCTCCAACATGTCATCGTTGTCCTCGATCAAGTGAACCTACGAAATGGAATATTAACGACATTATCCGATAAATTCGTGCGATTTCAATGTACATTCAGACGTGGTGGTCGAAAAGGTGTGTCCAAACTCCACAATGTTTATTTTTTATGTTAAAAAGGTGTCAAACAAGCGTGTGTTCCGCCTGATGTCAAGCGGCCACCATAGCCAATAGACGCTTGCAATACCAAAAATGTCACTGGCACTGTGACCTACTTTGACATAATTCTCTACCTCGTGGAGTCCTGTAACCTTATTCACCGACAGAAACACAACACCACCAAAAGCTAATGTTATCTTACTATGGCCTTTTGTAAGGTGGAGATGATTCCTTAGACGGGCGCTAAAATTTGAGGGAAAAATACGCTATGCCCTACCTCTCTTTAGCTAATAACACTAATACCTATTAGCGAAAATCGGCGGAACACATTACAGCGATTCCAACCAAAGTACATTCAGACATGGTGGTCGAAGAGGGCGTGTGTCCAAACTCCCTAATATGTTTTAACTTAAACTTGGGCGCTCGGCGGGTGATTTGTTATCAAGGGGTAAAACATACTTAGGCCCACTTGCACGTTCCAGGGTTAGTTTATTTATCTCCGAGTTAACTATTGAACTATGGTTAAAAAAATATTTTTTCTTGCACTGCCCTGAGTTAACACTAAAGCTTAGGTTAAATAATAAAATAATTAACCCGCCAAAGTTGGAGGGTTAAATTACTAACTCGAGATTTAAAACGTCAAAATTGTTATTATAGGCTGTGTTGTTTGTTTTTATAGAGATAACATTTTATTTTATTTATTTCTGAATGATGGATGACTTTTTGTTTTCTGACGAATATTTATATATTTGAATAAAATATCGCATAGCAGTAAACTGTCACTACTTGTAAAATTCGGGGGCACGTAAACGAGATTTCTTCTTCATTTTACAAAATATAACCGCACGAAATTGTTGTCACAAAATACAAACTTACGAGACAGATAGGTACTTTAAAAACACCATGCAATCGGTATACAAACAACTATTTGACAGACAAAATACAGGACGTCATTCAACTTAAACGCACAAAAACACCACGTCTTTTGAAATTGGACATTACGAAAGAGATATATGCAAGATACTGTTGTGTGAAAGGGAGAACAATACTTATGTCATTCATCATTCTCTCTTTTTGTTGGGTTAGTAAACCCTTGATTATTTTCTGTTCGTGCAAGATAAAGTCTGAGTTACGAAAATGTTATATTAACTTTGAGTTAGTAAACTCGAAGTTATTTTGATATCTCAAGATTTACGTGCAAGTGGGCCTTAGTTATATTATGTGTCCAAACTAAGTACGTCAGATACTCAGTGGGTGTTTATCTGCTGTCAATATTGATAGAAGCCCCAAACTATAACGGGACAATCATATTCAAATCTACATGAGAAAATCATAATCTATCTGTAATTACTTAATGTTTACGTATATAAATTATAAAATAATGTCGGATTTTAATTTATGTGCCAACCTAATACTTTGGTACATTACAAACAACGATCCTAACCAAACTTTCCGTTTATTTGTATTCATATTTGATATTTACGAACGAAAAACAGAATACGCTTGCAAAATGAATAGTGATAAATGTACAATGAGATAATTTCTACATAGTCGATTAAACGTGTCAATAAAATACAAGATACCGAATTCCTTCATAACCTACTCATCGGTTTCCAGAAATATCCAGAATGACTTCGGTTTGATCCAATTAAAGGCAGAATGAAAGATTATTGGATATTTACTCGTATTATCGCTTATTTTGTCATAAGAATATATCTTTAATGTAGTCCTGTATTTTTTAGGCTTCCGTAGTCAGTCTTGACAAGGGCTTATACCTAGTCAGGTCATAAATTCTGTCACATGTTTAATATAAAATAATTGAAACAAGTTTATTCATTATGTAACCATTTGTATACCAAAATGAACTTAACAAAACATAGATTCTTATGACAATCAAGTTTATTCAAAATGACCTCCGTGATTTTGAATACTGGCCTTCAATCTGCGCGGCCAGTCGTCGAACTGAACGAGGTCCATGTCAATATCGGCGGCTGCCTTAATCAAGGATGTATTGAGTGACTCCAAATTGGGATGAAGCTTTGAGCACGCCTTTTCCTTCAAGTGTTGCCATATCTTGTAATCTAACGGACTCAAATCTGGACAGGAGGAGGGCCAGTCTTCGTGCCGGATGAAGTCGATTTCACGCGCCGCCAGCCAGTCTTGTGTGCTCTTCGCTCTATGAGCTGGCGCCGAATCTTGTTGAAATACCCAGTGCCTGTTATTGAACATGGTAGGAGAAACAGGTTCCACAAGGTTCGTCAGGACTGTATTTTGATACACAACTGCATTCGTTTTTACATCTTTCTCACAAAAATATCCCTCTGTTAAGCCCCAATAAGAAACTCCCAACCATACCATGAGCGAGGATGGAAAATGACCTCGTTGGACACGCGGAATACGGTTGCTCGCTTCTTCACTACTGTGTGCATACACCTTATAATTTTGTTTGTTGTAGCTCTCTTCTACGGTAAAAATTTTTTCATCCGAAAAAAGATTTTCCCAATATTTTTTCCCGCGTACCGCTTCAACAAAGCGCGGCATCTCTTCAGTCTCAGGTCCATTAGACGAGCATTCAAACGATGTCCCGTTTTTCTTCGATATGCCCGAAGCCCTAAGTCTTCATTTAACACCTTTTTCACCATAGTTCTGCTTAACCCCATCTGAAGGGCCAACAGTTTCTGCTTACGTTTGGGATTTCTTTGAATTCGCGCCTTCACAGCTTTTATCACTGCTGGAGTCCTAACAGACCGAGGGCGACCACTTCTTGACCTGTCATCTACACTAGAGTCTTCATTGTATCGTTTGATGGTACGATAAACGATTCTTTTGGTTATATTAAAATTTTACAGTATGTCAAAAATTTGAATGGCGCGTAACCGCAACGATGCAACGCAATAACTGCAACACGGTCTTCTTTAAGCGTCCACTCCTTAATTAAAAATGAGTAAAATTCTAAACAGTATACATTTTTATTTTCATGAATAATTCGAAATTCGAATTCAATAAACTTTTTTGTGGCCAGCATTTTAAAAGAAAAGTTTTTACTCTGTGACAATACTTATGACCTGACTGTGTAGTTTCGCCAGGTCCGTCTGTCCGTCCCCAATTTTGCTTGGAGACTATTAGCACTAGAGAGCTGTAATTTTGTGGAGATATGTATATCGATTACGCCGATAAAATGGTAGAATAAAATTTTGAAAAATATTTTTTTAGTGTAGCTCCCCTACATCTAACCTGGGGATGATGATGATTTTTCATCACCTACCTCATCGTGTGGGACATCGTTGAATAGTTCCTTTAAAGTTATTTAGGGGTTCCTAAGACTTTTTTTTGATTTACGGATCCGCTTGCGAAATATTGAACTTTGAATTGCTAATTTTCCCTCCCCTCTAAAATCTAAACTATTGTCTTGAAAAACCTGGAAAAATTAATGATAATAGTGCTTTTCATGAACTGATAATGGTTACGATAGATTTGGTAGTTTAAGAGTAATATTCGTTCAACTTTGGTTAAAGAAAATTACTTACCTATTGAAAATTCCTTAGAAGAAAACATAAATCGTGACATAGGTGAAGTTATTGTAGCGTAAAACCTTACATTGCAACAAAATCTTTAAAAAACAACTATTTCAGAACCACAATTAAATATCATTAGACCCACAACGTCTTCTCACTCAGGACTCAGTCTTCTGAGTCGCGCTAACATTACGATTTTATTGCTGGTCACATTAGCAACAGAACTGACGGCCGTTGGAGCCGTAAAGTTCTTGAGTGGAGAGCGCGACCCGGTAAACGTAGTGTAGGACGCCTTGAGACAAGATGGGATGATGACATTCGTAGGCTGGTTGAAGTGGGCTGGATGAGAGTGGCAGAAAATCGGGAGCAGCGGCGTGCATTAGGGGAGACCTATGTCCAGCAGTGGACGAGCATGGATTGATTATGATGATATAAGCACTTGAAAAGATCGGGCGGTTATACAGCATCATCCCCTTATCTGGGGATGAGATGAAGCTTGTTAGGCCCTTCTGGCCATAAGCATGAACTACGGGTGAGTTTTAGTCAGTAAGAGTCTGACATAACCTTGCAGCCAGCTGTAGGGAATCCATGAGGATTTCACACACGTTCCCTCGCCTGGGAGAAAAAAAATCGGCGATTATCATTCGTATTATTACCCTACACGTACTTGGCCGGATTTAAGGCAAAACTCAACATTGAGATTTTATTACATAAAAAAATATTGTCAAGAGGTTTAAGATTGTAGTAAGTAATATTTTTTTCAGAAAAGAATTGCTGCTAGTATCCACCAACACCCTTGTAAAACCAGAAAGGTATCGGGCGATAGGAATAGGGTATATCGATTGTAAACCTGTATCTGTTCTCATTAATCGTCGTAGTTTCAAGGTCACATTCGTAAATAAGTACAACTATTTTATTAATTTTGATCTAGTATGACCTAGCAATGGGGCCATTAATAGGTTGATGATGATGAAAAAAGCTGCTTAATACAAAGCTTACGCTTACATCCGGTAGAGCAGTACGGTGCTGGCCGTGGCGGGCGGTTTCAGATAGAAGTATTTTCTGTCGCTTCTCCTCCATCAAACGCTCGCGGTGTTTGTGAATGTAGTCGTATACGTTTGGTAGACCCATGATGACGCATGCAGACAGCGCTGATCGGTAGATATTCATGTCTGTCGCTTCGTACCTGGGTGGGGTTAAGAATACGTTCGGGATTAAAAATGTTAAGCTCGAGATTCATTTGTCACTACTTCATATGACAATTTGAAACACTGTTTCCTAATGATGTACAATGTAGTTACTTATGTGTATGTCACGTATTTATTAAGTGGGCCATAGACGATACAATCAAACTCTGCAGGCATGCATGAACGTGTGTGCAAGGATAACTGTACAGATTTCTTCCACACACGTTCATGCATGCCTACACAGTTTGACTGTATAGGCAAAATTGCAAATGCTTAACCTATCGAATATGGCCCGTTTTAGTCATCGTCGTCAGTCTTTTAATGTCCCCGTTGGTTGCTATTACCTATCACTTGGGCCCATTGTGAATTGGTACTACCTATAAATATAATAGTTACTGTCTTCCAGTGTTATATTTTACCTTTAATGGTTTACGATATCGTTAGGTAAATATCATTATGTTAATACAATTTAGTAAAATAAAAGCAGAACTCTCGTGCATTTTGGATATTAAATAAACGCATGTTAACTGACTTATATTCGAAAACTATTGAAGATGATAAGCTGGCAAACTTTCATTATCATTTGAAACGAACTATGTTGTTTTCGTAACTCATAGCTGGGTGCGTGGAATTAAAAGTTTGAAAATAAGCATTCTAATTAAACAATACCGGTCGTCAGCTCTGTCAGTGTGAAATCTATTGTATGGGGTTAAAAAGCATCTTTAAATTTTAAAGTTCATCCCTAATTTTGAAAAATTTCATAGAAAGAGTTAGCTTTCGACAGAATGGAAAGATTGCCACTCGTCTACGGCTCCTGGTAATTTAACCAACCACTCATTGGTCTTCTCATCGTAGCACTCCACGTGGTAAATGGTCGTGACCCCGTTGAATCCACCGATCGCGAATATCATGTCATCAATCACTTCTATGGCGAAGTTGCTGCGAGGATTGTACATGTCCGGTACTGGCGACCAATTGTTTGTCGACGGGTCGTACACCTCCCCGCTGCACATTCTCGATATTCCATTGAATCCACCTATTACGTATATCTGGTGAAAACCAAAAAGAATTTTAAAATATACAAAAGAGTACGTCAATCAATCAGTTGTAATTACTACGCTAGTAATAATAGTTCAATGACGCAAACACAATAATTATGTATTACCTACTTACTCTAGTAGTTTTTAGGTCCGATTAGTGAATTTAAACAGAGACAAACTTAAAAGATAAAAAATAATAAAGATTTTTTCTGTGATCTCTACAACTTGATTTTATTTTAACTGTGTCAATAAAAAATTCATGAACCTTCGCAACTGTAAAGGAAATATGACATACGTATTCTATTTCTCCTACTCTACCTGCACAAATCTACTCATCAGGAAAACTGTGAAAAAGCATCTTATTTTGTTGTTTTTCCAGCCGTAGCTATGCATAGAAGTAAAAAGCTACAGATATTTCCTTTGCAATATTACCTTTGATATGAAAATAAGATATCCATGGAGATAAAAACTGTATATTTATTTACTGAATTTATTGTCATTTTTTATATTTTACCCGACTATACTCGATAGTTCACAATTGTAATTATAGCTGATAGTTTTATCGTAATAATTCCTATTAAAATACACAACAATAACTATTGTGAAATAGGACAAAATGTCTAAGTATTTAAATACGTAAGAGTAGAAAGTGCGTACAATGATGAATTGATTGTAAGATAACTACATAAAAGTATATTGGTCATCAATATACCTAAATACCTTGTTGTGGTACGCTATGCAAGAGACGCCAGACCGTCTTGAGCGCATCGGAGCTAAATTAGTCCACTGATTCGTATCCGGATCATAAACTTCCACACTATTCATGCATTCTTGCCCGTTAAAACCACCAGTTATATAAATTTTACCTAAAATTAAAAATCACATCAGTTAAATGCCCTTACAAGACCAAAGGCAGGCTGAGGCCGAGGCGAAGTGATTTTACTTCTTAATGTATGTACGTTAATCTTTGCATCTAGTCACATAGAAATTCGTAGGCGGATCGGCACAATAGTTGTATCAAATACAACTACTTTGGACTCAATCACTTTATTACAATACGTGGACTAAAGTGAGTGTTATAAGCTTCATGCAGCCAGTTTTCTCAAATAAAGGGGACAGTATTATATTAAAGAAGTAACGCAGTGTGTTGGCAATAAAAACTGTCAGCGTACTCACTGTCCAGCGCTGCAGCGCTCGCGTCAGACCTTTGAGCATTCATGGGCGATACAAGGGACCATTGATTGGTACGATGATTGAATCTTTCAGCAGTATTCTGTCGATGGTGTCCGTCGTAGCCGCCCATTGCGTATATCGTTTCACCGAGTACAGCTACAGATACGTAACAGCGACGTGAATTCATTGGGGCTACCTGGACAAGAATGCCTTTTAATAACCGTTACAATTGAAATTAGGTTTGTAAAGAAATAAAATTTTCACCTCACGCCATGTCTTGGTAACGGCATCAAAGCAACGACACGAATTAAAATAATCCATTCCATCAAATCCACCAATAACATAAATACAGTAACCTAGTACAGCTGTCCCGTGATATGCTCGAGGTCCTGCAGGGTCTACTTCCTCCACCTGAAATTTGAAAAAGAGTATAATTTATAATTTTGTTGGAATAAATAAATGATAAAATTAGACAATATCGCACTTTTATCCATCGATCTGCTCTTGTATCATAAGTTTCAATAAATGCTGTTGGTGACCCTCCGCTCCAACCTCCGATAGCAAACAGCACCTGCGAAAGAAATAAAATAAAAGTTTAAAGGTTATTCAACCAGAAACAATTTAAACATCTGTACTTTTATTTGAATGTTCTACCTCATGCGGAACTCTTGGTCTAGCGATTTCTGGTGTAGCTACTTCGCCATCTCTTTGCGCAATCATTTCAAGGTCATAGAGAAACTTTAAGGTTTCTATTATTATTGGCCGAGATCCTTCATTTCCAGTCACATAAGGATGATCTTTCACGTTTTCCAGGAAGAACTAAAATAACAAAAAATAAACATAGAAATCAAATATAATTATAATTCTTAAGACTCATTTACCTACATGATGCATTTTCTTACACGAGCAATAAATGAGGCGCAATAATTGACCTTGAAGATTTGTAAGCAACTGTTTACACGGGGACAAAGTAAAAAGATTTGTAAATGTCTTTTGTTTACACCAGTGGTTCTCAAACTTTTTAAATGACGGAACCCTTTTGGGAAGCAAAATACTTGATGGAACCCTACAATAAAACAATTATTTTTATAAGTGTATTCTATATTAATCAGCATAATAAAAGTACAATGTATCCGTTACTAATTATTATTTACTTCACCACTTGGTAAGGACAATAATAGAAAACATTAAAAAAGAAAAAATCTAACTAGTGGGAGGTATGAAACTGTTTTTTATTTTTCATCAATTGCTTGATATCAGGTTTGATGGAAGAAAGTTGGAGTCTCATATCAGCTTCGGCGTCCAGTCTATTGCGATATTTTGTTTTCGTGGCTGCGTAGGTAGAGAATCCTGTTTCGCACAAATATGTAGTTGGGAACGGGAGAAGAATATCCAGAGCCATTTGGCCAAGCATTGCATATTCATCTTGGATTCTGCACCAAAAATCATTAAGAGGCGTCGTTTTGAACAATGACTCCATACTTGTGTCTGATGACATTTCTAAAAGAGATTCATATATCTCATTTGACATGTTTTCAGGCTTTTCCAAGTTGGGTAAAAAAGGATTATGAATCCAGGAGTTCACTTTAATTTTTGTATTGTGTTCTTCGGGAAAATACTTTTCAAAAGATGCGCGCATCGAACTGAGATATTGGACCAATTCTTCAAACACATTATCTTCAAACATTTCTGAGTCGTTTTCGCTAACAAACTCAGTGAGTAACGTAAAACTTTCTATTTCTTTCTTACCAATGCAAATGATCCAAAAATCTAATTTTCTTTTAAAAGTAGTTATTTTATTATAGGCCTGAAACACTGTTGTCTGTTTACCTTGCAATGATAAATTTAATTCGTTAAGTTTTTGAAAGATATCCGCCATAAAAGACAATCGGAACAACCAAGTTTTATCATACAAACGGTCCTTCAAATTAAAAGAAGTATCTGCTGAAAGAAACATTTGTAACTCGGCTCTAAGTTCAAATAGCCTTGTTAAAGTTTTTCCCCGAGACAGCCATCGCACTTCTGTATGGAGCAGCAGTGTTTTATGTTTGCTGCCATAATCTTCACACAATAATGAGAACAATCGGGATTGTAGTGGTCGTGATTTGATAAAATTAATTATTTTTACCGCTTCATCCATAACTAATTTTAGATTAGACGGCATTTGCTTCATCGCAAGTGCTTGTCTATGCAGAATACAATGACTGGAACTACAATTAGGCGCTTTATTTTTCATTCGTGACACTGCTCCTGCTGTTTTACCTGTCATCGCCTTGGCCCCATCTGTACAAATGTCAATGCAATTGTTCCAACTGAGATTATGTTCTTCAAAAAATATATTTATTTTATTAAAAATTTCTTCCCCGGTAGTGTTTGTAAGCAGCGATGAACACATAAGCATGTCTTCTTCAAAAGAACTTTTATATGGATATCTCACAATAACCAGCAGGATAGCCAAACCAGCGACATCAGTCGACTCGTCCATTTGCAAAGCGAATCGTGTATTTTGTAGACGTGTAACTAGTTCTTGTTTGACGTAGCTTGCCAGATCATGGATTCGTCGTGAAACAGTATCGTTTGATAGCGGAACAGTAGAAAGATGCTTTGCAGATTTTTCATCAAGCATACATTTTGTTATGTCTAATACACATGGTTTTATTAATTTCTCAGCGATAGTGTGCGCTTCACCTGCTTGTGCAATGCGATAGCTAACTAAGTATGATGCCTCCGTGGCCTTTTCGTTGGTAGTTTGTGTTACATGCATCATATTTTTTTGACTTTCTAATAACTGATCTTTTTTGCGAACAAAAAATTCTTTATTCTTGTCTTTAGTCTCGGGGTGTACGGTTTCTAAATGTCGACGCAATTTGGCAGGTGCCATGGAACTATTAGGAAGCAGTTTACTACAGAGCATGCAGAGAGGTGAGCCGTTGGAATCAACAAATCCGAAACTGATATAAGATTCATCATACTTCCTTTTTTTCGTCTTTGAAACCGTCGAGCTTGACGTCGTGGCACTCGTGGCATCATCTTCTGGATCGGTGATTGCTAAATTCTCCGCGCGCATTGCTTTTGAACATTCAGCGTCATTAGAAGATGTTGTTGGAACACGTTTAACACCTTTAAGCCAACGTTCCATTCTTCTTTATTTATAATGTTACAAGTCAGGATAGTGGGGTTTAAATAATGCACAATCGTTACTGCGTATAAGAGACTAAATTTAGAACCTACAGGGAAGAAATGTATAAAACTGAGACAACAGAATACAGCAGGCAGTAAAACAATGAACACCAGTTTCTCGCTAGCGAGCTTGTAAGTAGGTAGTAACTTATCGCTCCGAACGCTAATCATCAACTGACGACGCCAACGCGCGATCGCCGCTTTTATACTTAGTCCTAGACTCGATCTCAAATATTCTCGAAAATACTCGAGTCGGCACCTTTGATAAACAAAAAGCAAAAATAAAAACAGAAATTTAAAAATAGCGTTGTAAACAATATCGACTTTATCCTTTGAAGTTAGAGACGAAAGTCGCTAGTTGACAACTATAGCGTCTAATTCAGAGGCGGCTTTTATCAAAGAGACTGAGCGCTTACAAGTATACTACCCGCTCGTTTTAAGTTTGCCGCTGGCGATAGGTATGAGTGTATGACGTTCGAAATTTTTTATTTAATTGTAACAATAAAAATTGTGTACGTTAGATATTTGGGTAAAACTATGACACATTATAAGTTTTGTTGTCACGTGGGGGAGGGTACGCGCATTCCACAGACCGGCAAACTTAGAGCGAACGCGTTGTACAAGTATAAAATTGTTGAGACCAAACTTATGAGATATTGTACCAGCTAATGTAACACAAGCTTATACAAATACAAATAAATAAATAAATAACATTCATAGCGTTTTGTCTCCGCGCGGCCGCGGAGTCCGCACAGCCGCGGAGCGACCAGAGAGAGGTGTTTTGATTTTTTTATTTCTAAATTCTTGCGGAACCCCGACAGAGGTATCACGGAACCCTAGGGTTCCGCGGAACACACTTAGAGTATAGCTGGTTTACACCAATACAATTATGTTTATGAGATTATTGATTTTAAGTTTTGACATAAAGGCTTCTTTGTGCGTGTACTATTCTTTGGAGAATTGCTTCAAAGATTGCACGTATTGCGTGGTTAGAATGCTATTTTATTCTCTACGGATTGAAACGCTATTTCGGTCCTTGTAAACAGAGAAAAAACTAGCTCTTCGAAAAGATGTGATAATAATATTTATGTACGAGCCGCCAACCAATTCAATCACCAAACCGTACTGAGCCCGCGTAGTGTGTCATGGCTCAATCTCCCTATTCCATAAAAAGGTATCCTACTCAACAATCCGCACTAGGCCCCCTTAGGGATGGTCTCAGTGCGGAATGGGCCCAGTGTGGAATGAGCTCAGTGCAGACTCTTCCTGTCCATCGCCACTGCTCCCTGTTCACCACTCCCAAACAAAAGTGTAAACCAAGTCCACAATCACCGCCGTCAGTGGTCGCCAACTCGCTACCTATCTAACTACCCGCACGAGTGCCTCGCCAGGTCGTGACGGTAAATTTTCACCTAGCCCCCATCCGCCAAATCGTACGAAACGGAACTGCGCTCCAATAAAAAAATAAGGACGAAGTAAAATGGGGATAGGGAAATGATAAAAGATTACTTGGTACTAATAATGATTACAAGACCAAACAAGAATAAATTTATTGATTATAGATATTGTATTTTTATTTGTACGACTTTTTTTCAATATTTTTTGCCTCAAAGGAGAAGCAACGCTTATCACTTACTACTGCACTCATGTTTGCAAATGACTAGTTGAATACAAGCATTGCTCAAGAAATTATTGTTTGTGCTGTTTACACTAAGAAAGTTTTGAAACAAAACTTGTATGCCCGATCAAGAATGTTATATGTTATATGTTTAGACCATGAAAGTCAGTTATTACTTTAATTTAATTGTATGCATCAGGCAAGAAACTTACATCATGTAAATGACATTTTATACTTAAAATCATCTAGTCTTACTTGAGTATCCAACAATCCAAGACGTATACTGCCCATTAGTTTCACAGTATGCTGCCAACGAGCATCGGGATCATAATTCACCCAACGCAATACAGCTTCCCACACCACTTCCTCGCTTTTTACATTCAATTCGTCTTCTTGTATAATGGAATTCAATTCTTCCAGTGGTAAATGAAGAAACTCGTCACTTTGCGTAGCGACTGTTACGAAGTAACGTAACAAGTATCGACGAGCATCAGCCTCAAGTTTGTAACAAAATACACGCCTGTAAATATTCAACTCTATATAAATAAGATTTGGATGATTTGATATCCATTTTTTATATTTTATGCTCCAAGAATGAAAGGACATTTTTTTGCCGTGCATATAATAAATATTATTAATGCACTATTTCCTTAGGCTTGTAAAAAGGCTCGTTATTTTAGAGAAACTACTAATGGCAACATGTCCTAAAGTAAAATTAAAGTATACCATATTCGTTATGTGATATAGTGGAGACCAAAGAAGACCTTTAAGTACCATTAGAACTCTATTACGGGTAAGTTACTGTGTCAAAATGTCTGTTAATCTGCTTACAAATTACTAGAAAGACTGGTAGCGCTTTCAAGGACTTCCAGTCCTTTCTTAATAATAACAAACAGTTCTAGATTATAGTATACTAAAGTTAATTAGCTTGATAATTTACTAAGCCTGTTAATAAGATGGCGATATAGATATAATAATATGGATATTATATCTAACCTCGCAAATGTCATGATTCCTAAGCAGTTCTTTGGATTGAGCGAGAGTCGAAGGTGGTCACAGCACAATTGTAAAACCCCGAGGAATGCTAGGAAGTCAGCGGTCATGAGGAGTTCATAAACGTTTGTGTCGGAAACGTCGATGCGCCGCAAGTATGCATACTCTATCAGCAAAAGCAATATTTCCGAGCGTACACCAGATATCATTACATCACTTTGCTCTCGCGAATGCAGTGTTGTTGTGAATAATGCCCTAAAAATAGAAAATATACCAACAAATTACCAAAATTCATCAGATTGGATGAGTAGGTACTAACTAATTAACGCTGGTGGCAAGAATCATTAATTAGATATTTGACCTATTTATATCGAAAGTCCACGTTTTCACCACGCCAGAGGCCAATCTTACAATTATGTGAAAAATATCATCGAGTCTTCGCATCAAAACAATAGAGGGGGAATAAACTACCTAATAAAAAAAACGTAATTAATAATATAATCTAAATAGATGATGTCAATTAATTCAAAGGGTATGGTTCAAATTTGTATGGAGGATGGTAGTCAGTCTCCTGCAGACTCCAGTTTTATGTATTTTTTTTTATAGCCAGATAGGTAAATGACTCTACCCCACCTGATGTTAAGTGATGATAAAGACCAAACGCGAAGATAGCCGGTACAGCAGTTATAAACTGCTACACCAACCATCCTCACCTTGCCGGCCTGCAAAAATGCTTCTTCACGCCTCTCTTAAAGATCGCCCCCAGATTGAAGGAAGGAGGGAACACGTGCGCGGGCAAAGAATTCCACTTACGAATAGTACGACAAAAGAAATGAGCCACCACATTTCTTTGATAGTGTAGGAATAGAGGCCACAGTAAGTAAGTAAGTAAGGCAGCGTAGGCCAGCGCGCGTGGTCCTCTGAAGAAAAGGTGATGGAGGGATAAGGGAGAATAACTCCTCAGTAGTAGTGCACTTAATTGTAAGTCGTTTGACAAAAAACTAGAATTTATTTTGTCCCCGTTTTTTTCATAATATGTAACACGTAATTGTTGGTTAGCAAATGGCTGGTTTATTTATGTATTGTTTGCTGCCAAAGCATCAAACATATTATGTTCAATAGGTGACTTAAAGTAGTGATAATTATTCTGTTCATCTCTCATTTTATTATTAAGTATTTTGTAGGAATTTTGTTTCAAGAAGAGTCGACCATAAATTGGTAGTATAATTTCTTCATGATTTCACGAATACCTTGCATGATTGGACTGGTAGGCATTTGAAATTGTAATTGAGTTGACATTATAATCTGTAGGAGGGTCCAACGGGTACTAGATCGCTGCTACAGGCTAACAATCTGACGTCTGAGTGGCCAGAATCCTTACGAAATTGCTTAATTTTCAAACACGATTTAAAATTAATTGGAGATAATTTAAAAAAATATTTTATCTGTACATGTTATTACACAAAACAAGCTTTTTAAATGATATATATTTCGTCGCTGCCGAAAACCGAATACCATTTTTGAACTGTCTTCTTTGTACAATTTGTGAACTTTGACATTACCTACCTACTACAGCATTCGGATTTTTAACAATATTCATTAATTTATTAATGTAGATCGCAAATGGAACAATATAAGTTCACTATATGCATGTATTACATATTCAGAAGCCCAAAGAACTGTTTTTTATATCAGGGTGGACTTTGCGTGACGCAGTCTTTTAAGATATTGTCGCTTGATTTGATAACAGAACCATTTCAAGCTTATATTAATCAAGCTTATAACTTCGTATACCACTGCCAATTTTTTCTATGAACGTTGCTAGGTATTCGAGGCGAGGTGGTTTAGAGCAAGCACACATTGAGCCACTGGTGGCGGCAACTAAACGCATTCACAAGCTGCGGTTGAGTTTTTTTCATACATTTTGTATAACATCGGCGCAAACTAAGCGAGTGGCCGCTACTAAGCCACTAGCAGCGGCGATCAGTGGCTGCGTCTAGTGGCTTAGCTGAGCCATTAGTGGCCGCCATTAGTTGCTCAAAATGCGCTTGCTCTTATGTGTTTTTGTTGCTTATCGGAAGTCTTCGTTTTTTTCTGGTAGTGAAGTAGTTGATGGTTGGATGATTGTCTTACAGGAAGTATGGGCTGCAGGCGGAGAGTATGGCGCGATGCACCGGGAAGGCGGCGCCGTCGTCAGCGCGCACGATGGCGTCACAGAGCAGCCGGCACTCGCGCAGCCGGTGTAAAGCCTGCATAGCCGCCACCGACATGCACCGGCCAGTCTCGCGACCCGCCGTCTACCATCACAAAAAAACATACGCTAAAGTTCAACTTACACGTGCGCAGAGTCGAAGCGATGTGACTCGCCCTGGGAACACCGAAGTGCGGCCATAGATTGACTGCTCGAGCAGTTAGCCAGTGATCAACATACATGGACTACTCGAGCAGTCAGTGTCAATAGCTTGAAACTGCCATGCACTGCCACCGCCCGAGCAGACGCAACTGCACGGGCGGTCCGTGTATTTCAGTACATAGAAGACCATAGTTCACTATGCAGTCGCAATTTGAAGCAGTCCATCCCGACAGCCAAGCTAAGACAAAAACATGACGTGTCACTTCTACTCTGCGTCAGTTCAGAGCAAGAGTTGAGCTTGAGCCTAACAGAAGATTCTTAATTTCTTCAGTTGAACGCTGAAGATTTTCTTTTGTCCTTCTCACAGAATTTATGAAAAGAGGAAATATTATTATAAGTTCTGTGGTCCGTCGCCTTTTTAGTGAAAATGGCCGTTTAGGCGCCGATCTTTCGATTTCAACATAAACTAATGCAAATTTTAAATAATTTTAACAAATAACTTCACAATAAATCGAATGTTTGAACTTCTAAAGTTCATGGCATGTATTCTAATTCTTCTACTAAAGGAAATAGTGAATAAGATATACCTAACAGGGTGATAGGAAAGCAATATATGTAGGTAACTTTTATGCTTTAAAAGTGATGTAAATCAGTCTATTTCCATAATGTATTAATTTAATTTCAGATTCAAATCCTGCCCGTTTCATGCCACATGTTTGATGGTAAGCCTAAAGGCGAGTTGGTATCGATCCCTTTCCCAGATGATTATGTTTGCTATGATCATAAATAAATGATTGGTCTCGCTTCACTCAAAGCATGCATCATAATGCATAACCACTAACACATTGTAGGCCCTAAAATCTTTCTCTAATCTAATCTATCATGTACTGTGATCTATTAAGAGTTAATACATAGCTCGGTTGATTGTTTAAAAACTAACAAGGGTTCATAAATTAATAATGAGAAGACAACCCTCTTATTTATCTCTTCTTGGGAATGAGAAATAGAAAACATCCTAACAGCTCTATATTTATTAAAACAAAATACTTTTCTGCGAATAATATATATAAATGTATCTAACTAGAGATAGAGGGACAGCCACCACCAACCGCTTTAAAAAAATCATAAATTCGTGCAGGTAAATTTATAGTAAAATTATAGAGTCGATAGTTCGGTACCAATTCGATTAGTAAACGGCAATTCGCCTTGGACGTGTATTTTAAATGAAACTAAATATACCAAACTTTATGGTTTGTGTATTTGAAGTAAGTTTTTATTTTCGACCGAATTTTAGAAAGGTATAAGCATTATCTTTTTGAAATTTCATAAAATAACTAAACACATTATGTCAATGAAAAAATTAATATTGTTTATTTCTAAAAAATATCTTCAGATCTTTAACAAATTGTTATAGAACCATCTTGAACAGAAACTCGTTCAAACAACAAAGAGTTTTAAAAGCCGGAACTCCAATTTCGCAGTTATGTGCGGAAAAACTATAAAAAAATATTGATGAACCTCTTCCTACTTTATTTTGGATTCGATTAAAAATAACAAATTTTTCCTACAAATTTCTGTGTAAAAAGCTTGTTTAAATTACCTCGGAGTCAGAGAATACATATCTTTTTTAGTAACATTAAAATAATATTGTAATCAACAAATCACACACAATTTGAAAATCAATAGTATTAATATTGCATAGTGTAGGAACCAAAAAGGTGTGTGCGATCTTTATCTCGTATCTCCCGAAACTATTTGACAACTGAACTTTTGTAGGAGACATAAAAAATATTGATGAGACTGGAACCTCTTAATGTATCTACTTTTATATTATTATAAAATGTACTTATCTATTCGGTTTCTGGTTTCTGAGGCTGTTGAGTATAACTCATTGGTGAGTACTTACAGTGTTGTTCGGGTCGTTTTCCATTTTATTCTTAACGAAAAGCCATCATTACAAAATTGTCACGCGTTAAAATTCCTAAGTGTATATGAACGTGTCACGACACAAACGAGATTTAGCTTAATAAATTTGTAAAAATAACCCTAAAAAATTACTCAAAACAGCAAAATCAAGTCATTTGATAAAACATTTTAGGTTAGCAAAAAAATGATATAAGAATGACAAGCATGTCAAACCTTTTTTTTCCAGATTACATTACTGGATAACAATATTTTCATTTTCACCGTTTGTCTTGTAAAAGTCAAAAATGTTTGTTTACTTTTTTGAGGAGAACAGGCGCGCTTATTTAAAAAAGAGGTTAAAATAATTAAATAGGTTTCATCTTGAATGAACTTCTGGGTATCAGAGGCCAAATTGTTTTTTTATTGAATTTAAATAAATCTTAAGTAAGTATATTGTTCACTGAGGGGTCGGTTGACCGGTTACCAATGAGGGTGAAATTTCATACACCTAAGTACTTACATGCGCTTATTCACTTAAATAAGCTACAACATTGTCAGAGAAAGGCGGTGCATATTTCTCGCTTTGCCATTGTAATAAATCTACATACATATCTCTTAAGATAATATTACTAGAAAAAATTTCACGCGGACCAGGCAGCAGACGAGACTCGAATCCACACTCTTCGCTATCCGGGCAAATGCACTGACCATTCTGCTACCGCGGCCCTGATGGCCGTGTCGAATTCTTTCTAGCCTTTCTTAAGCTGCAAGGCAGCACCATCTCTTCGCATTGTAGGTAACCCACAATGTTAAATTAATACCTTTACAAGTATTAAACATTTGGAAGAAGAAACAACAATTATAGTTATAATTTTTTAAGCATTTAACTGCTCGATGTTTAAATCTAAAAATATTACTAGAAAAAATGCACGCGGCCAGGCAGGCATATCTCTGTCTGTTATATTTCTACCGATATTTTTCGGGTAATAGGTCCTCACTGACTACTTGTGCAGTTTCTTGTAGGTACTTCTGCTGGGTGGTGTCAATAAATCTTCACTATCACTACTAGACTCCATCTCGAGTAGACAGAAAAACAAATAGACTCCATTAGGGTGAGGCCACAAGACTGCGTTGCGACGTCGAATTGCAAAAAGTCACATTTTATCGCGACGGCATCGTTCAAGAAGACAACGACAATGAGTTAAGTTTCTAGAAATATTTGGACCGCACTACACGTGTGTTTCTTTTGCTTGCATTGAGATACATCAAGAACGCACGCACGCAACGTGCCTGTAGTGCTATTCAAATAAATTTCAAATCACACCGTGGATTCCGCGGTGAAAAGTGAATTTGTTCTGAACCAGAACAGCACTGTTGTTCGAAGTGTAGACACTGACTGAAGATAGCACGTCGTTGCATCGCAGATTATTGCACGGAACCGCAACGCAATGCTTTGTACTATAATGCGATTCAATTAAGAATAGGACCGACTGGGCGCTATATTGTGATGTCATAGCTGTCAATTCAAACCAAATAGGTAGAGTAAGCAAAAAAAAGTTTTTATCTAATAAAACTTATTTACTAAGATTAAGTGAGAAATAACATCAGATTTTTTTAATAAAATTTATTTACTGAGATTGAGAAAAGAAAAGAACCGATTTTTAATAATATTTATTTATTAAGACTGTGTGAGAAAAAACATTAATCAGAATTAAGCTCTCCAATTCCGCTCATCTCTGCATTACCGCCAGAGTAGTTATGGACAATCATGCACTATTTCACATACGAACATGCATCCTTTATGTAAATGAAAGTTTCAAATCGCGTTTCTAAACGCAACTTAAAATGAGATTTTGTTGACGATTTAAGTTATCAAACATTCATAGCCAAAGTTCAATAAATGAAAAAAAATATCAACCAATATTAATTATCAATATTTTTTATTGTTTGTTTACAAATGTTTGATTCTTATTCTAGAATTAGCGCAGTGCTAAAAAAAGATTTCAATATATTTTTGCAAACCGTACTTTTCAAGGGACATTTGACAGATGAAGGTCATTGGCACGGTAATAGTATCTTTACAGTATTCTATCTTCATACAAACGGTCGGAAAGCGAATCATAGTATGATTATCATACCTACGCCACTCGAGTTCGAGGGACTCTCGGAGGACATCCAGTCGCGAAAGCGCCGCCGCGCCGCGCCGCAACGACGACCGAACGGTGTGAATTGTTTTTTATGCAGTTAGCCGTGCTTAAACGTGCGTTTTGTATTGTAAATATTTGATTGAATTAAGTAGATACCTACATAATTTAGTATGGAAAAGAACAAACGACGATATTGTGCTGTTTTTGGTTGCTTGAACTATTAAATAACGCACCCAGAGATATCATTTTTTAAATTACCTGAAATATTGGAAAGGTAAGACTATAGAATATTTTTTATATACCTATCTACTAGTACGTAATTTGTTTCTAATATTTAGGTATTTCGATTTTTTCATTGGGCAAAATATCTGGAAAGATATATTAATAAGTGGTTAGGGTGAAAAAAGACAAACGAGTAATCTTCCTACACTCGCGTTAAAAACAAAACTACATAATAGGTAGGTAGTTTCCTAGACTAGGCTATCTACTTACTTAACTACATACATTATTGAATAACTAAACTACATACATTATTGAATTAAATTAAATATCATTATGAAATAATTTACGAGAGTATTAAATGGTAAGTATTGTAGTGATCGGATCTTTTTGGTGTATACTGGCAGGTTATAAGGTAATTTGGAAAAGAGACGGATTGTTGACAGGAATTGATAGCTGGAAAATAAAAAATAGGGAGATTGGTGCGGAGTTTCAAAAACAGTACTTTGTTTATTGATAATAATAATGTAATTTCTTGAAAATAAAAGTGTTTCAATGGCAATAATTAGTTTGCATGAAACGATCCCTACAGTACCTACCTAGTAAGATTTACCTACATTGTAGGTAATTTCCTTACCCGACTGCGCTATGACTTTCAAATAAATATAACTTGTATGTTTAAAATAATATTCTTTTATTTATTTATTTATTGTAAACTTTGTAACATCGAATCCATCTGAATATGTACCTATGTGCGCAAGGAATCCAATTTAACATTAACATAAAAATACATGTAAATATAATTAGCTATTTATACATATAAATAAAAAATAATAAATTATATGATTATATAAATATGAGATTAATCGTGCATTTAATATAAGGAAAAAACAAGTTGCAGTTGCCTCTTCATAACACCTGCCTCTAAATTATGAACAAAAAGCAGGAGTCTCTTTGTACTATTCTATACTAGTCTGGATTTGTACCTACAACAATGCTAAATGGGGTTAATTTACTACATCTCCAATTAAATTCATTCTAACAAATTACAGTCACCGCACAGATGTCGCTTAATATTAGCAAGAAAAAGGTTCTTAGATCCAATAAACAAATCAATATCAAAAAATAGTTTATTAAAAATGTGTGGGAGTCTGGTGAATACAGCGTTTTGTCCGTAATTAGTATGGCGATGTGAAACATGTAATAATCGAGTGTGTCGCGTGCGATTCCGGGGAGTGCTCAGTGAGATCAGCTCAACGAGCTCAGGACAATCCATACGACCACGGAAGACGTCATATAATAGACCCATATCTAGAACATGTCGACGCTCCTCCAGCGGCACCTAAGTCCACCCCCCTGCACTTAAAGTTAAGATATCTGACAATTTTTTTTGTATGCCTTCGACGCGCTTAACGTAGACCGCATAACACGGAGACCAAACAGGCACAGCAAACTCTAATATACTGCGCACATATGCGTAGTAAACCAATTTTAAGGTTAATGGATTGGAAAAGGGTCGGCAAGTACGCATGACAAAACCCAAGCATCGGTACGCCTTGCCTATGACAGTATCAATGTGAGTTTACTGTCAAAGCAAATACCCAGGTCACGAACTACATCCGCTCTCTCAATTGCAACACCGTTAAAATTGTAAGTAAATACAATCGGATTTTTCCTGCGTGTAAAGCTTATACACTGACATTTTCCAATATTAACTGTTATTTTATTCCTGATACAGTAATTATATAGTTTATTAAGATCATTTTGCAAGAGTTCACAATCTCCAGTAGAACCTACTTTCAAATAAATCTTTGTGTCATCAGCGTATATAGTAAATGTTTTGAGGTTTTTATTACTTTTTCTATATCTTAAGTATAGACGTTGTAAAAGAAAGGACCGAGATGCGAACCCTGGGGAATTCCAGAGGGTAAAGAGACAAGGTTAGACCTACGTCCACCCAAGACGACAGTCTGTGAGCGGTTGGTGAGGTAAGAACGGACCCAGCGCAACAAATCGCCGTGTATACCAAGGCAGTGAAGTTTCTGAAGAAGGATGTCGTTTTATTGAATTATGTAAGAATAAAAATCAGCAGTCGGGTTTTTTACAAGCTTTTAATTAACTTGCAATATAGGTAGGTATATACCTTTGTTTGTTCGGGTGGAATCTTGAAACTCAATTTTGAAGCAGATATCTTCAACCGGTTGAGCTGAAATTTTGTATATATACGTTTTGATTAAAAAGCACGGTTAGCTGTGTGACGTCATTCTAAATCCAACATGACGGAATAGTTATTTTTAATGCATTCCTACGATATGGGTATATGGGCTTGCGGAGAATCTTTCCATATAAAATAAAATATTTACAATCACAAAACTAGAAAGAAACTCAATTATGTAGATGAAATTAAAATACTGTAGGCGGGCGGCCCTACCGCGTGCTATCGCAGCGCTCGGCCGTAGGCATTTATTTCAAGGACAGGGCGGAGTCACAATACTGTATAGATAATAATACCGTGTCATTGGCTTTCCTATTCTTATTTGAATCGCATTATACCTATCGTATAGTAGATGTCTATGGTGCGACGCCGCAACGCAGTGTTGTGGCTTACTACTTTTTCGGGCACTTATTACATAAGTATTATTCTTTTTTAAATTTAATA